GGAAGCGGAGGAATTTGCAATGATGTGGAGGGGCTGTGGCGGCAGTAGTGGCCGGCACACGCAACTGGGGGAAAGGAGCAAGAGATGGGAGGGCGACCTGTGTTTCTGAGAACATGCCCTTGCAACATTGTAAAGCAAGCGGGAGGTCCAGGAGGTTGTTCTTAAAGAATTGCTTGGGGCTGGAGCCGTGTTAAGACTGGAGGTCATTAGCAATTGCATCCATGCATTTGCCCAGGAGTAAACGGAGTTCAGGGAGCTGGACAGAAGCTTCAGCGCGCCCTGCTGGAGGCTCTCAAAGTATGATTTCTGTGGGGAATGAGTGCTTTTGCATGAAGTGGTAGCTTACAAGTTTGCAGTTGCCCAAAGCTGCACCTGACCCGCATGCATCCAGCGGCTCGCAGATCGGCAGTGCTTTTGCAAGAAACCGTTAGCAACCAAAGCAGCAGTGAGTGTGTGCATGTAGCGAGGACACGAGCATGAAAACAAGAATACACCTCCTTGGGCCAATGCTGCTCCAGCCAGCTGAATTCCTGAGCCATGTTTGCACAGGATTATGACATTGATGTGGCTCTGCAGCACAAGGGGATGTAGCTGCATGTGGCCCTGCAAGCAGAATAGCTTGTGACTGCTTTGTGCGGATCGGTCAAGGGACTAAAGGAGGGACCCTTGAAAGGGACCTTAGGGGTTCTTTAAGGGGTTGTTTTCTGTAAGGGGTTATTTAGGGCTCCTTAGGAATATAGGGACTACAAAAGCCCCCCAAAATCGGAGGACGAGCTGTCGGGCGATGACCGCGGCCGCTCACCTCGGGGCGCCGGCGGCTACGCGACCCGAGCTGCGGACAACGCCGAGCGCCGGATCGCCGATGCCCGGGGAGGGACTCTTCATCCTTACCCCCCCCAACATCAGAAACCCCCCTCCCTTATTCCCTAATATTGTTTATTATAATAGTGTTTATTATTAGATGGGAGGGACCATGAAGGGTGCCCCCTGTAAATCTTCTGCATCCCCTTTTCTCTCGTCCTGCAAGCTGCGGGCGGAGTTGCAGGGGCGGGAGCCCATGGACTTTGGGGGTCGGCGCCGCGGCCAAAAGATGGCCCCCTGGATGGGCCAGGCAAGGCTCGGACTCGGAAGACGTGGCACTCGACCTGCCCAGCACGTCAGCTCTCTGTGGGGGTGACAAGGCTTTTGGAGCAGCCCCGCCGCCAGAGAAGCCGGAGCTCTCGGGCCTGGACAGCTGCCGGAAGCTGAAAACTCGAAAGATGCAGTTGCTTGTGATATTTAGTGATGACTAGTGACTAGGTTTTGCTGCTTTAAGAACCACCAGAGCCTCCGGCACTGTAGTCGGGCCAAGCTTGGAAGTTCAGCCCGTGCAGGACACCCGTGGAGCCAAGGAGAAGATCTCGGAGCTGCGCGACCCTTTGCCGCTCTTAGGGGTGTGTATGCCGATGTGAGGACTCAGGCTCCTCAACATCATCTGAATCATCTGCTTCAAGTGACTTCCCAGGACTATTCTTCGCGTTTGTGGCGTGCGGGTGAACCGGCGGCCGGTGCCGAGCCGCCACCGTCGAAGAGGGTTCGAGTTGTTGAGGCGTCTGGAGGGCACAGCATGACGCGGTTTAGGGGTTGCTGGCAGCACCCACGGGAGTCCGGATGCAAAAAGGGTTTCGGGCATTTAGGGTGTGTGAAGTGGGGATTCCTTTCTGGCAGTCACCAAGTCCCCGTTGCAAAAGGGTTTAGGGGTCACAGTTCCTGCATCACAGCTCTTGCACGCCCCATGCAGGATCAGGAGCTTGCGCTGCTGACCGGCCGCAAGCGGGCTCCCGGGCTTCGTGACTGAGAATTCCTTTCCTCGTTGTGCCCATGTGGGCATGTGCTCGGGGCTTGAGCTGAGGAATGCTGGCGAGCTCAGGGAGGGACACAGCATTAGAGAGAAGGGCAGCGAGAAGGACGGCGAGAAGAAGGACAAGTCAGACAAGAAACGAAAGGAGAAGCACGAGAAGGATAAGAAGAAGAATAAACACAAGCACAAGAAGGACAAGAAGAAGGTGGGCTCTGCCAAGTTGTTGCTGCGTTGTGAGAGCAATGAACAATCAAGAGCTCCGCAGCTGTGCAGCATTCTGCAGGCAGCATTCTGCTGATTTCTACAGCGTTCCTAGCTAACGCTTCTTTTGTTTGGGATAGCAAGATCGGCAGACCATGCCCATGGCTTCGCTTCGCCTGGCTGCAGTGCCTCTAGGCTCAGCCAAAACTCGCTTCCCTGGAAGCTTCACGGCAGAAAGCTCCTTGCGCCCGAGCACCCACACAGTTTCGGCTGTAGCGTAGTTAGACGTTTTCAACATCGTTCTAGCCCTTCGCCGCAGTCGCGATCTTCAGAGCAACCAACTGCATCTTCATCTCCACAGCACTTCCTGGGACTTCTTCTGATTCAGCGGGAGTCTCCGGTGTCCCGTCCTGCAGGGCAAGAAGCGCAAGCAAAGCAAAGAAAGCTCCTCATAGCGGCGCTGGCAGGATGCAGGCCGGATTCCAATCTAATGGAAAGACTGTGCCGAGGCACGCGTTCTGTGAGCGATTCTGCGCCTGTCAGCGCTTGTCTTGGCAGGTATTTCCAACACACCTCACAACCTGACACTGGTCTCGTTGCCGTTGACGCATGGGCAACCAAAAGGACGCCAGACACTGATGTGAAGATATGTGACGGCCATCCGCAGGTAGAGATGAATGGGACTTGGGACGATCTTGCAGCCGCAGGGCAAAGCGGCCTGATGTGCCTGTGTCTCTGCATGTACATAGAACCATGGAGGGCAGAGCAGTTCAACACTGAAGGGAAATCACAGATTTTTTTGTTGCTGGTCAAGCTCCTCCCTCCCCGGCTGAACTGATGCAGACCTCAGCGATTTGCAACATTTGTTCTTCGCAGACCAAGCTGCAGAGATGTGAAGAGCGGACGGATCCATTCACAGCACTTCAAGTTGACAGGCGCGATCCGGGCCGATTGATCTGCTGATCCGCCGGGTCGGGTTCTTGGGCGGCGGGTTGCTTGGGTTGCAGTTGTATTGGGGGCATGCTGAGATTCGCAACCTGAAGCGCGCCTTAGGTTGACAAGCCTCCTTCTACTGGCCTTCCACGCAAGGCCGCAGAGCTAGGCTAGAGCTGGGCAAGAGATCAGGCTACGTGGCTGGTGGCCCTACCAGACCCATTGCCTTAGGCATTCATTCGGACAATGGTTGGTGAACAGAGTTTTCTCATAATTGTCGCATCGAGCTGCAAGCAGTATCTCTGATCACGACTTTGTACGGACCTTCTTCCCACTCATGTACCGAAATTAGCGTGGATGTCATGTGGACGTGCAATGAGGGTGGTGTGACTCGACGTGTAGTACTTTGCCGTTTGCGGAGCTTATGATGCTGTGGCAAGACTGTAGATGTGCTGCCCCTGCCAGTTCTTTGCTGGGGGTAATGCCCAACCCATCCTTGCTCCTGTACACTCCGGGAGTCTGAGCATGTTGTTCCGCCTTGCCATCCCACTTCCTGTTCTCGATGCACCGATTTGCAAAAAAACATCTTTACGTCCAGCTGTATTAGTGAGTGCTGGATGAGCAGGGCACCCCCAGAACAGAGCCAATCTGGTCTACTCACGCGTTGCCCTGGCCAGGCTATGAACCGTTTCCGCAATGCGCCTGGGAGCTTAGACCATCCAACTCTCCGACGATCTTTCTCCGACTATCCTTTGATTGTCCAAAAGCAGCGACGGAACCGTGTTGTTCCTTAGTAATGCTCCAAGATGTTCCAAGGATGCGCGCGGTGTCAAGCTCGCGCCTTGTTGGGACCTTGGCATGGTGGTCCTCGCAAGGGAGAAGAGTGCCTGACCGAGAGAGTTCCTCAGCCTGCTCACAGGGTGAGCTGGAGTCTGCATCAGCCACTTACTCCCTGGCTGAGACGCTACCAGCAGAGGCTGTCTTCAAGGGGTGCTTTTGCAAGCAGCAGTTCCAGAGTAGTAGGTTCCCCTCGAGAACCGCAATGGAACACATGGCCTTCAGGGCCTTCAGGGGTCATCACGCTAGAGGCTAGGCTGAACAGGTTCCGCCCTCACACGTAGCGGTTTGCTGCTCACGTGGCTAGAAGGTCGGAAGTTGGTAGTGCGCGTTCCCCCCCCATCTTCGTCATGCTGAAGGAAAAGACCCCCCAATAATAAAGCCTTTATGTTGATTGCACAGCCTTCGCTGCCTGAAGGGGAAAACCTTTAACCTCTGCTTTCTGCCCCTGAATATGAGGTTTTCCGTTTCAGATGCAGAGGAAATACAGGTTTTCTAATCAATGTATAGAGTTTTACTGCTGTTGAAACATTGAGGAGGTAGAGGCTTTGCGATTCAAACTCAACGAAACTAAGAGCAAGGGAGGTTGGGGAGGACTTTTGGGCACTCGTCTCCCGAAGTTTGACGTTTGCTTGGTGCATCACAACTTTGTCAGGGCTGGAGCCAAGCGTCTTGCACTCAGTGAGCAGCAATGTTGCGTCATGTGCGGACCAGCATGAAGTTTTCAAGTAGCCTTGGGCCACCTTCTGAGGTTCAAGAAGGGAGAGGCTCGTCAACAGGAGTGTTGGCTAAGCTCGACAACATGTTGGGAACCACTTGCCAAGATGTGTGTAAGCTGCGTCATGCTCTAACACCAGTACTAGCAAGGCTGGATCCGGACGACTCATGATTTCAGGTATCGGTTCAGGGACGTTCAGAGGCAAGACATGCCACATGAGCTGCAGGAGATGGGTGGTGTGGATAGGCCGCGGCAACAGTCAAGACAGTTGCAGTTGCAGATCAGCCATGCATGCTGTTGAGTTGCAAGGATGTAGACCCGGAGTTCACAGTAATTAGTAGAGAAACGTGACTGATGTGTTTGGGTTATTTCTTTCAGTGCAGTTGTGAAGTATGCTAGCGGCTGCAGAACTCAATGCCGATTGTGATCCCGAGACGCTTCAGACAATTTCCGCAGCTTCTGAAGCAGCCTGCTCAGTTCTGTGGACTTTGCGGCAACAATGCCGCCTGGTGCTATGCGATCAGCAGTCAGGCGCTTTCGACATGCAATCTTCAGTTGTTTCTGCGGGAGCTGGAATGGGCTGTCCAGTTTTAGCACGACAGCAGTTTGCACATATTGGTTGGTCTATTGCATGTTTTCATCGTTTTGGTGACAGCCGTAAGGAAACAACAAGACAGGGGAGAAGGAAAGCAATCATGGAAGAACGGGAGGAGCACGCCTTTATTGCATTGGACAAGCAGCAGACGGCGTTGGGTTTTTGATATTTTCGGGGGTCATACTAATTCATCCTACGATCTCACGACGTCACCGTGCAAAATGGGGCTCAAAGTCGGAGGAGTGCATGGAGAGGGATGAGCCTCTACCAGAACCGGCACAACAGTCAGAGGGGCACAACTCTGACGACATATTCCAGAACAATCCTGGCTCATCTAGGTACTCTGGTTTTCACTGCGCTTGCCAATGTGTTGGGCTGATTGTGAGTGTTGCAGAGGCCTTTCTGAGCGCAGATTGCCTTCATTTGCCTTCTGAGCTTTTGTCGTTTGCAACTTGTATGGTTTCTCGACAGTTCCTTACGGGTGCAGGCAGGGCCCATTAATTGAACTTGCCTGAATTTCACACTTCTGCAGGTTCAGTGCTGCTGGGTCCTCGGCACGTGAGGTGGAGTCGAGACAGGCCGTAGACATGCACCAAATGCGAGCTTGTTGACTCGGATGGGGCGGTGGCCTCACCGGACCCATGAACACTTGCAAATGCCCATGGGCAGATAGCTCAATCTGACGCCAAGGAGGTAGCTGTGCGATCTGGAGAGGAGGAAGTGGCTCTATCCTCAGCTGAGGGCGGTATTTGGAGATGCCATGACAGCGATGAGAAGCAGCAAACACAACACAGTAGAGCACGCACGGCCCAGGGCACAGGCATCCGTTTCAGATGCGCAAGGGCAGTTCTACAGTCTCTTCATGTTGATTTTCGTGGAGTGGTCTCACAATGTTTTTGCGTCATGTAGAAGGTGAGCCCCTTGATGTCTGAGATCATGCGTCAGTGCCTAAGATGGACGCTTTTCTGGGTGGGATGCGAAGAGCAACAGCAATGGAGATGCCTCACAGTCACGCTAGCAACAATATGCAGCACAGCAGCGGGCACGCGAGACAGTTGCTTCAGCTGTTCCTTGCCGAGACAATTTGGACTACGAAGATCCCCTCGCGCGAACTGGTATGCTGGGTGCCCAGTGCAGTGTTGTCCACCTGGGCCATCGACAGCCCTGCAGCTTAGGTCCATGATATCTATGACCTCAGACGTGTCTTCAATACCGACCTCGCCGCAGGTGTTTCGCACATGCGCCAATCATTTTCACAGATCTTCAACGATATGGGGCTAGATGCGAGAAGCATGTGCAGTTTGTGTTTTGCACTTGTGCGGCTTCCAGGTGCCACACATCAGCCCGCTGTCACCAGGGCACGCCACGTCCGTGGCGAGCCTTACATGGACAGAGGCTCATGCATGAACTCTGGCTTAGGGCCTAAGGGTGTCGAATGTGTCGAGTGGATGGTTCGCTCTTTGACAGGGTGAAGCAAGGCCCGATGATTCTGCAGCGGAGGTTGGGCTCATCCATCCGTCTGCTATTGTTACTATTGTACAACTCGATCTGCTTGTGTCGAGGTGACGGGCAACCTCGCGAACGCTGCGGCTGAGGCTTCCGTGGCTGCGATAGCTAGTAGGGACGGGTTGCCTGAAGCAGTAACCCCCGAACATTTCTTGGAGGCAGGCCGTCGGTGTTTGTCTTGCGGAGCAAGCTTGGAGTACAGTGGCTGCTACAAGGGTCCCCCCCCCCCCTCTGGTCTTGAGGCTTTACATCTCGAAACGCAGGGGGGGGGGCTTCTCAGATCCAAGGCTGCCAGGCTTTGAGATTTGAAGGCCAAGGCTCTTGAGCCTGAAGGCTTCTGCCTCGCAGATTGCCACAGCATGCCTCGCAGGTTTGGCAATCTCCGGGTTTCGGCACCCTGAAACTAGATGGCTCCCCCCCCCCCCCCAAACGTCGCGGACGCCTGTCTTGATCCAGGGGGCTCAACAGCCGTTTTTCCTGAGGTTGCTCAGGAAGAAGACGCGAGGCTTCAAGCTGGCCCCGAGCAGGCACAAACGGCATCCGCCTCCCGAGTTGGCAGAACAAGGAAGCCTGTAGCAAGACCCGAAGGCACAGGCTGACTTCGATGAAGCCAATGAAGTGGAGGATGCAAAGGCCCCTTGCTGCGGGTTCGGCGATGTTCGAGGGTTCGGAGTACGGTTGTTTAGAGGTGCTGGCAGCGGAAATGGCCAAGCGACAAGCTGCCATGGAGAAGGCGTGGGCCGGCAAGAACGTTTGCTGATGCACCCTGCAGTGCTGGAGGCTTTCCAGGAGGAACTTGCGAAGCGGCAGGCTCAAATGGAGAAGGCCTGGGTGTGTGTCGTCGTGTGTCGTCGTGTGCTGTCGTGTGCCGTCGTGTGCCTTCGTGTGCATGTAGGAGCTGGAAGAAAGGGCAGCGCAGCGGAGAGCCCAAATCGAAAAGGCCGTTCACGGCAGGCAGCTTCGACGAATTCTTCCGAAAGCCATGTGCAACGCAGGCCTTGGCAGATGAAGCGCTGCGGAAGACGGCTGTCATGGAACAGGCCTGACATCTGAAAGTCTGACAATGCAGCGCTCTCCTCCGGGTTTAGGGTTTAGGGATGTTTAGGGTTTAGGGTTTGACGCTTATGGTTTTGTTACCAGTATTCAGCTAGACACACTTCCTGAGTGATCAGCGCGGCAGAGTCCGCGAAGCTCGCTCTCGAATGGCATGGTTTTCGTCCCTGGCAGGCAGTGCAGCAGTCCTAGCATGTCCTAGCCGTAAAAAAAGGGTTTAGGGTTTAGGGTTTAGGGGTTGAAGATGTGGAAGGGCAGACTTGCGAAGGCCTGGGCCGAGGAGGAGGCGCGGCTGCGCGCCGTGCAGGCTCGCCGCGCCGCAGAGGCGCTGGTCGGAAAAGCCATGAGAGAAGCCTCAGAATATGTAATATACAATCTGTTTTATCTTAAACTTCTCAAATAATGTTGACTTCACATTAGGAATTCCCGCTACAATTATAAAATCCAGCTGCCGGAACACAATAATATAGCCCCCCCCACAATTATAAAATCAAGCCCGGAATATTTTTTTTGTACGGGCGATGTACTACTACCTGATACTAAAACTAATAGTACGTCCTACCAGGATTTAGGCGAATATAATTGAGGAGGCCCTGGCCGGAGAGATTGATCAATCAAGGGGGGGGGGGGTTATTAATGCGAAGTCAACATTAGTGTATATATGTATATATGTATATATGTATATATGTATATATGTATATATGTATATATGTATATATGTATATATGTATATATGTATATATGTATATATGTATATATACAATATGTGATGTGCTATGTGCCTAGTCACTAGATCCACGGTCGGATGCCTGACAAAACTCAGAGTTTGCCATGGCCAGGCTGAAGCAGTGGCGACCAAAGCTCAGGAAGAGGACCGGCATGAAGCTGTACGATGCCGTGGCCGAAGAGTGGCTGTCTGGATCTTTCGTCTGCAGTGATGCGAGGAAGCGAAGCACGCCTTCCACGAGGACGCTCGTCGGTTGCCGTTCCGCTTTTTCCTTTGCACTATGAAAACCTGTTGCGTTTGCTTCCAGGCCGCCGTCAATCCCTCAGTTTCAACCCATAGAAACCTGTAGCAGCAGCAGATGCAAGGGTGTGCACCCCTTCATCGTAGACTAAAGACTGAGACCCGAGACCCCCGCCGAAGCAGTGTCGATGCAGGCTTTGGCTCGCAGTGCCATTCAGGAGTCACAGGCAGATGTGAAGGCCAGCAGGGCATGATGTTCTTGCCCCCTGCGCCGCAGCTTTTTCATACGCTGCCAGAGAAATTGCTGTTGAAAGCGTAATTGATTGCCGCAAGTTGTCTGTTCCTTGCCTCTGAACATTGGAAAAAACATGCTTCGCAAGGTGCCAGAGATAGTGATGACCTTGTTTCATGCTTTCTTGACCCTCATTGCTCTCACCGTCAACTTGAAATATCTCTCCACATCAACGTGTGATTCTTGGTTTTGGGCTGTGCCCCGCCTCTGTCCCGCCTCTGATTGCTCATATGTGCGCCCATTCTCTCTTCTGGCATTTTGTTATTTGTTCCTCCTCATACTGCCAACTCACTGCTTCCTCCCCCTCTGCCTTCGGAGGGGCTGCGCAGCCTTCGGAGGGGCTGCGCCTGGATCCTCAACTTCTCAACCCTCACCCAGACAGACCAAAGCCCCCAAAACCGCTGCTCTTCGACATCTTGGGGGCCTGGCGATTCAATGGAGCGTAGTCCGTGTCCCAGATAACAAGACACAACAACGCAGCACAAGAACAAGAGGGGCTAAGATCGTGAAACCAGCAGGCTAGGTTGCAGTAAAGAAGCCTGTTGCAAATAGGGTGGAGAGTTGGGTCGGTTGCCCTTGGAGGTTTAGACTTGTTCCCATTTGGCGCATACTGTTGGGTTTCAGTCGCTGAAGAAAAGGGGCCCTAATCAAGAGTTCGATCCCTGGAAATGACAACTCGGGAATTTCTGATACATTCTGATAAATGGGCTATCGTAGTGTTTTTAGGTCCGTATAGGGTGTTCAAGAACTACCCGGCGCGTGTCTAAACATTGTGCTGTGCAATGAAGGCCCTTGTACAGTCAGCCGTGATCAGCCTGCAGTGTGTTTAGATTTTTCCTGCCCAGTGTACTTTCTGCATCAAGAAAGCCGCCGCTCGTGAACGCGTGAGGCCAAAGACGATGCAAAGACATTCTTCAACGAGGCCGATGTGTGCTGCTGTCGGCCTTGACTGTAGTACGGGCAGAGGGTTTGCTGACAAGGCCCTGGCGCTAGCCATGATGGCCAAGGCCCCCATTGAGGCTGGGCACAGCCTGCTTGCGGCAGCTCGCGCAACGCAAGTGCGCGACGTGCGTGAGGTGCAGGCCACGGAAGGCGAAGAAGTCGAAGTGGATGTTCCCGAGGGGCTGAAGGTCGGGCTGGATGGACAGTGTACCTGGTCCCATGAGTCCAAGACCTGCAAGCCCAGATTTTGCAACTTGACGAGAGGCTGGGGATGTGTTTCACATCCTTTGGGAGGGCGAGGAATACGAGCTGGTTGGAGCCTCAAGTTGAGTGGCTCACCTTTGGGGCTTCCTGGGGTGCACACCATACTCGCAAGAATGAGGCCGTGCCAGAGGGCGCTCAGCCTGGGCAGGCCATGCGCGTGCGACTCTCCCACGAAGCGCAGCAGGCCACAAAAACGATGCCAATTTTGCAAAAGGGGTTTTCGAAAATCAGGGACCCCTGATGTAGACCCCCGAAATAGTAGCATTCCCTCAGAATCAGGACCCCAATAGTTTACCCCTCATATCGTAAACCCCCATATCTATAGCAGAAAACCTTCAAAAATGAAGATCTATTGTCACATTGTGCAGGAGAAGTTGAAGGTTGTCGTGCCTGAAGACTTCCAGCCCGGAGATTCCTTGAGGATTGAGCCGCCTGGTGTGAGATCAGTGCAACAGAGAGTGGACCTTGTACGTGCTGTACACGAAGCCCAGTTGTACGTGGGCTGGCTATATGGCTTGTGTTTTTTGCATAGGGACGGGAGGCATCCGTGTTCTGGCTGGCGCCTGCCAGTGCTCATGGCGTCCATAGCATTCCTGGTGGACATCTCCCCTGCCCTTGCACATCCTTGCACCATCGCTCCCCATCTAGTTTCCCACAGCATTTCCGGTTTGCCGGTTTTCCCTTGGCCCGATGCTGCAGTTGGTACTTTGCGCACAGGGGCCATGGTTTCACATGGCAAGATGGATGGGGTTGGATGTCAAAGGGCGGCACAGTAGCTATGGCTTCTGAGCCTGGCATAAGAGTCAGAATGTCTGTCCTCATGATGTGTGTGTGTGTGTGTGTGTGTGTGTCTGTGTCTGTGTGTACTTTCAGCCCTTCCCTGCACAACTCAGGAAAGGCGGGAAGAAGTACGACGTCGTGGTTCCTGATGACATGAAGCCTGGCGAGATGTTAGAGATTGCGGTGGAGAAGGACCGGGGGCGGTTGAGCTTTAGGTATGCGGAGGTTTCTGCAGATAACGCTTCTTTTCCAGGAATCGGGCAGGCAATCGGACAGCCAGACCCAGCCTATGAATCAGACCATGCAGAGCACCATGCGGAGCACCATGCAGAGCTTGTTCAGCAGCTTGCCAGGTTCTGGCCCCGGCAGTCATTTCGTCTCAAGGGTCTGGGCTTTGATCTGCGAAATCGCGCTTGAGAGCGTTCCGCAAGGCAGCACGGCCTCCTCGAACGACCCCTTCATGACGGCCCTCGAAGCCTCAGGTGGCTTGGGAGGGAACTGGGTTCGTGTCTTTGGGGTTTCTGGTTCCTGATGTCTTCCGCACTGTACGAACTTCACAATTGCCCTGCTCCCTCCCTCACACATGGCTCAAATGTTAGTTGTTGAGAAAGCGGCCAGATCTCCAACATCCTACCGTCCCACAGCTCTCTGTGACACAACCCATCACTGAGCGAAGGCAACTCGCAACCCTCTGCTCTGCCGCCCACTTCCACGCTGCCGGTGAAGAAGGAGGTGCGGCGCATTGCTCGTGTGAAATGTGGGAGGGGTGGGAGGATGCAGGGCTGTCAGCTGCTTGGCTCGATTGGAGGTCCGGCTGGATGTCCCAGACATGACCGACACTTCCTTGGGAGTCCGAGCCTTTGCTTTGTTATCTTTGCCTTCTTGAGACTCGCAGGCTTCTCATTGCTCGTGGCTGCTTGTGTTGAGAGGCAGCCGCTTCGCCGGCGAGTCCTGCTGGCCTGTCACAGGGCTCGTACGACTTTGGTTCGAGCATGTCCAGTTTCGTCCACCTCCGGAAGAAGCAAAAGGAAGCCAAAGAGTCTACGGGAGTACAGTCGACGTCAATGGCCGTTCACACTGCCGGCGCTTTCGAGGTTCCAGCCGTATCGTGCAATTTCTTCTTGCAGTCGAAGACACGCCAGCAGGGTTTCTTGTCCGATGTTCGTTCGCGTACGTGCGCAGCACTCGCCATGTCTTACGCGTGTAGCACTCGTCAGGTTTTGTTGAGATTCTGGACGGTTTTCCTACTTCAGCTTCATCAGTCTGTAATGTTAAAGCTATGCGACCCGCCTCGGCCTGGGCCTATCCAGCGGCGAGGCAAACCCAAACCGCAGATCGCGGGTGTGAAGGGTGCTGCTATAAAAGGCTTCAAGGCTTGGGGCCTTGCGCAATCATTCCCCTTTTGGGGATGCTGTTGCAACAGGCTCATGCACAGACAGATGCGAAAGTGACAAAACCAGAGAAACAAAGCAGAGTTGAAGGGTGGGTTGGGGCCGGGTGCGGGGTGGTGGGTGTGAGGTGCGGGCAAATGCCTTGTGGTCCCGATGCGCAGCAGGGGGGGGGGGGGCTCCAATTCCAGGCCAAGAAGTGCCAAATATAGGGCCGTTGGGGAGGGATTAGATGTGGGGTTCCTGCTTCATGCAATTTTTATCCCCATACACCTATGTGTCGAGGCCTTGGCCGATAGGATGTGGCTTCGGGTTTTGTGAGCATGATCAGCAGGCCGCCGCCCACCACCAGAGTCACCACCACTGCCACCGTCTAGCCACCACCGCCGGTAGAGACATGACTTTCATGGTATGTTGAAAGATCGTGGTCGAGACTTGCCGAGCGTGTTGAAACAGCACGGTTGTGTGCTGTAATCTCGGCATGTGTCGGCGTAGTTGGCCAATGACTGTCGCAGTACGTATTGGGGGTACATTACATACGCTAGGGCTGAGAATCAATGTCCAGGCAGGCAGTTACCCAGGCAGAATTCAAACAGTCAACTTTCCGTTTGCACTCCGTGGCAGTCGTCACTGCGCCAGGTTCATCCGCCTTTGGGGCGGCTTCACCGCCTCCTGGTGCTTGACAACCAAAACCATGGTGATTGTAAACGCTTTCGCGCGCCGCCTCAGCCGGGCCGGCCCAACGCGGGGTTTAACGTGCGCATTGCAGACGAAGGAAAGCCAAAGTCACATGTCGTTCGGCGCAGCACCACTCGCGTCATGAGTGCAGGAGGCTTTCCAGCATCTCAGGGGCGCCAAGGGGCGTCACAGCTGCTACAGTATGAAGTAGATACAGTATGAAGTAGAGAACATTCGGTATTGTATGCGCGATGCGGGAAAGCTAATGCCGTTGACGGGTTGCATAGCTCTGGCATGTGAGGGCCCTGAGCCATCAGTATGCTGCTAGCGAAGTCTCAGAACTTGTATGCCAGGTAAATCACACCTGCAAAAGCTAGAATGTCTGGCTTTGTTGTTGATAGACAGATATGCAACTGTAGGTAGAGGTAGGTAGATGGATAGATATGTCCATATATAGAATTCATCATCGTCTCTCTGAAAATAACATATCCCGCGTTAATGTTTGACATCCAACTGTGAAAAACTCAAGGGGAACAAAAATCGTGTGGAAATACTCAGTCAAAACAAGCTAGAAATATGTGTGCATGTTAATATATGTGTGTGTCTGTTTCAATCTCAGATGTTTTATTCCAAAGATATCAAAAGATGTACGTGATTAGATGCTCAGATATTGGACACTAAATAGTTTCAGTACATTGCAGTAGCTGTGATATCAGTCTATGTTGCGTCGGTTTTCTTGAGACTCCAGAGATGGCAGCTTCGTAGCTGCTTTCAGCGCTTTCGTCGGTGCTTGAAGCCGCCTAAAGCCGCCTGAAGCCGCCTGAAGCCGAAGCTGCCACCCAAGTTTGCGCAAACTTTGCCGGGAGGTGCTTCGAGGACCCTGGGGCCAAGCCTTGGCTCTCAGAGGTTGGACATGGCCTGTGTTGAGGCGTTGAACACTGCCGTACCGCCCACAGTTGCCAGATGCCGTAACAGGCCCCTGGACGTGTCGATGAGCTCGCTGCACTTTCGACCTGGACTTCCTCCGGCTCGTCCGGCGCCAAGACATCACTTAGTGGCTTCGTAACTTGAAGCATTCAGGCATTGAGCAGTTCTGCTAAACGGTGTAGCCCATGTTTACGTGAATGGGGGGCCGTATGCAGGCACGATGGCTGGAGCCTATCCACCGCTCAGCTCTTCGGCATCCTCTCCATTGCTTGCGAATGCTGGCGTGGCGAGCTTGGAACAAGCTCTCTGAAATTTTGGTAGAGACGTCCTCAGCAGCCGAATTGCTTGGTGCAGTTCCTGCAGCCCGGACGTCCAGGCTGCCACACTGCCCGGCCGTCGAGGTCCAGGCCCCATGGTCGGAGCCCAATTTCTTTGCAAGGAGTTCTGCGGCGGTGCTCGATCGTGCTCGGTTGTTTTTTTTTTTTTTTTTTTTTTAAATGGGCGTTGAGCCGAGCCGAGATGAGTCGAGGGAGTGCCCGCTCGGACGCAGCTCTTCGATGATCTTGCAAGTGCCGAGGCCACATCGATGCGCGCACAGGGACCAGGCCACCTGAGTGGAGGTGGTTGAGGTAACAAATGAGAACAAGTGGTAACCGGTTACCTGGTACTGTCGCAGTTACCTCTTCAACATCTGCACAGACGCGACACACGCAGGACTCATGACTCCGGATGGCTGCTTGCTTTGGGAGGCGGGAGAATTTGGAGCGTTTCCCACATGTACAAAACATGCACGGCGCGAAGGTGAAGCTGCAGAAGTCCAGTCCGGACGATCGCAAGCTACTCAGAAACTCATAGTGACGGTTTAAACGGAGGTGTGAAGACTCAATGCGCCGCCCCAGATAAGAGTTTGTGGGGGGAAGTTTTCAGCCTTCACGCTCCATCGCACTCCGGTGCCTTCGTGTGTGCCTTCCTGTCCTGTTGCGCTCGCAAAGGGCCTCGCTCTCAAGTGCCAAGAGTCTTTTTGCGGACTTTTCAGACATCCGGCAAGCAACATGCAACAACTACTGGCAGTTGCAGAGCCTTCTGAGACACAGTATCTGACTCTTCAAGTCTGCAGGCAGGCCGTACACTTATGACACTCACCATGCACACGCCACAGGATCCAACTTGAGCCCAAGCTGCAGCATCATGCTGCGCCATTTCGTCCAAACCTTGCACGGCGATGTTCTCTTTTTTGCCGCGGCCCCTGGACAGCGCATGCACAGAGATCATCAAGGCATGCAGCGCCGAAGGGCTCGAGGATGACGATGATGAGGCAGACGAGAAGCAGGCCGGGGGGATGTCCACAGATGCCCACTGATGCCCACTGATGTCCACTGATGTCCACTCATGTTCACGGATGCTCACCTCCATGGGGAGATAACTGTGGGGAGAAGCTGAGAGTCCTGACTGTATGAAAGTGTACTCCACGCATCGCAAAAGCAGGCAAGTGTACACTGGCTTGCGCTTCAGTAAACTACGTGTAGGCTAGTCGTCCATCATTCACACACCAGCCGAGATGCTCGTGCAGGAAAACTCCTTCACAGTCCCACCTTGGCAGGACGGACAGGACCATGTGTTCTCCTTCTATGACGAGCTGTCACCAGAAGAGCAGCGGCAGTTGGACGACCAGTTTGATCGAATCAATGCCGAGGAGTGCAAGCCCATAAGCCCAGCTCAAATCTTGAAACGTTAACCGTTAAGAAATGACGAGGATCAAGGGCAGCGTCGGCAGCGTACCGAACTTTGTGAGTAGATTTGAGCGCACAAATCCGTGTGCAACACGAGGAGTTCGAGAGAGCTTGGAGGCACGGCGCAGATGAGACCAGTCTTGCCGAGCAGGGCATCCAGACCGTGCCCCCGTCCCTGATGAACTGGGCATCTGGACTCAGCTTTGACATGGGCAGATGAATATAGGTGTCGGAATAATTACTAAGAGTATTCCCTTATGGTCCCTATGTAATTGTATTATAATTTCTAGAGTAACCCCCAGCCCCTACATTATTTGCGCAGGCATTTGCGCAGGTTTCCACATGGCGTGTGTTCCCGGGATGCACAGTGTCAAGCGCAGTGGGAAATAAGGATCGCAAGAAACCGCCTGAGCTAAAAGAAGGCGCCGCTCGGATGGAAGTGGGCTACATCTTTAGATCTGTTGGTGTCATAACACTGTTGACACCGTCACAATTCGTGGGAGAGCTTCGCAAGTTCTTACTGATTGTTCGTCTCCAGTGCGACCCTGCACCAAGCATTCATGAGCCAAATCACATGAGCTACTTGGTGAGTCTTTCCCAGATGTGGCGGGCGGGGGTGGGGGTGGGGGGGATGCATTGTGTGCTGGGTTGATACAGCTGACAGCTGAAGACTTCTGGGCATGAATAGACTCTTTGTTTTGTTGGGATGTGCCCCTTTGTACTGGCTAGCAGTCCTTACTAGGGATTATAGTACCCCCTATTATAGTATCACAATCCCTAGTAAGGACTGTTAGTGTAAGGTTGTTTGGGAAATTTCTGAAGGGTTCCTCCTTGGGGTGGAGGTGTTGGTGCTGCCAACATGGCAGGCGCCAGAAGTTCACAGATGACTATCCACGGGTCATGACAGCAAGAACTGCACACGAGTCCCCAACTCAAGCACAACAAAAGTGCCCGCATTGTCGCGCAGCACGCACTTGAGAAGGCTCTGACGCTTTTTGCTCGTTTGCAGTTCGGCTGCTATGGGTCTCAGGTGCACAATGTGGACACAGGAGTGCAGGAAGAGCAAGCACAAAGACAAGCACAAATTGGCACAAGGCCTGACTATGATCGATCCACAGCCCACCAGCCCAGGCCAATATCACCAAGCTCGCAGACGTCAGCGAGCGGAAATGGACTGCCTGGCAAACCCTTGGTCTCGAGATGTATTCTCGCGTCGCTCGGCTCGGGGGCGCTTTGCTGCGCAGTGGTTGGTTGAGTCTTGCCATGCCTTGCCCCAGTGCTCCGTATGAGTTCCTGTGAGGACAGGGTGGCCATAGTGATCATGTCCGGTGGGAAAGACTCCCACATTGGTGGACGGGTGCCGAAGGGTGCTTTGGATGTGGGTCTGTTGTCTCACAAGTCCATCTTCCAGCTTTACTTTGAGAGGATCAGAAGGCTGCAGCACCTGGTTCAGCGGAAGTTCCCTCAGAAAAAGGTAAACATTCCCGTGTACATAATGTGCAATGGCGACAACAAAGAAACCATCGAAGACTTCTTTCGCGAAAATTTCCGCGACGGCAAGTTCTTCGGCATCAGAGAGCAGGATGTCCTTTTCTTCACCCAGGGCGACTATCCAATCTGTGACAAGCGCTGGAAATACCTTCTGGAAGAGAAGCACAGGATTGCGTTGAGCCCAAATGGCAACGGTGGTATCTTCAAAGCCTTGGTAGAGGAGGGCATGGTTTCTGATATGAAAAGCAGGGGTGTGACGAGCATCTACGTACCTGGACTGCAGGAAGTGCATTATTTCGGACTCGCGTGTTATATATATATATATAGATATAGATATACAGATACATATATCTACAGGCCTTGCGGCACGGGCCGGCCTGGCCGTCTGAAAGCTGAAACTCGGGTTTGGGTTTAGGGGTTTAGGGGGCGCAGGGAGTCGGGACGTAATCAAGAAGACAGGGAAAAAGACAAAAAAATAAGAAGAAGAGAAAGAAGAAGAAGAAAATAAGAAGAAAAAGAAGAAGAGGAAGAAAAGAAAGAAGAAAAAAAGAAAAAGAAGAAGAGAAAGAAGAAGAAACAGAAGACGAAGAAAAAGAAAGAAGAATACACAGAAGAAGCAGAAAAGAAAAACAGAAGAATAACAAGAAGAAAGGGTACAGGAAGAACAAGAAGAAGAGAAATAAGAAGAATAAGAAGAAAACAAAGAAGAAGAAACAGAAGAATAATAAGAAGAACATGAAGAATCATGAAAAGAAGAAGGAGAAAAGAAAGAAGAAAAGGAAGAACAAGAAAAGAAAGAAGAAGAAGCAGAATAATACTAAAAGAAAGAAGAAGAACAAGAAGCAGAATAAAAGAAAAGAAAGAAGAATAACAAGAAAGGGAGATTAAGAAAAAGAAGAAGAAGAACAAGAGAAAGAATAAGGACAAAAAGAAGGAAAAGAGGAAGAAGACAAGGAATAAAAACAAAAAGAATAAGAAAAAAACAAACAGGAGGCAGAAGAGAAGAAAGAACAGCCGAAACCCTACGTATAATCCTCTGCGTGCGCGCGCACGGGCGCAACAGCATCATTGGCATCAATGGCTTGGGGGTGGGGGCCGAAAGTCGCGAAACACGCCCAAAACACGACGAAACCAAGGTTTTCTCGAGAAAAGCACGCTTTCTCCGAGGTTTGGCGCTGCGTGCATACACGGCAGCCTTAACGAGGAGTTTTTGAACAGTTTTTCGCGCAACACACAACAAACACGGTATTTACCACGTTTCCGGCCCCTCGGACCCCCCCCCCCCAAGCGAGCATCCTGAGCATCAGCGAGGCCCTCATGAGCATCAGCGAGGCTCCGGAGCCAGGACCCGACGGCCCTGGAGGAATGAAGGGCTCATGATGCGCACCCGTGGGTGCGTCTCGCGGGCGTCGGCTGACGCCCGCGAGGCCTTGGGTGTCAATGATGCTCACCGTGGAGGCGCGGCAGTGCCCCGAAAGGAGGTGTGTGTCGAAACACACGAAAAACGCGGTATTTACGGTGTTTTCTGGCTTTATTGAGGTGCCCGGGCCCTCCTGTGGCCCCGGGGGCGGGTCGCTGATGCTCATGATGCTCGCCCCTGTGGGCGGGGGGTACCCCCCAAAACTTGAGGTACAAGGTCTTTTTTCGCATGTTCGCCCAAGGTCAAAAAGCAGGGTCGATGATGCGCGCCGGGTCACGCATCATGAGCCCTCCAGGGCGTTTGGTGGCCCTCCAGAAACGCAAAAAAACATGGTATTCACGATGTTTTCGGCACTTCCACGCATTCGCGTTTGGGACCCCGCTCGGAGCCCTCCCGGAGCTCCCCCCCGGAGCCTCATGCAAGGAGACATGCCATTTTCAGGGCGGGTCGGCGGCAGTGGCGGCGCCCGCATAACGGCAAGCCTTTAGGCTAGCCGTGCTCCGCACTGGCCCACGACGGCCAGGCCGGATTTAATGGCTACCGCCAGGGCCGCCGACCCCTCAACTTGATCCTCCTCGCACGTCGTGGCCAGCATGGACCTGGGTTAAAAGAAATAACATCTCGGGTTGGAGCCTACGTCTCGGGAACTCAATGTCAAGGCACTCAGTCAGTGATTCCTACTTTCCTCAAACTCCGAACATTCGGGTTTATGGTTTTGGGTTTTGGTCTCGGTCTCGGGCTCCCGCGGATGCCTCGGGCGAGCTGAGGCCCCGGGCGAACTCGTAGCACTCAATTTTTAAAACACATGGCACGTGGCACATGACATCCAAGGCCCTCGGACTCGGGCCCTGAATGAGCATGAGCCTTTTTGTGATGCTGTGACAAACAGTGCACTTGGGCACTATCTGAGCACAGCATCGGTTTGGAGCTGTGACGAACACGCCCAACACTCGGGCATGTTCGAGCACAGCTCCCCCACTTCGGACTCGGCCAGCGAAATCGCCGTTGTCGAAAGCTCAGGCTGTTTGCTGGGGTTTCGGGCTTACTCGGGCTTAAACTTAATATCGGGCTTAGAGTCTCGGGCTTAAGGGTCCGGGTTTAGGGTACAGGGTGTAGGCTTATTAGGGGTTGGGGGTTGAAGTCTTGGTCTCGGGCCCACCCACCCCCACTACACCCTACAACAAACACACAGAGGCCCCGGCACGGTTGCTTCAACGACGATGGTGTGGTTCGGCAGAACATGGACGAAAGGAAGGGTGGTTAGGGTACCAAAACTCGGACTCGGCCGGGCGCTTGGTTAAGTGAGACTCGGGCTTTCCGGCTACCTCAAACTCAAACCTGGTTAAGTGGGACTCGGGCTTTGGTGATGTTGCACATGGCTACTGGTCCTGAGACTCAAACCTCGGGCCTAAACAAGGCAGACACAAATAGCATTATATATATATATATATAAATATCTTATTATCTAATCATAGTAATACTATATATTATACACAACTAACTGGAGCAAAAAAGCTTAGAACCTGCCAAGAATCTGCTTAAATTTTAACAAAAATGTAAAGAAACAAAGTAATGAAAGTTAAAAAACTAATGAAAATTCATTAACAATCAATTGATGAAATTAAATTAATTAAATTTACTGAAAATTAATCAATAATCAAAATGAATCAAAATATATCAAAATTAGTTCCAAATAGTTAAAATTAATCAAAACTAGTGAAAATTCATTCAAATTACTTAATGAATTACACTGAATTAAAATTAAGTAATGAATTAAAATTAGGTAATTTACATTAATTTACAATCAATTAAAAGTGATTAAAATTAGAGTCCGGGGGACTGTGGGCGTGCACTTTTTTGTGTTTTTTTTTACTCTCTCGTACTTGATAACTATCGTTCAATCTTCAGGTGGTGATCTCTCTCATCTTAATTATGAAATTGCCTTGTCATAATTTGTGCGAGAACATGCTATGTATGAAGTGCTACTACGCTTCATGCCAGGCCTTGATCACATGGAAACAGCTTTTCAGATCAAGTGAGTGTCCCAGTGTTTTGGGCTATAGCAAGATATCCAGGTGAGTCTATACCCGGCTTAGTTCGTGAACTAGGAGGACAAGACGGAGAACTCACTTTCGATGAGGCTGTTGGTCAAGTAGCAGGTCAAAAACTCAAAGGACCAGAGACACGACCCATCAAGTGCGATCGTCGGAACGGTGTCGGTCCCCTCCCAACGGCCTACCCTTGCTTCAACTTTTCTTAGTATAGTCAGAACAAGGAATCCTAAGCTCTCATATTTGAGCACCGGGAAATGAAGGACAGCTATTGGGACAATTGGGACACCCGCCTCACAGGCTGCTACTCCATGTTTTGAATCTTGACAGGACAATGATGGCTTTACAGTAGTTTGTATGTGTTAGTTTATCTTGGCAACTTGTTCTTTCGAAGGGCAAAGAATGTTGCTTTATTAGATAAACTGTAGTTTCGCCAGGCAAAGTGTTAATCAAATACCATACGGAAAGTCCACTGAAGTGCTTTGTTTTTACGCATGAATGAAATAGTCAATGTATATTATACAAAGCATTTGCCCTATGCGAGTTTAACTAATGCAGCACTTAGTATATAGCTGAATATTGACTAAATGAATTCAACTTAAAAAGGCTGTTTTTTGCACAACTAAAGCACGCGCTAGACACCTTGAGTTTCATAATAATGAAACCAATGCTACTGAAGTACTAGTTAAAGACGACTGATGCGCGATGCCTGAAAAGAGACAGGCTTTAAAATGCACAATTCTCATAGTAAAGTAGTTGTTGCCTCACAAAGGTCATAGCACAAGAAAATTCACAAACGCAAAAAACCGAAATGCAAGCTTCTCAGGAGAACGTCTGGTGAAGTTTGGATTTGAGGGTTTTGAAGTCTCTCTAGATAAATAAAGCAACTGTTTAAGCAAATAACTCTAGGCAACAAACCTGTTTCCAGGCAAATATTGCTTCTACTAGGCAAAATATTGCTCAAATATTGCTCAACCATGCAGTACTCATTTCATGCTGATTCTACCAATCTAGCAGTCAGTGAATATACCAATCTAGCAGTCAGTGAATATTCAATTATTGGGTGAGTGCAAGATTTATTGAATATACACAGAATATGACATAATGCTCAGTAAATGGTACTTGACAACAGAAAACTAACTCAATTATGCACTACTGAAATACCATTTACATACTATTTGCTTAGACAAGTGCAATTTACATAGAAAAGCCTTGAAAAGCACAAATTCCTAAGAACCGTACCATCCACCCAGTAAAGGCTATAGTACTGAGCATGGGAATGCGGGGTTTGGGGCAGAACCAATGCTCAAACGCTCTTTACATGCTACTTGAATATGAAACTAAATCCTTCATGTACCCATTAAATACAGTACTCTTTAAATATACGATGCCTAGAAAAGTACAATTTATATAGAAAAGCGTAGAAAAAAGCACAATTTTCTAAGAGGGAAGGGGGGCTCAGGCAGGAAAGGCAGTACGGAAAAGCACAAAAAAGCCACAAACGCACAAAAACACACAAAAAGCTAAAATTAGGAAAAAGAACATAAAAGCCAAACAAATATATTTCAGGATTCTCCACAATATTCTCACGAAAAAACAACAATATTTCAGGACTCTCCACCAAATCTGTACGGAAAGACAAAAAAAACCAAAAAAACAAAAAAAAACCCAAAAAACCAAAAAAACCAAAAGAACCAAAAAAACCAATTTTCAGGGACTCTTTGAAATTAGGCCATCTGCTGGAAGAGTCGTGAAATATTGTTTTTTTTTGTTTTTGTGGTTCTTTTGGTTTTTTTGGTCTTTTTGGTTTTCCGTACGGATTTTCCGTACGGTTTTGGTGGAGAGTCCTGAAATATTGTTCTTTTTTAGTTTTTTTAGTTATCCGTGGGACTGGAGAGTCTAGAAATATTGTTGTTACTAGGGTTTTTTTAGTTCTTCAACAGCGACAAAAGGCAGAGAAAGTGCGCGCCCACAGTCCCCCGTTTTGTAAAATTAATTGAGATTGATTAAAACTAATTAAAATTGATAAAAATTAATTATAGAATTAATTAACATTAACTGATTAAAATTGATTGAATTTGGTTAAAATTGATGAAAATTGATGAAATTGATTAAAATTTCTTAAACTTGATTCAAAAACTACTTAAAACTAAATATTGAAATACATTAAAATGAATTCAAACTAATTCAAGTTAATTGAAATTAATTCAAATTAATTCAAACGAATTCAGTTCAATTCCAAAGAGTTTCAATTAAGTGAAGTAATTCACACTAATTTCAAAAGTAATTCAAATTAAATTCAAATAATCAAATGACTTAGACTAAGTCAAATTAAATTCAACGTAATTCAAATTAAGTCAAAATGAATTTAAATTAATTGAAATTAAAAATCAAGAATAATAATTAGTTTAATTAATTAAAATTAGTGAAAATAATTCAAATTGATTAAAATTTAATTGAAATTAATTAAAATTAATTAATTTGACGTAATTAAAATTAATGTAAAATTAAATATATGAATTAAAATAAAATTAATTAGAATAACCTAAGATATCTAAAATTATTAAAATTTAATGATAAAATAATCAAAATTATTTAGAAAATTATTTAAAATTAATTAAAAAATGGTTAAAACTAATTAAAAATTTGATATTAAAATTAATTAGAATTAGTTTTTGAAAGTTTTCGTTTAAAAAACTAATTAATTAAAATTATTTGAAATTAATTGAAACTAAAAACACAAAGTAATGAAAATTTCTTAAAAATAATAAAAGTAGCGTAAAAAATTAACCTAAAATAATTAACATGAATTAAATTGCTTAAAGTTACTTAAAATTATCTAGAATTAAAGCAACATGTAATTAACATTAATAACATAATTAACATTAATTAACATTGAGTTAAAATAACTAAATGAATTAAAACATTTTACAAGTTTTAAAGACTAAAAAATAAACATAATTAAAAAACATTGAAAATCAATTAAAAAGGTAATTCAAGTAAATTAATCAAAATAAATAAAAAAATAAATTAAAAATTAAAATAATTAAAATTAATTAAAAGTAAGTTAAAATTAAACAAAATTAAAGGAAAATGAAATAAATTAAAATCACAAGTTAGATGATTTCAATGTAATTAAACGGTTGTAGAAATTTAATTAAAATTAAAATGAATTCAAATTAATTAAGATTAATTAAACTTAAGGAAAATTAATTAGCTAAAAGAAAAAAAAGAAATACTTTAAGTGAATCAAAATTAGTTAAAATTTATAAACTTAATCAAAATTAATGAAAATTAATAAAAATTAATAAAAATTTAATGGAAATTGAAATTAATCAAAATTATTTAAAATCAATTAAGATAAATTAAAATCAATTAAAACCAATCAAAATTATTTGAAATTAATTAAAATTACTTAAAATTAATTAAAATTAATTAAAATTAATTAAAATTAATTAAAGTTACTTAAAATTTATCAAATTTGTAAAAATTAATTGAAATTACTTCAAATTAATTAAATAAAAAAACTTATAAAATGACATGAAGACGAGTAAGTGAAAGTGTTCATGATGTCTGGTGCGTCGGTGAACGTGGTATGTGCATGGTGTGTGGCGCGTGGCGCATAATCCGTGGTGTGTGTGTGTGTGAGATGTGTGATGTGTGCATGGTGGTTTGCGACGCGCGTACTGCGTGGTGCGTGGTGCGTATGGTGTGGTGCGGTGCATCCTGCGTAAAATAAAAACCCTGCACAAAGATGTGGGGGAAGTAATTAAACTGAATTAAAAAGAATGTCATTCATTGTCATTCATTGTCATTCATTGTCATTCATTGTCATTCATTGTCATTCATTGTCATTCATTGTCATTCATTGTCATTCATTGTCATTCATTGTCATTCATTGCCTGTGGTGTGGGCGTGGTTGGGGGGGTTCTGGGGTTTAAGGTCTCTGTGGTGCGGGTGTGGTTGGGAGGTTAGGGGTAAGGGTTAGGTGGAGGGGGAGGGGGGCATACTATTCAGGGGGGGGGGGGGGGGGGGGGGATATACCATGCAGGGGGGGGGGATACCATGGGGGGGGGAGGGGGCCACGGAGCCCGGGACCACATATATGCGCCGACCCAGCGGGAGCGGGGCGGCGTCAGCCGCCGCTGCCCTTGCTTCGCCGCCCCTTGCCCTGAACCGATAAAGAAATATATTAATAAATATAGATAAATAAATATGTATATATATCTATATGTATTTGCCGAAAGGGTGCTCTGGAAGTGCCGACTGACGCGCCAGCGTTCTCTGTTGCATTGCAGGTCTGCAGCATCGACAACATCCTAGCCAAGGTCGGTGACCCGATCTTCATCGGCTTCTGTGACACCTGCAAGGCAAGGGAATGGCCCCAAACAGAACTGGACAGGTAATGGGCCGAACGGGTAATGGCTCTGCGCAGGGAAAGATGTAGGGAGGCGAAGTTTGAGAATTGAGAGGCAGATGCTGGCCTCAAGACCATGGAGAAGGTGCTCCCAGAGGTGCGCAAGCATGCGAAAGCACCTGTGGGATTCTGCAGGGGTTTCGCCGACTTGAGGGAAGGATGCCAAAGGCGTTGAGTGTGGTATGGTTCCATTATGTTCCATTGAGCCAGGAGCAGTATGGCATCTTCTGCTCCCAAATCTACCGGGACGTCTTTGAAGACGTGGACGGGGATGGCAAACTCGACTCAACTTCCAAGACCAAGGCATCCGTTCTGGAGTTTTTCGAGATTCCGGAGGACAAGCGCTGGAGTGGCGGGTAGGTTGCACAGAGAGGGGTGTCCCTAAACCCTAAATCCTAAACCCAAAACCCTAAAAAGCACGATTCTTGAGAGGACTTGAAGAAGCGGCGAAAGCAGGCGTGGAAAGGGAGGGAGAGAAACAGATGGTGATACTTTCGGGCTCCGTGCTTCCTGTCACAAGAACTTCACCCATGTGCTGCCAAACCTGATCCAGGCAGGCTCCGGTGGAATGCCACTGGAACTGAGTGCTGGAAACTTGTCTCAGTACTTCTTCAAGATCGACTTTGTCAAAAAGGCGTCGGCTAGAAAGCCAAGCATACAGACATAAGTTGGCTGTCGCCTCTAAATGCCCCGGAGTTTCCAGTTCGAGGGGTGATGCTTCGGATGTCTTTCAGAGGTGGCTCAGCTGCCCAAAGATGCGTGGCCAAAGAAATGGCACGTCATCCCGAAGGCGGGCCCATGTGCGTCGAGCGCTGTCCACACATGTGCCGCACCGTGTGGCGCTGCCAGGCCATGCCCTACGTGGATGTAAAGCTCGGCCACAAGGTGGAGCCTGTTACTTTGCCATAGTTGGGAAACATTTTACATGTTTAAGGGTACTCATGCCCAATAAGGAATATAAATTGAAGATGTTCATGCCATCATTGCTATCCCAGCCATGAGTCAGGTTAAGCACGACCGGAATGCCAGGCGGCTTGAGATGTTCATCTTCGATGCCTTCCAGCTGTGCAAGAGTGTAGTTGCCCTGGAGGCCGGGGCAGCATCGGGCAATATACGGGTCGGGATAACTACTAACAGTTTTCCCTTCGGGCTCCTTTGTACATGTACTACGTATAATATCCCCCCCAAAACCCTATGTATTATTCAGGCCCCTATGTTAGTCCCACCCAAATGCTTCCAAGTTTCAAGGTTCCGCGGGCGGAGTATGCAGTGGTCAAGAACATCTCGGGGCCCAACTCTCCGCAGACGGCAGTGCAGGCACTTGGCCAGCTTCACCAACGCTGGATCATCCGCGCTGGCGGCGAGTTCGTGGACTCCAAGGTGGCCGGGGAAACTGAAGACCTGAAGTGCGAGATCTCACCTCTGGCATCCTATGATGGGGAGGACTTGGAGGGCCAGTTTCTGAAGCCCATCGCGCTCCCCTTCTATCTGCCGTCCCAGAAGGAGATCACGGACTTCTCGGCTGCCACTGCACCGCTTGCTAGGAGGCCCTCGACTCACTACTTGGACTGGCAGTCAGACATCGTCCGTCACGAGCTGGAAGTGGAGCTGCACGCGCAGCTGGGAAATGTATTGGAACTCATGGAACACCCAGACAAGTACCAATACGCGGGAGAGCGCGCAGCCGACAAGGAGAAGCTTCCCGACACGCCTCGCGACACAGGGCCAAAGAGGCCTGGTGCAGCAGCTGCAGCAGCTGCTGCAGCAGCAGCAGAGGCTGCTGAAGATGCTGACGTACGACAAGGCTACAAGGAGAGGGACACAAATGACCCGTCAGACCCATTGACCGCCCTTGAGGGCCCACCTACTGACACGCACATCGACCCCCAAAAAACGATTGCCAGTGAGAAGCGCCAGAAATACTGGGGTCGCGACACCGCCCCGACGAGTGCACGAGCTCCACCTTCGGCGCGAGCTCCACCTTCGGCGCGAGCTCCGCCCTCGGCGCGTGGGGGCCGCGGCGAGGCTTCTCCGCGCGAGCGCGGGAGTGCTCGCGGCAGCGCTCGTGGGGGTGGCAGTGCTCGGGGTAGGGCATCCCCCGGAGAGTGACCAGGATCAGCTGGGCAGTAGGCGTGACACCTGTACATAATGCTCTGCTTCAATCGGGATGAGCCAAGACGGCTTCTCCCGGCGGCTGAACTGAGAACGTCAGGAGCGCGAAGTCAGAGGAGAAGTCAGAGGAGTTATTGCCAGTGTGCGACCAAGTAACAAATACTCTGCACGTATGTATATATTAGTATATATGTCAGATGCGCTGGGGCGGGGCCTTTTTGTTTTTAATGTGCGCAATAGTCTTGAAGGACAAGATTTGACGGCTCAACGAATAAGGACATGCTGATACGAAGTAAGTAAGTCAGTACGTAAGTAACTAAGTAGCTAAGTAAGATACGAAGTAAGCAAGTAAGTAAGGAAGCAAGCCTTGGGACACCAAGGCTTCGGCTTCGCCCACTTCAGCGGCTACGGGGACTTTCTGCTGCTGCCCAAGGGGTGTGCTTATGATAAGGGAATCCTACTATCTAAGGGTCTATTCTGGGGGCCCCCTATTTTCGTAAACCTCCATACTACGGTTAGTCAGAGGATGTCATAGGCAAAGCCGCGGAAGTTGGATGAAGTTGCTGCCATACTTTGGTGCTGTTAGCATTTGCAAGCCCTTTTTCTTCAGGCTGCGGCCAAGCGCCTGTCTTCCTTCTCTAATCCTGAGGCGTGCCCGTGGCCAGCTCTCTGACTCGGAGGTGCTGCCACTTGAAGTCTCCTTTTGCTCTTCTTCTTGCCGTCACGGAACGATCACACGCCCGTCGCTGCTGTTTCCCAGGAGACACCACAGGCCACCCCTTTGGCAACGCCTGGTCGAGGGGCGGGGTGCCTTATTTTCACGGTCCACGGTGCAGAGAGATGGCTGTGGTGAATTGGGGCGTAGTGAAGTGAAGAAGAGCAAGGGCTAGCGGGCACAAAGCACTCTTGGTTAGACAGTTCTGCTTACAGTATGATGTTTTTCCTTTGGCTTCATACAGTTGTGCGCTACACTAAGAAGGAAAACCAAAAATCACGAGCAACCGTTTGATGCAACTCGTAGTGTAGATTAGTGTAGATGCTGAAAGGCTGAGCGGAAGTCCGAAAAGTTTACTTGCGAGCACTAGCCATTGTATGACAACTAGACCTTTTCTCGCTTGCCATGGCCACATAGAGTTTGCATGATGAGGCTATGGACGGCAGCGGCCGTTTCCACAAAGCACCCAGGGTGCCCAGCCTTAACTGAGACTGGGCTTTCTGGCAGCTCCCTGCTTACAGTATCTGCTGGCAGGCGTAGGAGGTTTGTGCGCATCCACCTGTGAGGTACTGGTGGTGCGTGAAATTGTACGGATCCTAGTCGACCCTTTCGCGGAACAAACGCTCCATCGTGCAGTGTAGCCTGAAGATGCCTTAAACCCTTGATAGTCATGCACGTGCTGCAGATGGCCTCTGTCTTGAAAGGCAAAAGGTGGTGGTAAGTGACATTTTCTTGTCGCTGCTTTCGTGAAGGCCCCCGGCGGCCTCCTGGCTGCTTGGAACCGCACGCACCCGGGTTGCGAGGTACCGCTGGGGGAAATTCGGAAATTTGGGCACGAAAAAACAGTCGCACTGCAATTGCGGATTGAAGCGCTGCTAGCTTGAAAAGAGTCAGCCCCAGCTGCTCCCAAGAGCAGGTCGTTGCGTTTGACCGTGTGTACGCTGTGAATGGCAAGAGTCGGGTGGAGGACGCAGCGGTTTGGTTGCAAGTTCTGTGATGCACATCTAATGTCATTTCCTTCGTGCTACCGCGTTGACTCGTGCTCTCGTAGTTCCAAGGCCTATGGCTAGAGCAAGTTCACCAGTCTTTCTCGGACATACGTGCCGGCAAGAGTTGCATTGATGCCAGGAGATGCAGCAGGAGCTACGCAAAAGCGCGATGATAGTTCTGAAGTCTCAGCCCCACATTGGCTGCGCGATGCTTCGTGACACGAACATGAGTAGCGGAACGGTCGCTGCATCCATAAGTCCGGGGCACGGCAGATGGCGCACCATCAAGCAGCAACTACACTACCGCCAAGGATCGTTCGCTACCCACAGATGTTTGCAGTAGAGCCAGGACCTTATTCAGCGTTGAGCTCTGAACCCCTGCATGGTTCCTTCTTTGGGGGGAATCTTTCGGTAGTCAGGTCATCAGACAAAACCAGTAGATGGGAATGGCTGGAGCAGCATCGGAACTTCAGCTGAACCTGTCTCATTGCGTGCTTCCATCCCCTAAAGGCGTGAGGAACTCAGCGCTGGCAATCGCAGAAACCGGTGCCTAGCAGCTAGGAACGAGCATTCCGACAGGGCCCCCGTCCTGTGGTAACTGAAGTTAGTCACCAGCCAGTCACATCCCTTTCGGTTTGAGTTGGTGCCACAACGCTGAAACATAGGAGAACATTGCAGCCACCACTTCAGGTAGCCGACAAAGCTTGCGAGAATCAGGGCCTTCGCTAATTTCTCTGTGATTTGAGGTTGCGTGCAGACTCGCACGGACCTGTGCCTATTGGAGTTCGTGTGGAAAGGCCACAAGCTAGCACAGCCATTGTAGTTGCAATGTCGTGACTGCATGCAGCCGATATGTCCACGGGAGGTTGACATGGCTCCTCCACTTAGCCAGTTGCTTTGCAGGCCGCCAACCGACTTCGCACCCGAGCTGAAGGTCACTGAGGCGCATTGTCTACAACAGTCATCTCAGATGCTGACGCGACGTGTAATCTGCTAGAGCTGCTGGATCAACAGCACCAAGCACCCCAGGTGTCCAGCGACGGTGCCTTGGAACAGTTCAACCTGGCCCAAATCAGGCCGCACAGCGATGCGTGCCACCGCAGCGTGCATGTGCCTGATACTGCTCCAAACTGAAGCTTAAACCCTAAACCCTAAAACAAAACCCTAAACCCTAAACCCTGAAAAAGACATCTTTCAGCAGCAGCTATCCTTGGAGGATGGGCCGCTTCCATTTGGTGGTGTTGCCGGGCATGCCGCGCCGCCAGCGAGTGCTGAGGGACTGAGGGAGGTGACAGGCAGGCCCTAAGATTCGTTTAAGGCTGCCCTTAAGGCTTGTAATTGTCTAGACTGTATCACTCTTGTATCTAGCTTGAGCATCGGCCTTCTGCGCAATTTCCTGCTCGCCTTTCACATTCTCTCAAGCCCCGACCAATTCACCTTGCTGCAAGGTTCATTCGGAAAGCCAACCAGACACAAGGCCCGCTAAGCTTGGCCACGGTTACGGACAAGCTGGCCTAGCCCTGTGTCTTTCGAAAACCGATTGCAGTAGGCGGTAGGCTCGCACGCGCCAGAAGTGCTGAGCCAGGTGATCCCGACGGTATGGAAAAGATCGTCGCAGGAACTACGCCGGTTACGCTCCATGCCCAGTCAACCTCCCTCAATAGCTCAAGTCAGGCTGCGGATTGCAAACGCTCTTGACCGGCTTTTCCGCACTGTCACTTCACGACGGGGCCTTGAATCTTCGAGCAGCCCGCCCCCCCCCCCAGGCTCTTCATCCGGCGCGGCGACCAGATGATCAGCAGGGAGGTCCCACGCATGAGAAGCATGAGGCCGGTGCCACCCCTTGGCCCCCTTGGCGCGAAAAGAAAAAAAGGCAGAAACGTAACTGAAACGTAGCAAACAGTAGGGAAGAATCCCCAAGGCAAAGCCAGACCATGTTTGCAAGCCCGGTTGCATCGACATCCAACCACTTGGATTGATTGTTGCAAGTTGCCCAAGTTCGAGAGTTTCGAGTTTCTTCTGCGTTTGTAGTTGCCGGCATGCTGCGTTGCCATTTGTAGACTTTGATACCGTTGCAGACTTCGACATGCTGCAATCTACAGCGGTGGAACACCTCGGAATCTACTCGCAGCATCTGGACCTGGGGACAACCTCGAAGATGCCTACTGCGCGGGCTGGATCGTTTATCTCTTCGGCCGACGCGTAAACCTCGAGCAGAAATGCTGTACATGAGGGAAGTTCGAGCAGCTGAACAAACTTCAACCCAAGTGTGTCGCCTTGCACAAACAGCCCATTCTACTCCAGCATTTGTAGAACCATACCAGTTTCAGACCACACGCAGCCCCCACGTCAAATCAATCTTAAGTCGTCTCGGACCCTCCAAAACTCTTAACAACCTTGTTGCGACCTTTTCAAGATCTTCGCTAAAAGTCGGTCAAACCGCCTCAACAGCTTTGGCTGCCAGCCTGATGGAACTTTGTGTGGCTCATGTGTGGCTGCAGATTGTCTGCAGCTGCAGGTCCTCGGCAACTCCCGTCGTTTTTAGGGTTTAGGGTTTAGGGTTTAGAGTTGAGGCCCAAGAACAGACATTGCTTGCATCAAAGTGCTTCACCCAGATTGTAGGCGTGCACGCGATGCACCGGATGCGCAGAACGCCAATAATGTCCAAGGGGTGAGGCTGCTGCGTTACTGCCGGCCCAAGTATCCCTCACCCTTTTAGTCCCCATGCTTGTGCACGGAAAGAAATGATGACAAACGGAGTGTAGAATACAAACCCTACAGTAGACCCCAATAGGATAAAAAAGGGGGAGTGTTCTCGCTCAGCTGGTGAACGCCCAGTTCGACGGTGGGTGGGGAAAAGAACGATTTCTTCATCGGGAAAGCCACCATGTTGCCCTTCACGTGACCTCAAACACTGGAGAGGACGCAAGATAACTTGTGGAGATGAACATTCGGGCTTAATAGAGACAAACTTGTTTGCTCAGTTGGCACTGGAGAGGGCCAAGCAGATTTTGGACCTTTTGCGAAACTTGTGGTGACTGCCTTTGTCTCTTTGTGTGATGGGGTTGATGGCAAACCTCCTGCGATGTCCACAGTCTGCGATTTATTCTGGCAATATTCTTACGCTTTCTTTGAGTGAGTGCGGCTTGTTTGAAACGCGGTACTGTAGTATCCCATCCCACTTCGTAGGTGTTCAAAGTACAGCAGCCGAGATTGGTTGCCGGGCTCAGCCTGCCTAAGACACGCAGGGCGTCTACGGATGCTGCGAATCAGAGTCAAAAAGCCAACCTCCTGCTACTTCAACTGCTGTGTTTCAACCATTGCCTACTGGAGTGTTGACTGCAGTATGGCTAGCCTGCTTGGCGGGTGGCAAAAAGTAGAGAAGGACAGCATTTAGGAGAGCCTGGCAAGTGACAAGACTCCGAAGGCAAGCAGCAGTCTACTCTGGTTCGAGAAGGCACTGAAAGACCTTCTTTAAGCAGGCAAGTAGCAGGCAGAAAGAGGAAGTGTGCCGTAGAACACAATGGTGACACAGGTGATGATGGACCCTCGAGAAGGGCAGTCCAAACCCATCATCAATGATTTCTAGGGGACGTGGACAATTGGCACGTTGCACATTGCATTCAGCAGCAGGAAATTAAGTTATAAGTTATAAGTGCATCGGGGCTTAATTAGTACAAGAAACGAGCGCACCACCGGGAATGAAGTGCGCAAAGCAGCTCTGCGCCAGGTAATATTGTCAACGCCCACATCAAGGCACGAAGTGGCCTTGCTGTGATTCCGCTTCGCATCCAACAGGGGAGTAGGAGGTGGTGCGCTTTGCATCGCAGCTTGCTTATTTTGCGCCGCTCCGCTGAGATTCTCTTTGGCACACCAGCTGACCTGTGAATTCAGGTGTTCTCACCATGCAGATTCAATATCGATGTCGCCGAAGGCTGCAGCTGTGCCTTGCAAGTTGAAGCCAAGCCTCGCAAGTGTGTGGACAGGCTTCTTGTTGGTTGCGTGCTTTTGCACCTGCTGCGGATAAAAGAGACTCCTCCCGGCTTGGCGAAATGCGATGTTTGTCTTGACAGTCTGTGTTTGTCTGCCTTCTGCTGCTGCAGGCGACTAATCTGAAGATTCGCGTTTCACCCTGGCTGCTTTGGAAACTCAAAGCTCGCGGCGCAGCGAGTCTACAAGCCATCAGTGACATCAGTGCTGCAGTCAGTTCGATCTGAAGACGATGACTCGCGGATAGTTTTTGATTACTTGCGCAAAACGCACGCACTTCGGCATCTCCCTGCATATGTAGGCGAAGACAGCAAGCAAAAACAACCATCTACTCCCTCGAAGGTTTCTTTTCCCATTTTTGTCTTTACGAGGTTAATGTCTTTGTTGAGGTTCAGGTTGAAGGGCACCATTTAACACGACTCGGCTACTTGGCGGGGGAAGCTCGAAGAGAATCTGCGTCGTCTTAATTGCCCGCGTAAAACTGACTTGTGGCACGGGAGATGCACGTTCACGACCTCTTGTCTCGCTGTATCACTATGAGGCTTCGTAGCTCGAATTGCTAGCTCTCCGTTTTGCCGAAAGTTCGTTGGTTTCAGCATGCTGCTTCTATGGCAAGGAGAGCTGAATTGACGACATGGGTTGGAAATCTGAACCGTTGGTGTTGCGCCAAGGAAAAAGCCTGACAGAGTCACATGCGGTGAAGGTTACACAGGGTAGGTTGTGCATTGGATCAGAGGCCTGGATGCAAAAGGTTGTGAGTTGGCTGAGGTTTCGTATGCTGCAAAGCCTGCACAGTCAAGGTTGCAGGGCCATTCGGGAGATGCCGCGGCATTGTCAGTGCAAATGTGCCAGTTCTTGTTTTGGCAATCGGAGCCCATGTCTCAATGCAAATGCCAAGCTTTGCGTAGCCATGCGGCCAGTGAAATACAAGAGACGTGGATGTCATGCGCTCACCGCTTAAATCGGTGTGCATGCGACGGCCATGGAGTTCTTTCTTCCGGACGTGCGGCAAGACGCGGTCAAGCTTCGGCGCACATACTTGCAGCTGGCACTCCGCTACCACCCGGACAAGGCAGACATTATGCGGAGTGCCTTTCAAGACAAGATTCTGTCGTCAAAGAATTGCACAACGCAGGGTGGCGCAGTTAGCAGAACCCTTGCCCATTGTTGTATACGAACTGCTGCCACCGCGTCATCAACTATCACAATATTCTTAATGCGTCCTTCCCCGGTTGTACCATGAACCCAGCAAGGCCCACATTCTACATATGTTCACTTTTGACAAGTTGTGCTTGAATCCCGAATGTCGTCATTGGGTTTGGCTTTGCCTGGGGTTGTGCTTGAATAGGTTAGTGTCAGTTGCAGGGTTGCCGTGGTTGTCTGTTGAAGGATTCAGGAGTTGTTTTGCGTTTCTGGTTTGCCAATCCTTCCTGTCAAAGGTTCATTCAAAGCACAGCCGCCCCACGCAATCGGGGCAGCAATGATCATAATGAGGCTCTTGTCTGGACCGGGTGGCTGGTCGGTTTATAAATGTCACGTCCCTTAGGCAACCGAGTTCAAGCACGTGGTCCCCAAGTCAAATCAAGAGCATAACGAACGCACCCAGGACAATGCCGAAGTGTATACGTAAGCACGTGGAGGACGCCTGCACTGGAGGTTTTTGACTTATGTTAACCCTTGACGCCTTAGCTGTTAAAAGAGGCTGATGTTAGACTCCAGTTCAACTCATGACCCTAAACCCGAAACCCTAAACCTTCGGTGCCCGACATGGCCCCTAGTGGCAGGTCAACGTGAGCCGCTCACCGCAAGGCAAGTCCTAAATCCGGAAAACAGAGGAATCATCACAAACGGGGTCTTTCCCAAAAAAGGGGTTGGGGCGTTGGGTGCAGGTTTAGGGTTTAGGGTTTAGGGTTTAGGGTTTAGGGTTTAGGGTTTAGGGTTTCGGGGGGTGATACCCCAAATCGGTAGAATCCCCCCCAAAAAGGGTACCCCGATTTTCGGAAACCCCCAAATGAGAGCTCGAGCTGGCAGCTGTTTCCTGAAGCAGTGGCTAGACTTGGAGGTTCAGGGTCCTTAGCAACCCAATTGCAACTGTACTTACATATCCGCTTATAACCCTATTAGGGTGCTTAAGGGGCTTATAAGTGGGTGAGAAGTGCAGTTAGATTTTTTTTACAACAGAAATCTGAACCTCCAAGTACCCTTTCAGGCTCTGCGGAGTACCGTGAAGCGACAGAGCTCTTCCAAGCCATCCAGGCCAGAATTGCAGACCAAGATGTGCGACGATGCGAGTTTGATCGCCTGTGCAGACGAAGGTCCAGTCTCAGTTGGTAGCACGCGAGTCTAGGACGAGCCTGCCAGAGGTTGCTTACGAGGAGCTTTCTGCTCGCTTGGACGGGCGAGGGCGGAGAGGACGGGACGGGCAAAAGACAGTGCAAACGATGGCAAAATTTTAAAAACTAGACAAAAGGCAGGGATCATGTTGCGCTGTGGCAGGTTTGCCTGGGGGCCCTGGCCCGAGGGTGCGCAGCGCCTTTGCGGCGGCCTGCGAACTGGGCGACGTTGCGGCGGGCAGTGGGGTCAGTTGGACTTTGTCTTGAAGCACGTTCGCCATTTTCCAGTTCTGCGTGCCTAATGTGAGTTTCTTCTTATGTGGGACAAGCAGAAATCGTTTTCACTTCTTCACTTCTTCTCGTTGGAGGTCATGCGGCGCCTCCTCCGTCTCCGCCCAGCCCTGGCGGAGCAGACAGATGAGTTGGGCGTGTCTCCACTGATGTTTGCGGCCTCAGGCGCGTTGCCACGATTTGCCACGCATCGCTTGATGATGACGCGAGGGTGGGGGAGCTACTGCTGTAGCTGCAGTTTCGGTTTTGTTTGGCTGAGTTTGTCCCACTTGCCCGCGTGGTTGCCTGGAATAGCTGCGAGTAGGACGTTGTTGCTTTGCCTCAGTTAAGTGGATGGCAGAAGAGCGAGAAGGGTGACAGGAAAGACAAAAAGGCAGCCCGCGTGGGGCAAGCGGGGGAGAACAACTTGCCTTGGGCACGAAAATCTCCCTCACAGCCACTCTCGAAGATAGTGCAACGAGGCTTGTCCCTGAAGATCATGACAAAGAGTGGCGGTTTTTAGGTTGGAAGGTTTAGGATTTAGCATTCTTGGTAGGGTATGGATCGTGAGGCGCCCTCAGAGGGACACGCGAGAACGACACAGAGCATGCATCTCGCTGTGCGCAGTTTGGCGAGGCGGATCCCTGGCAGCCTGCGAGGTGCTGCTGGAGGCGAAGGCAGATGCAGAGTCCTAAACCCTAAACCCTAAACCCTAAACCCTAAACCCTAAACCCTAAACCCTAAACCCTAAACCCTAAACCCTAAACCCTAAACCCTAAACCCTAAACCCTAAACCCTAAACCCTAAACCCTAAACCCTAAACCTTGAGATCGCGCTGAAGGGAGTGAATTGGCAAGCTTCTTTCGGGAGTCGAAGTGTTTCACTTGCGAGGGGATGTTTTGAACCCCCCCCCCCCAGGCTGCCTTGGAGACACGCAATCCGCTGGGCTGGACGGCCCTGACTTGGGCTGCACTCCGAGCCCGCACGGAGGTGGCGGATACTTTGGAGTGAAATTTCCTATGAGGTGTGGAAACACCTCCCCAAGCCGTAAGCTGCATGTCAAAGCCCCCATTACTCCACAGCTGATGGATGGTTTCCGCAGTGCTGGGATGTGCTTTGGAGGCTTCATCTTTCTTGCTGCAACGTGGGGCGGCGGTGCAGGACAACGACCTGATCGCGCGACCCACAGCAGCAACGCAAAGTCAGTTGTGAGTGCAGGCGTGGTGGCAAGTATGGGAAAGCCTTTCAGTAAACTCTCCGTCCACGATGTGGCGCCATTGAAGTCCTTTGTCCAGCGGAAAGTAGGGTCAACCATGCTCTTTGGCAATCCCTTTCATCCTGTTCCCTTTCTTGGTGCTTTGGTGCCTTTCACCTGGGTCATTTGGAGCGGTGCTCGCACCTGTGAATCTAAGAGTTGCCATGTTGTGGAATTTGCCCTAAGGGCCTAGGGGGGGGGAAGGTGTACAGACGAAGCACGTCGCTTGTTTGCATCGCATCCCGTGTCTTGGTGAGGTGCTGGCCTTTACTGGCAACCATGAAACCTTGTCGATCCTTCTGAAGGCACCTTTGAGCCCTTCTTGTCAGGTTGACGGATAGGGCCATGTCATACTCGTGTAACAGAACTGCTGGGGGTGCTGATGACTGCTCAAGCACAGATGTCGCAGACAGGCCTGCAGTGAAGAGAAAGTGCTCGCGGTGCGCGATCAGAAGGAGATGCTCGGATGCTGTACATTTGGGGGTTGACGATAATCCCTGATTGAAACACAAAAACCAAACAGTAGGATCCCCTTGCAATAAGGACCCGAATAAGGTACCCCTAATATCGTAATCCCTTCGATGCCTCGACAGGTGCGGCCCTGTTGAGTTGGGTTGGGTCATAGGCATGCCGCGGTCGGTCTTCCACTTGTCCAACTGCAGCAAGCATTAATAGGGCAGAGCACCCATAGAACAGCAGGGGGGGGGGTGGGGATTTGTTCGGTGGCTGATCTACCCAGGGGCCGTCTGGCGACGTGTGTCGGAAGTTTCAGTCTTCCTGCCAGCTAAGGAAAGGACTCCTCCACTTTGCCTTGACAGGCAAAATCGGAGGGGGACAGGAGCCGATGCTTAAGGGGGCGATGCGGGAATGCCGCCTCGAAGCTGAGTTTTGAGTTGTTTTAAACCGCTCTGCAGGTTTGGCCTACATGAAGCAAACGGCAGAGTCACATCAGCGCTGCGTGGCCTTGGCCATCGAGGCTCGCTGAATGGCTGAATGGCCTTGTCCAAGAGCTTGTACACTCAGACCGGACCGCAGCACTGGTCGTTCTGGAGCTGTCCATCCTTATGCTGTGCAATCACACTGAGCCTGGATCATGCCACAGGCACGATGTGATCCGGCCGCTGAAGACCGCAGAGCCTGCCAGTGCCGAGGAGGCCAGGCTCACAGTCTGCCTGGTGCACCCATGTGCAGCACGTGACTCTGCAGGATTCCAAGACAGATGGCCGTTGGCAATTGAGAGTCAGAGAGGCGTCAAGATACCTAAGCACTCTTCAAGCACGACCATTTCCCTAAGCCACCAAGCAGGGAAGAGCAAGCCAATCAGCCACCCCTCAGCAGTTTCAGGCATCTCCGGGCTGCGGGATAGCCGCGCCAGACATTGCGTGCCTAAAATTCTTTCCCCGCCGTTGCAGCATTCCTAAGGCGGCATGGAGGACGCGGTGCCGGTTCTCTGCCATTTCGTGCAGTGTATGGCGGATGCTTGGGCTAGTTAGGCAGAACTGCACGAGCTTGCCTCGATCAGGTCCTGCGACACGTAAGTTTGGAAACGCACGAACTGCCGGGGTAGCTAGTGAAAGACAACATGGAAGAGACGACGCTGCATCCTCATGCGGTGACCTGCGCAGACGTGCTCGCATCTCAGACCAGAGCGGCCTGAGGAAGACTGGGCAAGCGCTGACCTGGACCAGTCCTCCGTGCACGTGGCCATGGTCCAGAGGTGCCCTGGTCTGCAAACAGACTTGCCCAGCCAGACTTGGAGCGTCCGTCGCCGTGGCATTCCTTCGTGGACTTCTAGAGTCTACCGTAGACTGATGATGGACTGCGTGACTGCCTGTGATCAAACTTGCAGAGTTGCAGAGGAAGGAACTGCTCTAAACACCGAGCATTTTCGGCTCATGTAGCGTGAGCCCAAGGATCCAGCTGCGCCAATCCCCCAGTCGCCCCAGTCGCCGAAAGCATGGCAATGGTTGCAACCATGGCATCCCTTGAACAGAATGTAGAGAAGGTGGAGAAGGTGAACTGCGAGACCGAGCCCAAGCCATCCAAGCCACAAGTCGATCTTAGTGGAAACCACTTCGTGGTTCACAATACCTTCTTGGAGCTGCAGGATTCCCCTTCATTGAAGGAGTGGTGTGGTTCTATGCGTCGTGTCAAGTCTTGCCCGGACCTTCACGGCCTTCACCCAGCTGCTGAGAGCGAGCAGTCCCCGCCCCCGCCGGTGCCTCCCACGCCAGAGGTGAGCCCGTGCGCCAAACGACGGTATTCCCTGAGGAGCTCGCCGACTTCGCAGGCAGCGGAAGTCCCAGGTCCTGCTGGAGACGAGTTGCAGCCAAATGCTTCTCGAACTCGTCTTTCCAGCCAGGCCTCACCCTACCGGCCCCCACCGAATCCATGCACTCACAGCTCGACATACTATGCGGTGCCAGCGGTCCAACGTGCCGTGCCCAGGCCCCAGGTCTTGCCGCACCCGACTCAGTCGGCGCCCAAGACCACGGTGCCAGTGCCCCCGGTGATTCTGGGATCCGCTGCGCTCCCCAGCATCGGGTCAGGAGGTCATGCGACAGGGGAGTGCAAGCCGTGCGTGTTCTTTCACAAGAAGGGATGTGCAACAGGCAGGACGTGCCTTTTCTGCCACCTGTGCCAGCCCGGGGAGAGGCAGCGAAGGAAGCACGAGAAGAGCCTTACTTGCAGGGAGGGGAGGTTTGGGAGGGGCCCAAGGCCCAAAAGAAACGTCGTGCAGTCAAGCTTGGGCATCTAAGCCAAGGAGAGGCACGCAAGCAGGCATGCAAGCAGGCATGCAAGCAGCACGCTGAGCGGGGAACTTGCGCGCAGCCGGAGCTGGGAGGTCAACTTACTTTGAGTAGAAGTTCTCAGCCTTAGCTTTCATTCCTTACAATTGACATCGGGGCTTCTAATTTCTTGTAGGTCTGCGAACCAGCCTCCTAGCATTATTGCGCAGCGGCACTGGCAGAGCAGGCGGCGGCTAGACGGACTCGAAATCGCGAGGACTCTAGGCCAGCCCTGCTGCGCAGAACAGATTTCGGATGCCACGATGCGCTATCGATAGCCATAGTTATCCATCAGACATCGACATCAACATGCAACCATTCCATCGAGATAGAGATGTTTTAGATACCAGCCAGACTTGATTCAACAAACCGGTGGCCAACTTGGAAACACCGGGACGCAGGCATCCAGATCCTTGATCGCTTCATTTTAAGAAGACTGTGAGGTCTTCAATTGTTGCGTTGAATTCGTCATGTTCATGCAGTGGCCCCAACTCCTGTGGAGTTGCCAAAGGCTTTTGTCAGACCCGTCCCTGGCGGCGATTTTAACCTCATGCGAAGGTGCTGGTGATGCCGGCAAAGCCCTGAAGCCCTTGGGGGCAAATCCACCTTTGACCCTTCGCGTCACAGCAAGAACATCGGACACAATGAGGCTCGTGTCGTGAAGAAGCACGAGGTACAACCGAGGCGTTTTGCACAAGCACAGAATAGCAATCATGAAGAAAGAAAAGACGTCCCTCCCCCGCCCTCCTCCTGGCCCCCCAACCCCACAACCCCCTCCCCCACCCCCCCCCACCCCACGTTCCCAATCCCGCCGCCCCCCCCCCACCCCCCCCCCCCCCCCCCCCCCCCCCCCCCCCCCCCCCCCCCCACGCCCCACCCCCCCCCCCCCCACCCCCACCACCCCCCCCACCCCCCCCCCCAAGCCCCCGCCACCCCACGCCTCACCCTCGGCGCCCCCCGGCCCCGCCCCCCCCGCCCCCGCCCCCCGCCCCGCCCCCGCCCCCCCCACCCGCCCCCCCGCCCCCGCCCCCCCCCCCGCCACCCCACCCCTTCTTTTTCTTTTTTTTCTTTTTCTTTTTTTTCTCCCGATCTCATAGCACAGCGCACCGTACGGACACGTGCGGTTCAGCGGAACGAAACTTTGAAGCAGCACTTCCTTGTCAACGGTGTCCGATGTTAGTGCTGCTGCCGAGCAGGGTGTCGATTGCTGACTTTCGCAAGTCATGCTTCTATGGAGAAGGCGGCATCCTCACCAAAGCGGTGTTTCGCCTCCATTTGCTTTCAGCGCAAACAGCATGTAGCCGCCAATGCTGACCTGATGTTCGCCTGTTAGACCAGAGCAGTCCAACAAGGAATCCGATGAAGGGTCAGCTCAGCAGGGTGTGGTCCAATCTTGGAGGGTGCTGAACTCCTGAGGATTCAGCACCCCGATCTCCGTGCGAGTGTGACTAGGGTCCATGGTTTTTTCCATGACGAGCCGCGCCTCTCTGTCATCAGTCTGAAAGTTCAAAGTCCTGCTCTGGGAGATGGATGGTTATGCGGGGAGGCGTTGCTAGAGCCTGCTATAGCTGCACCCGCACAGAATAGCAGCAAGCGACATGATTGATGTTTTGCTGGTAAAATGTTTTTGCCGTGCCCCGCTGCTATTATAAGACGGGGGTGGGGCAGGGTTCTCCACATGAATCCACGCAGGTTGCTCCAACTTCATGCCGATCCTCGTGCTGTGGGCCCACCAGGTGGCGGCCTGAACGATGCTCTTGAATCGTGAGCAAGTCGTGGAGATACGTTCGGAAGGCTCGACACCTACAGAATCCCGCAGTCATGTTGCCGTAGCTCGTTCTCGTGTCAGACTTAGGGTCGGAGCATCGTGTGGTTAGAGACAAGGGGAGGTGGAAGGAGGGAGAAGGAGGGAGAATGGGAGCGGCCTTTGTGAGAGCGGCCTTTGTGAGACACGGGCGCGGCTGGCGCGCGGGGGGGGTGGGGGGTGGGGGAAGATTTTCCTGCCCTCAGTCGCCTCAAGGGGTCCAGGCCCCGACCCCCCGCCAAGAAGAAGAAGAAGAATCAGAAGAAGAGGAGGAGGAAGAGGAAGAGGAAGGGGAAGGGGGAAGGGGAGGGGAAGGGGAAGGGGAAGAGGAAGGGGAAGGGGAAGGGGGAAGAGGAAGAGGAAGAGGAAAAGGAAGAGTTGCTTCCGCTGTTCTTTGTTGCCCTAGATGCCAATGACAAGATTCGCAAGCACGATTTTCCAGAAAACTTGGACTCGATGCAGCACTTCGCATCTGCAAGCGCCGCGGCGAGCCGATGCGAGCAGATGCGAGCCACGTTCACTTGCTCCGTTTCGCCAGGTAGTGCGATTGACGTCGCCCGCAGGAACGGCTTGGCCCAGATCCACAAGGCCTTCGCAGGGTAAATGTATGTAAATGTGCTCTCGTTTGTTCTCGTCCTGCTCTTGTCCTGCTTGCAACGCTGCTGAACGGAAAGATGGAGTCTGGGCTTGTCCAAGCACGTTGAGGCACTTCTAGGTGACAGTGCCGGCAGTGCCCAACCTCCAGCTCGCAGGCCGGCGAGAAGGTTGAAAAGGTGCAAGGGTTGGCAGTGGGAAGTTCAGCATTGAGCAATAGACCCGCCACTTGACTCTGAAGCAGGCTGCATGTGTCGAGCTGGCGCAGATGGTGATTGGGCTGCAGCTAAGCTGGTTGAGGCCATGTTGAGGCGTGATTATTTCAGAGGTTGTGGAGTCCTTCTGCTTGCATGGCACAAAGTGGTGGTGGTGTTGGTGGTGTTGCTCAAGTAGGTCATGTCTGGAACTTTAGGTGTTGGTGCTGCGGCTCCTGAGACGAAAAGGACGTGCACCGCATCCTCGGAAGGTGACCCATAGCATATGGCCTGCGTGCTTTGAATGCCCAAGAAGCGCAGATGGCCTTGCTGCAGCACTCCTAAGGCGGCATGGAGGACGCGGTGCCGGTGCTGTGTATGGCGGATGCTTGGGCTAAGTAGGCAGAACTGCACGAGCTTGCCTCGATCAGGTCCTGCGACACGTAAGCTGGAAGCGCGCAAACTGCGGGGTCGTTTGCCATTGCGATGATACCAGTAGCTAGGGAAAGGCATCCTTATGCGGTGACCTGCGCAGACGTGCTCGCATCTCAGACCGTCTCAGAGCCTGAGGAAGACTGGGCAGGCGCTGACCTGGACCAGTCCGCCGTGCGCGTGGCCATGGTCTGGAGGTGCCCTGGGTCCTGCAAAGAAATTTGCCCAGCCAGACTCAGAGCGTCCGTCGCCGTGGCATGTCTTCGTGGACTTCTAGACTCTAGACTCATGATTGACTGCGCGACTGCCTGCGATCAAACTTGCAGAATGACCTGCGCGAAACACCGAGCATTTTCGGCTCATGTAACGTGAGCCCAAGGATCCAGCTGCGCCAATCCCCCAGTCGCCCCAGTCGCCGAAAGCATGGCAATTTTTGCAACAATGGCATCCCTAGAACAGGAGGTAGAGAAGGTGGAGAAGGTGGACTGCGAGACCGAGCCCAAACCATCCAAGCCACAAGTCGATCTTAGTGGAAACCACTTCGTGGTTCACAATACCTTCTTGGAGCTGCAGGATTCCCCTTCATTGAAGGAGTGGTGTGGTTCTATGCGTCGTGTCAAGTCTTGCCCGGACCTTCACGGCCTTCACCCAGCCGCTGAGAGCGAGCAGTCCCCGCCCCCGCCGGTGCCTCCCACACCAGAGGTGAGCCCGTGCGCCAAACGACGGTATTCCCTGAGGAGCTCGCCGACTTCGCAGGCAGCGGAAGTCCCAGGTCGTGCTGGAGACGAGTTGCAGCCAAATGCTTCTCGAACTCGTCTTTCCAGCCAGGCCTCACCCTACCGGCCCCCACCGAATCCATGCGCTCACAGCACGACATACTATGCGGTGCCAGCGGTCCAACGTGCCGTTGTTCAGCACCAGGTCTTGCCGCGTTCGACTCAGTCGGCGCCCAAGACCACGGTGCCTGTGCCCCCGGTGATTCTGGGATCCGCTGCGCTCCCCAGCATCGGGTCAGGAGGTCATGCGACAGGGGAGTGCAAGCCGTGCGTGTTCTTTCACAAGAAGGGATGTGCAACAGGCAGGACGTGCCTTTTCTGCCACCTGTGCCAGCCTGGGGAGAGGCAGCGAAGGAAGCACGAGAAGAGCCTTACTTGCAGGGAGGGGAGGTTTGGGAGGGGCCCAATGTCCAAAAGAAACGTCGTGCAGTCAAGCTTGGGCATCTAAGCCAAGGAGAGGCACGCAAGCAGGCATGCAAGCAGCACGCTGAGCGGGGAACTTGCGCGCAGCCGGAGCTGGGAGGTCAACTTACTTTGAGTAGAAGTTCTCAGCCTTAGCTTTCATTCCTTACAATTGACATCGGGGCTTCTAATTTCTTGTAGGTCTGCGAACCGGCCTCCTAGCATTATTGCGCAGCGGCACTGGCAGAGCAGGCGGCGGCTAGACGGACTCGAAATCGCGAGGACTCTAGGCCAGCCCTGCTGCGCAGAACAGATTTCGGATGCCACGATGCGCTATCGATAGCCATAGTTATCCATCAGACATCGACATCAACATGCAACCATTCCATCGAGATAGAGATGTTTCAGATACCAGCCAGACTTGATTCAACAAACCGGTGGCCAACTTGGAAACACCGGGACGCAGGCATCCCGATCCTTGATCGCTTCATTTTAAGAAGACTGTGAGGTCTTCAATTGTTTCGTTGAATTCGTCATGTTCATGCAGTGGTCCCAACTCCTGTGGAGTTGCCAAAGGCTTTTGTCAGACCCGTCCCTGGCGGCGATTTTAACCTCATGCGAAGGTGCTGGTGACGCCGGCACAGTGAAGCCCTGAAGCTCTTGGGAGCAAATCCGCCTTTGACCCTTCGCGTCACAGCAAGAACATCGGACACAATGACGCTCGTGTCGTTAAGAAGCACAACCGAGGTGTTTTGCTCAAACACAGAATCGTCGAACGGCCGTTTCTCAGCATGGAGAAAAGAAAGACCCCAACAGGGATTTCAAGCAATACACTTCCAAACACTTTTGCCTGGATCGCCAGCGCAAGGAGCAGGATCAGCAAATCCTAAGCACAGCGCACCCTACGGGGACACGTGCGGTTCAGCGGAACGAAACTTTGAAGCAGCACTTCCTTGTCAAGGGTGTCCGACGTTGGTGCTGCTGCCGAGCAGGGTGTCGATTGCTGACTTTCGCAAGTCATGCTTCTATGGGAGAAGGCAGCACCCTGAACAAAGCGGTGTTTCGCCCCCATTTGCTTTCAGCGCTGACAGCATGTAGCCGCCCATGCTGACCTGATGTTCGCATGTTAGGTCAGAGCAGTCCAACAAGGGTGTGGTCCAATCTTGGAGGGGTGCTGAACTCCTGAGGATTCAGCACCCCCATCTCCGTGCGAGTGTCGCTATTTCGAGACTACAGGTCCATGGCTGTTTTTTTCCATGACGAGCCGCGCCTCTCTGTCATCAGTCTGAAACTTCTGTCATCAGTCTGAAAGTTCAAAGTCCAGCTCTGGGAGATGGATGGTTGTGCGAGGAGGCGTTGCTAGAGCCTGCTATAGCCGCACCCGCACAGAATAGCAGCAAGCGACATGATTGATGTTAGTCTTGCTGGTAAAATGTTTCTGCCGTGCCCCGCTGCTATAAGACGGGGGTGGGACAGGGACACCTCGGGAGCGTTTTGTAGCGGTTCTCATGGTTCTCCACATTTTATCCATGCAGGTCGCTCCAACTTCATGCCGATCCGCGTGCTGTGGGCCCGCCAGGTGGGGGCCTGAACGTGCTAGGGCTGCTAGGATGTAGATACCAGAGCTCTTGAATCGCGAGCAAGTCGTGGAGATACTTTCGGAAGGCTCGACACCCACAGAATCCCGCTGTCATGTTGCCGTAGCTCGTTCGTGTGTCGAGTGAGCATTGTAATAGCACACACTCGCTCTGAGGCACGAGCACGGCAAGAGCAGTACGGCATGCCAGGGTGAGCATTGCACAAAAATGATGTTGCCAATGTCAGGACTTAGGGGTCGGAGCAAGGTATCTCGCACAAACATTGAGGATAAGAGGGGGGCCCTCGTTTGAGCACTTCCTGGAAGGGTCGTCGCGATGGCCGGCATTGGGTTGCACTTTCTGTTCTTTCGTTGCGAGAAGAGCCCGTCGCCGCCGAGATTTTCGTGCAAACGCAACTCCATCTGCATCAGAATGTATCATCGCCCAAACCGCATTCTTGCTCGCCACCACCAAAGTTGCAAGCAAACCGAGGCATCGGTTCCGGCATACTATGTCGAGCTGACACTTCATCATGGGATAAACATCAGCCAGTCGGACTCGCAGCAGGTCATCCGAGTGATAAGCCCTTAAGAACCCGCATTTCAGACAAAACCAAACCCTGAAATCGTCCGGCTCTGGTGCAGATCGAAGCTTTACGCGTCCTCGGCTACCGGCACACACTCACCGGCCCAGACTGAACCCCGACCGGGAGGACGCGACTACATGGTGAACTGCTTCATTCATCTAATCTCCACATCGCTGCTGGGGCCAAACCATCTGCTGAATCCACCGGCGCTTGTGGGTGTCACATGTGAATAGCTTTGATCCGGTAGCTCGTCGTTCATGCACATAGCTCTGGACATTGACATGTCGGTCCGTCTCTTGGTCGCCGGTCTCGCTGCCATGTGCGCAAATTCACTGAAACTCGGCATCCTTGCCTGACTGGTCCGCTTGACTCTGCGGCCGACTCTGTGTGATTTGGTGGTCGTCTGGAAGTTAGGCAGTTGTGCACAGGCGGTTTTGTTGCCTTAGATGCCAAGCCGGTTTCTTGGACGAGGTTTGCAACACGACTCGCAGAACAGTTGGATAGGAATCGATGCCGCGCTTTCACTTTTGCAGGAAGTGTGAGTGACGTCGCCCGCAAGAACGGCCTGCGCTAGACCTTCAAGGCCTTCACAAGGTAAATGTGCTCGTTTGCGCCCGTCCTGCTTGCAACACTAAACGGAAAGATGGAGTCTGAGCTTGCGCAATTTAAGTCGCACCCAAGCGGTCCAAGCACATTGAGAGGCACTTCTAGGTGACAGTGCCGGCAGTGCCCAACCTCCAGCTCGCAGGCCGGCGCAAAGGTTGAAACGGTGCAAGGGTTGGCAGTGGCAAGTTCAGCGTTCGGCAATTGCAGATGATTGCGGCAGCTAGGCTGGTTGAGGCATGTTGAGGCATGTGAGGCGTGGAGTCTTTCCGGTGCATGGGCCGCAGCAGCTTAGACATGTCTCCGCTGCTCTCCTGGTTGCCATGTCATTTGGTGGGAACTGCGTCCCGCTTCGTTCACAGGCGTTGGTGCCGCGGCTTCTGAGTGGCAAAGGCCGTGCGCAGCCATTCTTTGCAAGGCGGACCCATAGCATAAAGCCCGCGTTCTCTGAATACGCTACCGTCGTACCCAAGAATTTGCAGATGGCCCCGTGCTGCTTTCTGGCGTGGCTGGCTGTGAGCAGTTTGGGCTCGGGCGCGCTGCCAGTCGGTCGGCGACTGAATCGAAGAGTGCTGTTTCGTTTGGTCCCAGTGTCGGGGTTGAATGGTGTGCTTTTGGATGTGTTTGCATCCCTGTGTGGCATCGACGGAACAGGAGAGAACCATTATATTTCTTAGATTGGACGAACTCGTTGGACAGTTGCCCTACCTGTCTTGTGCGAGTGTGAGCATAAACTATTGGTTTTCCGGCCAGAACATCATAGCCCGGATGCAAAAAAGGGCTTTACGTTCCAGGTTTTGCGGCTTCTTTGCGGCACTGCTAGTGTATTGGCATCAGTACATGACTCGTTTGCGAGTTTATTTGCGCTTCCGTCCTGATCATATACCTTTTGAAGGTTTGAAAGCATGCTAGGCCCCTTGCGCTGCACCAGCTTGTATGTGGTGTCGCATTCTGCCGCAATTGGCTTAAAGTCCGGGATGTGTGTTCCAGCTCAAGCAGGCGGCCACCATGTGCAACCTCTGTTGACTTCGCTGGTCGGGGCGATCGCATGTAAGCGTTCTGTGTCCCAGAGTGCGTTTGGATAGTGCTGGAATTTGCTGGAGATCGTGCAAGTTGCCTGTGAGGCCTCGACGATGGCGGGCGGTTATTGCTGCATCGATTTTGACACTTTGCAAGCGAAGGCACGCCATCGAAAGAGATCCAGCTGCATGTGGTGACATGACGCAGGATGTCACAGGTGTCAGGGTCCTGCATCGGCTGCATTGATCTTCCAGTGGTGACTCAGCAGCTGCGTTGAGGATGTCGGCCTCAGGTTGAAGGAAGGCTAAATAGAGCTTAGTCCGAGCCCTGGAGCTTTGACAGTTGATGCTCTAAGAGGAATACTGACGTTACATTGAAAAGGGAGGAGTTGGCCCTAAGTGGGCAGAGCGTAGCAGCGCTTGCGAACTCCTAATGCCGGTGCTGTGGAGCTCATGACCATCAACGGCCCCAGAAGCATCACACTTTAGATTAGGAGAAGGTGCAGATCAGAGGTTATCTGCGTCATGTGAACCTTCATCGGCCTAGGGAAAAGTGTAGTGCATCATTGGGCCCCATGCTGTGAGGGATTTAGGAGGCAAGTACTTGGTCCATGTGTGTCCATGCAAGATCTGGAGACGGCTCGCGTGGTTCTCAGCCCAGCGTATCAGCATGGCCAGGAGAAGGAGAAGGGCATCAGGTACAAGAGTGCCTTGGCCTTGCAGCCCCAAAGTTGTTCGTGCGCGTGGGAGGTTAAGCCTGCCTTGCACCCGGTTGGCTGTTAGTCAGATTCTCCGGTTCGCCACTAGTTCGCATTTTGGCAACCAGGCGCCGAGCACAGACCATCTTAGTGGCACGTAGGCATAGGTGATGATCGGCACGTCTGTAAGGCCTGGTGGCGACGCTTGTAGTAAATATATCCGAAGACCCTCAATTCACAATTCAGTGGCGCAACGTCCGAAGGCTTCTCAGAGCAAGTGGTGAAGTCTGTGGAGCAGGCCACCGTTGGCTTGTGCTTGTGACCTGAAGGGAGGCAGACCAACGAGTTAAGTTTTGCACGCCGGAGGGATCTTTAGATGTTTGATAGTTTTTTGGAGTTAGGCCTGGAGGAGGCCTTTGTATAATATATAAGAGTGTATATATGTATAGATGTATATATGTATAGATGTATATATGTATATATGTATAGATGTATATATGTATAGATGTATATATGTATAGATGTATATATGTATCTATGTATATATGTATCTACGTATATATGTATAGATGTATAGATGTATAGATGTATAGATGTATAGATGTATAGATGTATAGATGTATAGATGTATAGATGTATAGATTTAAAGATGTAAAGATGTATAGATGTATAGATGTATAGATGTATAGATGTATAGATGTATAGATGTATAGATGTATGGATGTATATAGGTATATATGTATATATGTTTATATGCATATATGTATATATGTATATATGTATATATGTATATATGTATATATGTATATATGTATATATGTATATATGTATATATGTATATGTATATACGTATATACGTATATATGTATATATGTATATATGTATAGATGTATATATGTATTTTTTCTATATATGTATATGTATATACATATGTATAGATATGTATGTATGTATGCATGCATGTGTTCTGCATTGTCTGGACAATTGCCTCGGCAGTTTCATTCGTGACAGCCGGATCTGGCATGCAGAGCGACTCGTTGTAGAAGTCGGCAGGCTGACCAAAACTTAAGAAGACGTAAGTGCGTAGCAGCACCGCCGGACGGCAGGAAGCCCTGAAGAAGAAGCATGCGTCGGAGCATCTTGGCAGCAGCACTGCAGTGACTAAAGCGGTTTCCGTGTACACACGTTGGGATGTTCCCCCTTATACAAACAGTCCGTAACAGGGATTGCCATAGGGGGTACTATTCTGCCCATTAAGCCAGGACGGCTAGTATAAGGGGGAACATCCCAATTTGCATGCTGCTGCTCCCCGGCGCCCATGTTTGGAGGCAAGAGCGCAGCCGCCTTCACTGGGAATCTTGGTTTCAAGTGCTGAGGCAGCCGAAGTGTTTTTCAAAAGCTCAAACGCGCAGAACGTGATGAGACTCAGTGCTCAAGCCGCTGTGAAGCCGGCGATGTCCCCCAAGCAAGCGAATGAGCAGGTTGTTCCAACATTCAAGCGTATGTTTTCCAAAGGAAAAGGAGGAGCAGAGGGCCAAGGTCCGCTACACCATGAACTTACCTCAGTGTGAGGGCCGCGACCTTAGGTTTCTTGACACTGCATGGCTCAGGGACGGTGATTGCATGAGAGATGCTGTGTGGCGGCGTTGTCTGGGGCAGGTGGCCTATACTGGCAGCCGAATATTCACTACATTCCTGCTGCTTGGTCGCAACGGTATCCGGGCACCACTGTGCAATGTGTGTGCCACAAGCGGCCAGCCCAGAGATTTTCGTGAAGTCGATTCGTTGCGGATTGTTGAAGGCCTCCATCAAGTTTGGGGACAATGGCGAGGTGATCGTGACAGGTGGACCACCAGAAAATGCGAAGGCGCGGGGCTTGATTTGTCTGGGATTTAGTGCTCGTGCACTCTCAAGTAGCAGCAAGTATCATGTAGACATGCAGCCAAAGAATGCTGACTCAACGACGCAACAGCATCTTGACAAATCCGGCCACCCCTAGAGCCACGGCAGGGACTAAAGCCTTGACCGCAGCGGTTTCCCCGAGTTTCTCCTGCACCTTCTGTGCACAGGTGAACAAGGTCCAGGGCTGATGCCAGCGTGGCAGGGACCAAGTGAGCGCAGCAAGGTTGCACCTTACGTGCGGCAAAAGACATGCCAGCACATGCAACGATCACGGCCCGGCCCCCCAACTGCCACGTGGCTCATTGCACCTTCCTTTCAATACTGCCCCGCCGGCCTGGTTGCTTTCGAAGCCTTGTGAATGTTGAAAGTTGGGGGGAGCCGCCTCATCACCCGGCCACTCTTCCAGTACACAATAGAGACCTGCTTCAGCAGAGTCTGGTCCAAACCCAAGTTGGCGAGATCGGGCAAACTCTCACACTGGTGATAGTTAGTTGGTGGATTGTCGTCTGCCCGCTCCCACACTTCGCGGGGATCAACGGAACAGATGTCGAGGCCAGTAGCCAAAGTCGCATGTAAATAGGACTGACAGGCTGTGATGCAGGGGCGAAAGGAGACCTGCCAGCCGCAATTTTCTTGTGGGTAAGCTGAGCCTGCGGCTGATTCGCGAAGTGTTGGATGACTTTCTTGGTCAGCAATTGACTGTTGACCGTGCCTGGAACCTCAGCAACACTCCAGCTCAAACATCACTTGCGTGCGTTGAAGTGTCCATTCTCGCGCCCCCACAGCCATGGCTGCAACCCTGGACGACACGGTGCTCGCACAATGCATTCTCCGTGAACTCACGCACTTGAAGCCTGGTTCTATTTTGGTCACCTCAGCCACCACCAAGCACAAACCTCCCCCTTACCCCCTATGTCTACCTTTTAACCTTGTTAAGCTTGTTTCCAGGCTCCCTCCTTAACAGTCACACAGCGTGCGTGAGGAAAGTCAAAGGCTGCGCCATGCGGGACTCTACGTGTTCCTCAGACACTGAGACCCTTCACGGCAAGAGTTTTGATCTTGCCATTTGTGGCCAAGTTTGATTGTGCACGAATGCGGCCACGTTTGGCGCCTGCCCAGCCGCAAGATTCAAGCCAAGGACACCTTCCCCTGCTTCGTCACAGAGCCTGTCCTCCATCCGATCCTCCTCGCCAACAGGGCTCATGCAGTGCCTTGGTGGGCTAGTAGAGTTAGCCGGTGACCATGGCACGCTGGCTTGTGCTCGGCGTGCCGTCGCCTCTTCCGACTTCAGGATCCATGCCTTGACATCGGGCATGAAGTCCTTTGTCAGCTATGTGGGCTAGTGGCAGAGACATTGCAGCTACATGCTTGAGTGTTTGGCAGGTTCAGTCCTTCCATTGCTCCTCCTCCGGGACTTGCTCCTCCTCCTCCGGGACTGCCGTTGCCGCCCCTGGGCCATTTGCATGTCATGTCCGAGCTCTCCGTAGCCTTTGCTTAGGGCCTATTAGGGCCTATAGGGGGTCTGGGTGGCATGCCTCCACGCCAGGCTTCCGCTAGCCAGTCTTGTGCCTCCTCCACGGCAGCCTCTGTCTCGGACGGTGTCCATCGAGATGCCAGCGGAAGCCTCCAAGGTCTGGTTTCAGGGCCTGAAGCACAGCAAGCGATTGGAAAAGCCAGAATGATGATAACGGACATGGGCTGTGCAAGAAGCCCGTGCAAGAAGCCTGTCCAAGATTATGCAGGAGCTGCAGTGGCAAGTCCTGAATCCAAACGAACCTCGGCCGGCATGCCTTACTGTGCCGAGGAGAGATTTGTTCTGAATGTTTTGTTGTGCGGCGGGGGCGAAGGAGGGGGAAGGCACAAGATTGCCAACAGTTGCTTGGTGAACGCCGTCGCCAAAGCAAGAAACCACATTTTTCATGGATGTTAAACAGAACGGGTCGGAAGAAAGAAGTTCCATAAAGTAGCCGAGCAATGCTGCTTTATAGAACATGGAAGGAGCAATGAGTCTTTGCGCCATGTCTGTCTGCACAAAATGCGACTATCTTGATACCTTGCTTCTGGTCATCTATGAACCGGTGAGTGACTTCTGACTTCTTCGTCCCCGTAGCTCCCCACTCTCCCTCACCCAGAAAACCCCACTGAAAATCATCTACAAAAACCAACAAATCCAAATCAGCAATGCGCGACATCATCAATTTGACACGTGACACGCTGACACCCCCTTAATTTTTCATGACGCTTCCCGACCACAGATCCAATGACGGTTTCGCGACTTGCGAGTTAATCTGAGCGATTGAATGCTGGATGGTAGACCAGGTCGACCATATCTTCCGGAGCAAACATAGCCAGCCACTACAACGGACAAGCCCTGTGAGGCGCAAGCAAGGCAATAGGTGCTTCAAACCGAGCCGTTCCATGGATTTTCACTCCCTCCAAGAAGTGGAGCCTCCCAGTTTCCTTGCCAAGGCGAAGTTCAAGTCTGCCTGTGGCTGCCCACTCGTTTCCCAGCCTTTCCAGGTGCGTTGGCAGGGCTGCGGGGCATTGAAATCACTGTGGGGGGGAAAGCTGGCAGTGACCTCTAAAATCTGGGAGCTCGCAGGTGGGAGAGCTGGAGGATGTCAGGGTGCCACTCGTCCGCACTGTCCACACGACCAAAAGGTTTGGAAATGCTCGGGATGTGATTGCCTGAGATCGCTTGGCAGAGGATCTTTGCGCCTGGAAAGCAGTGGATGACGGAGTACTGCAGAACGACCAAGAAGCACAAGAAGAGCCAGGTCATCCTGAGTCGGGTTGCGGACTTTGGTGTTTGGTATTGGTTGGGTTGTGCATATGGGACGGGCAGCTATCCTGCCTTGAAAGACTTTCGCGACTTTAGATAGCAGCCAGCTGCCAGATTCGGTGTCGTCCATACCGGACTTGTATCACCATGAAAATCTCAGCACATGTATGAGATGACCATTTGCGAGGGACAGCAGCATCCTGTAGAGGACTGTTGGTTGTGCCGACTTGCTCATGCCTCTACAAGCCGTGCGGACCGTGTCCATGGGCGCACCCTTGAAGAGGCCTGTGATGACCTGCCGAAGTTCGGCTCCTTGCAGCTGAAGATCTCGGGCAATGCGAAGGCACACAGCTTAGGGCTTTTGCAACGTTTGTGCGGGTTTAGGGTTTAGGGTTTCGGGTTCAGGGTTTAGGGTTCAGGGTTTTAGGGGTAGTATGTGTGGGATTGAGAGCATTGTCTGTGGATAGCTTTGGGGGCGGGCCAACGCGCATGCCAGTTCACATCAGGTAGGCCCAAACAATACTGAGCCTGGCAGGCGGGAGACTGCAACGTCTACTTCCTCTTTGGTACCCATCGCTTTGGCCCCGTTTCCAGCCCGGCCGGGCAGTGCACCACTGAGGCCATGGACCGATGCGAGGGGAAGAGCGCTTGCTTGGCTTACTCGACGCTGTGGTCAGGTCTTCGAGTTGCCGGTAGACTGGCGTAGAGAACTGCATGGGGGTGCGCTCAGCATCGGGGACCCTTGGCACAAACGGACGAACATTTGCAGCAGGCGAATCGTGAATGATTTCCCTTTCTAGTGGTGGGCCATGTCATGCCAAAGTGCTTGCCAAGCTTAGGTGGAGATCGAAAGCGCATAGAGAAGTTTGAGCAAGTTGCGCGTCGTTCATGGCTATGTTCCAATGCAGACGATCGTGCATGGTGCAGTGTCCTCCAGAGCTCTGCCGCCATGGATAATAGTTAGCCGTTGGCCAGTGGCTTCATATCTGAGGCTGCAATGAACTATCCTGGGTCGTCTTCCATCTCGACCTAAAGGACCAGCCGGCAGGGATGCGTAGTTGGGTGCAGAAAACTTCGTGCAGGGTTGATCGCCTTTTTGACTTGCTTTCTCTCTCGCACAGTTCTTGCTAAGTTCCATGGCGCGGGAAAGCCTTCATAGGGCGAGGGGAGGGGGCACCGTAGTAAAAATTCAGGTGCGTTTCCGTAGCCACTGATCCTGGAAGCCAAGAGGTAAGCAATCTGAAGAACCAGGACCTGTTTGATTCATTGGTTGGTGGGGAGGCTTTCCTTTTATTCTGGGCCGAAAAGCCCAACAAAACTAGAGCTCTCACACACAGAAAAGCTGCAGACATCTGAGCTCAGGGCAGTGTAGCCAGAAGAAACAATCAGTGCAGAGCTGCGAGGATCTTAGAGCCGGAAGAACCAGTAGGCTTCGCGCTTACTGGATGAATCTCAGGAAAGTGTAGCGACAAGGAGCATTACCGAAATGCAGGCCTCGATATCCCCAAGCCCAAAGAGACTTGAAGCCCTTAACTTTCAACCCTCGCAGGGTGACCAAGAACAACCCTGCGGCCGAACCAGTTACGCAGGCTTTAGACTTTCAGGCCTCCAAACGCTTCGAAACCCTACAATAGGGCTTCGAACATTTTTGATTATTTGCTGTGATTGTTTGGCGGCCCCCACGGGGGACACGGACACTTTTCTTTAATTTACCTTCGTCTGCTGGCGCCTCAAAGCAGTCGTTCACATCGGTGGCTGGATGTTGGGCACAGGCACGGGCGTTGCAGACCCATGCGTGCAGATGATTTGCTGCACAAGAGTTTAGGACAAAGGACCCACAGGAAAATTCGTAGGGGTCCCACAGGAGGTCCATAGGGGTGGCTGCGAGGCCCCGCACATTCTAGGGGGCCAACCAGACTGAAAGGGCCCAGATTGCTGGACCTGTGCGGTGCGCCCGCTCGGGACTTTGCCCCCTGCTTAAGGCCGGTTTCACATTTTGGACCAAAATCGTGCGCTCGCCCAGGCGCAGTATGCCTGCAGAGCTGTTGCGGGGAAGCTCCCGAAACCTGTCATGTGCAAACAGCGTATTTGTGGGCCTTGCGGAGGGTGCCAAGTGGCGCTTTCGTGGAGGAGGGCTTGTCGGGCGGGTGCTTTGCTGCGTTTTGGGCTGTTGGATGGGTTCGCTTCGTGCGACTATTCTAAGGCCTAAGGCTAAGGGGAGTGGCATCTCGCGGCGCTGCAAATGGCCATTTCGTTTCGTGCGGACCTGTGGTCTCTTTTTGGGGCTTTGGGGGGGTCTTGGGGAGTGCGTTTGGTGCAATGCTCTTGCAGTGTCTTCTGCTGTTTGCGTTCTACACTGGTGTAGCTAGTCGGATCGTCGGATGTCTCCTATGTCTGTGTCAGATGCCGTTGACGTGACGCTGATGCGCAGGGCGCGGGTCTGACGTGCCCCACACAGCAGAGCCGACTACGGGGCACACGCGCCCTGGCGAATGCAACAGCTATCTCAACTTCAAGTGTCTCCACGTTGCGAGATCTTGCATGATCTTGCTTTGGCCCAGGCAGTTCATCGGGGTTAAGCACTAAAGTGTAAGCGTGCTACTAGCATGCTCTTAGTCTTCAACGATTGCTCTGCCGCTTTGCTGAGGCCATTTCTGTACAGCACCTTTGATGTGGCAAGCTGCGGGGTCTCTCAGAGAGGAGGGAAGCCGCAGGTCTCCCCAGTCGAGCCTTCGCAGCACTGGTCCGCTTTCTTCTTGTGCGCAGAGCATCCACCAAACCGTGAAAAGGTGATAAGTTGCTTCCGACATGGTCGGAGCATTGCACACCCAATCCTATACAAGCCAGCAACAACCAAGGAGTCTGTCCAGATGGAGCTTTTGCTTTGCATGCTGCTGTGCGATAAGGGCATTCATACTTCATTCTTCAGGTGTTGCATAAGACTCCAAAAGACGCGGCCCGCGTGCAGCAAGCAACAGGTACTACAACAGCCTGGATCAAGCATGTAGCTCGGAGAATTGTCAGATCTTTCAGATGATCAGGGCACAAGCTTTCCGCCAACATAGTTGAGGTAGGGTTTTGGAGCATGTGCAGCAATACCCCAGAACTTCCCGGATCCTTGAAAGAGCTGATTGAAGATGTGGCTTCAGCTGTCCCAACTGACCCATCTCATTGTTTAACTTAGCACGCTTGAGCTGGACGAGATGGAAAGGATGACATCATCCCTTGCATGTCCTTCCCAATGTGCCAGCGAGCTTCGCACCATCTTTTTCAGAAATGAAAGCTCCGTCTCGAAGCCAGAACTATGAGCCCGTGTGTTTTGGCTCTTCCATCTGGCGTTGTCACACTATTCAACAGTTTTGAGACTGCTTCACTTTTTGGGGAAGAGCTCAAGCCACTGGCACTGAGCTGGTCATGGGCTGCAGCGCAGGGGTCCGACCAGAGGCCTGAGTAGATCGCTGGTAGCCTCATGGCATCTCAGTAAAGCCTTTGAGTTGTGGCATCTGCCTGTCAAGTCCTCCAAATGTAGTTTTGGATAGGTGTGAACTGTGAAGAAACGCAGGAAAGCAGTCAAATCGTCGAGGACTTGCCTGCCCAAGGCTCTTTTGTCCATTGACACGGTGGCACAAAGCTTCCGTAAGAACCCGGGGTGCAGGGCCAAGCTGGAGCACCTAAGAAGTGCTCCAGCATACTCATTGCCCTTTCCAGAACAGATCTGCTAGCTTGTGGCTGTGCTGTGGCGGCCGACACCTGATTCTTGGCCATCAGTTCGAAAGAATGTGTCTCCTGCCGCTGCAGTGCACCCGGTTGCTACGCCTGGAAGGAGTTCAGCGGGTAGAGGGTCCCCGGTCTGTTTGAGGCGGGGGGCGCGCGCCCTTGTGCATAGAATTCAAGCCCACTGCGCCTGTAGTGGCGCTAGCATTTTGGCTTCACCCGCAGGGGTGGAATGTAGGGTTGGGCAAAGGGCCTAGGCCAGACGCAGCTCGGTGTTTTGCTTGGCCTTGCAATTCTCAAGAGCTCACGCTGCCCAGTCCAACCCTACTTGGAGGCTACAGTGATGGCCCACCCACTCGACCGAGTAGATTTGACAGGTCATGCGGCTGCGGCATCGAAGCTTGAAGCTTGAGGTGAAAAGATGTCCGGGATATTTGGAGATTTTAGTGGAAGTCTTCAGCCTTTTTGGCGAGCTGCAGCTTGGGCAGTGGCAGCTTTGATTCGTGTGCTGGCCCGAGGCACGTTCGTGCTCTAAAGGTGCTCTCGAGCTCTTGTGCAGGTGTAAAGTGAGATCCATAGGTAAAAGCTCCCGGATTCGCACCTTCGTGCAAATCCGCCTCTTCCGAGACACATGACGACGATGACAGGGCCACCTTTCTGCAAGAAACATCGGATGACTACCGTTGAACTGGTTGGTTGCTAGAGGAGCTCGACACTGGACATTTCGAAAGGAGAGACTGGAAACAAGAGCTTCCTAGGACATACATATATATATATATACATATGTATGTCTGTACGTGTGCATGTATATACGCAAACACCCGTATGGGGGGTTTACGCTATGAGGGGTACCAATTGGGGTCCTTAACATAAGGGGATCCTGCTGTTTGGGGGTCTGCTTTAGGGGTACCCTTTTTCTCATAAACCTGCCTCCATGCATGTAAAAACCAGGCTGCAGTACCTCGATGTGGATTTGCTGCAGTGCATCTTGCAGGCCCAGAAGCCTCAGCTAGCGATGGGAATCGGGTGACCAGGGCTGGAGATGTATGGGGGTTTGTGAAAAGAAGGGGGCACCAATAGACCCCCATAATTAGGACCCAAATAAGGTAACCCTAGCTACGGAAACCCTCCAAAAAAGTTTTTGCCACCAATGGTCCCTTTTACTGGCATTTCCCCCGGACTCGCCAGGGACTAGTCCAACGTAGTCCCATATGGTCCAATGGTACCTGACAAGAGGAGCTGGAGCAAAAGGACGTGCGACCGACCAAGGCCAAGGAGGGTCAGCTGCTAGTCTTGAACCAAGCAGGGACAGCTTTGCATGAGGACGCAGGCTTTTCAGAACCTGTCTTTCGACGCATGAAGGAAGAGTAGAGGCTTTCGTCGGAATTTGGAGGTTGAACCCTTGAAAACGGCCATGCGAGACCACGGCACCAACTGACCCAACATGCAGCCACAGCCACTCGTCGCCTGTCAACAACAAGGCAAAAGCGGCCGCGATGCATCTCGAGAGGCGATTCTGGCATTCAGGCCAGGCTTCAAGAGATAGGAAGGGTGTCCATCGCTAAAGCACTCACCAGCAAGAATCGTTGAAGTGCAAAGGAGTTGCTCAGGAATTCATTTCATGTAGTAGGACTTGGTTTCGCGCAGCACCGACCAAGCAGACCTGGGCCTCTTGCCTAGCTGAGCAGAGAGAGCACTCTCTCACGATGGCGAGGCAGATGCAGAGACGCAGCTGCCTTCAGGCAGGTTTCGGATGGTTTCGGTGGCCTTGGGTCGCTGCAGAATGCCGCAGAGAAGATGTGTGCTGGCTTGGCAGGTGGAGTAAGTGCCGCCACCTCCCCGCTTTCGAGCCCCTTTGGCAGCGGTCGAGGGGACTTCGTCTCACACTTTGTTTGTTTTCGTGTGCATCATGTTTTTGGAAACCGTGCTTGATCGAGCCGGATGGTGCTCAAGCCACCCTACCATGAGAAGGGGATGATGCGGCAACGCAGCAGGAGGGCTTGGACCTTGTTAGGACCTAGCTACCTAGTTGTTGGTGGGGCATACGTTCCATCTTCTGAGGCTTTAAGCTAGTAGCTGGCCAGATCGACATCATCCGCACTAGATTGAAACGGCATGTCCGTCACGTTCCAATGAGGTCTCACGGCCCCCATGGTTTGCTTGTGGAAGCCGTCAAAACCCAACAACGGAGTAGTGACATCGCTCGAGAAGGGTGGCGACACTATTGTGGATCACTTGGCAACGGGATCCAGGATCCCGCCAAGCATAGCCTCGAGTTCTTGCAGGAGTTCTTGGCTTTGCTGCAATCTGAAGAGATTCTGAGTCAGAACTTGGAGAATGTGGAGAACCCCGAAGGGCGGCTTGTGCGGAGCTGCTGTCCTTCACTTGGCTCAGAACAGCTGGAGATCCTAATGCCTGAGAGCGAGGTGAGCGTCATGAAAGACGTTGTAAATTCCAATTGCTATGGCTTTGCCCCTGGTAAAGCTTGCACCCTTTGCTCTGGCGACATTGTGCTGGACATCGGAGCACACGTTGGCACGGCATCAGCTTTGGCTTTGAAGACTCTTGGGGTTTCTGTGGTTTGTGTGGAACCGCATCCCGTAACTTTCGGCCTCTTGTCCAGTAACCTTGCTTCCAGCCCGAGGGCTACACTTGTGAACAAGGCGCTGGCTGAGTCGTGCGGCAAGCGCGATCTCTATGCGCACCGGGGCACCAACAATCCTTCTCGCCTGTTTTTTGCGTCACTTTTTGCCACGCGCAGCCACGCGGACGTAACCATTCCAGTGGAGTGCGTGACGTTGCAGGAACTTATTACAACATACAGCCCCTCGGTAATTAAGATTGATGCTGAGGGGGCAGAACGGTACTTGGCATCTATCCAGGACTTCGGAGTTGTGCGACGGCTGGTTGCAGAGTGGGATTGGGCCCACAACCGCCACCGAGACATGTGGGATGATGCCAGGAGGGCTCTCGAGCTGCATGGCTTTAAGCTCACAATTCGCGGTCGCATGCCTGACTTTGATGAACATGGGCATGCAATCCTTACAGATGGGCGCCTTAAGAAACGGGGCAATACAGGAATGATCTTCTTCGCTGCCCGGAAGGTCCGGAAGGGCTGCGCGCAACCGGCGCCAGCTGTGTCGGAGACCTGCGAAGCTGCTGGTGATGCAGCGCCGGAAGGAGCACTGCACCTTTGTCATAGTTGGGTAACATACGGTAACATTTATCATCTTTAAGGGTACTTAAACCCGATGTAAGTAATAAACTATTGACTTTTTACTATTAGCCCAACAATGAACAAGGCATGTTGCAGGTGCGCAGCCCGACCTAGCCTCGCAACTGGAGGCCTTGACGCTGGAGCAAATGGAGGAGCGCCTAGTTTACTTTGGACAAGAGGTACGGCCGGTTGCTCCCACGGAGTTTTTCCTCACGGGCTTCAAGGAGCGGCGCCGCGGCGAACTGGTCCGGGCCTTATGTGAGGCGTACAAGTCTCAAGCCCGTATCTTCCAGGCTTCGAAGGGCCTCCCGCTTCAGACAGAGCCTCTCAGTCCTCTCAGTCGCCTGCTGGCAGTATTGCGGCGCGTCAAGTTTGAAGAGAATGCCCGGCCAAGTGTGAATGCATCGGGCTACATCATCTTGAGGGCCGCTCAGGCCGCGAAGTTTGCGGAGTCCTGGGGTGATGAGCGCTTGCTGGGTGAGCTGTGGGCTCTGGCTGGAGAAGTGCTGCGTGAGGCATCTCCGAAGGCCGCCGCGTTTCATTTCACGGCTTTGGCAGTGACAAAGAATTTCCGAGGGAGCCCGCATGTAGATCAGAACGACCTATCGGTGCAGTACGCGCTGTCGACGGGGAGTTTTGAAGAGGGTGGGGAGCTGTGCGTTGAAGAAAACCCAAATTTAGTTCATGTACTGGACACGCGCAACCGCCTGGCATGCATTGATGGTCGCTTTCCTCACTGGGTCTCTGGCTACACTGGGGAGCGGTTTTCTGTAATCTACTACCGCAGCAGGGGCGATTTTGACCCACCGATTCTTGCTGTACATCCCGCTTGCTGATGACGCCACAGTGATGCCATCAAACCCTGCTGCCCTGCTGATGGCGACTTGGATGCTGCGAGCCCATCAAGTCCCGTATGTGGTCCCTTTCAAGCAGCCGTGGGCACAGAAGCCTCAGAAGCCCCGAACGCACTGCGGTGCTCCACGGCCCTCCACGGCACGAGCAGGAAGCGAGGCTCCCAACCTACCAGGTGAGAACGGAGTTCTGAAGCAGCATTGCTTCGGACACAAAAAAAAAGGACCAACAAAAGGACACCGGCTTCGTGCCCCAATTGATTTCAGAGCATAAATAATATATATATATATATATATACATATATATATACATATATATATATATGTAAAGATATATAAATACTATATATATATATATATATATATACATCGTAAATCTGAGTAGCGGCCTCCTCCCTAGCCTGTTGCCTAGGTCTACCGCCAGCTTCGGACCGGCTCCGAGCGATCCCCCTGGCCCTGTCTGAGTGCCGCTCGACTGGATTTGGGAGATTCTTCAGAAGGGTTTAGGGTTTAGGGTTTAGGGTTTAGGGGTTTAGGGGTTTAGGGTTTAGGGTTTAGGGTAAGCGCGCACGGGAACTGAAATGGTAAGCTGGGTTCAGGGGGCATCGTGCGGAGTTGGCTCTGTGCTGTCGGTTGCTTACCGCTTTCGTCAGGTCTGCACATGCGGTAGAACTGGTGCCGAGGCTTGCCGCCATCCCCACCGGTCGGCCCACCGACGCTTCCAGCAATGGAGTTGGGAGGAGTCAAGAGCGGCACGTTGCTGCATACTAGTTTGAAGGGCCGGACTTCACGGCATACACACCAGGGTGCGGCCGACAATCCCGATGAGGGAAAGACCGCAACGCATTGCAGTCTCACTGAAACGAGGTCGTGGGGTAGGGGGTAGCATGAGAAGAGACTTGCGTGTGATCCAGCGACCTTTTGATTCGCTTGTGACTGCAAGATGCCGTGCAAGAGTAATGTGTCATTGCATGTCTCGATCTCTGCAGTCAGCTGAGGCCGGGCCTGGAGCTGCCAGCCGAATGCGCCCTCAACCTCGCATCCCAGCGGTGCTAGCATGTCAGATTTCTCGCGAGTGTTGCGCAAGTGTAATGCAAGATATGCAAGTTGCTTCGAGTTATGCTTGTGGCATGTGCTCGCACTTTTCAAGGAGCGTTTGGACTCAGTCGGCACGAGGGTTGAAGCTGCCGTGGCTGCGGAGCCTGTGCCAACAACGTGGGAGTGGACTATTCTGACGCGCAGCCGCCCATGGTCCTGCTTTTTAACACTGCACAATACTGCACATACTAGCATGATGCCTGACTGGCGAACTTTGTGGATTCCTCACGACACTAGATGTTGGAGCTCAACCAAGGAATCCGAATGCCAAGTTCAAAGCGAACTGCGGATGCCCGTTGGTTTCTACTCCCTTCAGCTTGGCCGGTTTCGAGGGCATGCGTGCGACCCGTGGCAGCAACCCGCGAAAGGGCTTGCAGGGCCCGGCATCTCAAAATGCAGTGCCACCTCACAAAGTCCTGCTCAGGATCTTTACGCCTGGGACACTTTGGCTCAATGCACAGCCGAAGGACCCCAAGAAGCAACGGAAGGAGAAGGCAGTTCGAAGATGTTCGAAGGGCGATCTCCTCTGTTGTGAGTTGGACATGTGGCATATTGTGGCAAACGGCATGCAACCCCGCATGTGCAGAACCTGCAGCACATGCCATTCCATTTATCTACAGCGCACAGGCTCAACATGGCTCCCCTAGAAAGTTGTGGTAGCTTCAAGCGTGGGGTTGCGGCATCCAGGTGCTCGCCTGTTTCAGCAGGAAAGATAGGAGGGTCTTTGATGTACGGCAAGTCTCCAAGTAGCACTACGCACGAAGATGATACAGACCTCCACTTGCCTCTTTCACCTGAGCTGTGGAGCCAGCAGACCATGCGATCAGGTTTGGCCAAAAGCATGCCGCTACGGATCGCTGCAGCTGAAGTTCAGTGAGCGACCAAATGCCATTGCCTAAGCAAGTCGCTGGAGGAGCGCGTGTCAGCCATGTCTGCCGCAGAGTCATCTTTTGGGCATGGCTCAGGCGAAGCAGATCAAAATCTACTTCACGATCGGCTCGTGCCGGCTCGGTCCACTGGCTGCTTCTGTGGAGCACTGCACGTCCCAGGCCCGTGTTGTGAGACTTGAGCTGAAACCACTTGAGCCTCCAGCTTGGACATTGCTGAAGCATCGCTTGGCTTGGAAAGGTTTGCGAGCTCAGCATGGATTGGCGCTCCCACATTGACAAAGCTGGGAGTGCACTGACTATTGGTGTGCCTTAGCTGACTTGGCTTGCTGTGAACGTGAAGCCCAACAAGAAGAAGCCCAGCGCAAGGCCCAATGCGCATGCCCAACGCGAAGCCCAGCGGCCCAACGCGATTGTTGCTGGCTGAGGTCGAGGTTTGGGCAGATTGAGCCGGCCTCTTGCCTCTGCAACAGAACCAGCTGTGTGCCGTTGGACTGAGTCGGTTCTCGGGCGTGTTTTTCACGGCAAGGACCCTATGATGTGCAAGAACATCGATGAGTACAAAATTATACATTTGATTGCAGCCGAGCTGCACAGATGATGTGTCAATCAAGTCTGACAGGCGCTTCAGGACCTTTAGCCGTCAGAAAGTCAGGTTGATCTGGGGCATGGAAGGGCTCGCAGGTGTTCACAGACACATCTGCATCCAACAGCATCTAAGACCCAATACTTTCATATTGAGCTAAACTGTGACCGACTCCGGCCTGCATCGGGGATAGCCCTTGAGCACTCACACCCTGCGCAGCTGCGTGATGCGTCACGATCTCTCGGGTTGCCAGGCAATGGCTGGATGCGGCAACCCGGATGTTCCGACTGCGATGAGCTTGCTTGGCTCGAGCCTTGGGACATGGGGGTTTGGAGCAGCTTTTGGAGTCTGGATTTGCCAGATTGCAGCACGGATCAAGGATGTCATGATGACAGGGAATGTGAAGGGCTATTTTGTTCTGCCTCCCAGCCCGAGGTTCACCCATTGTCTAGAGCTGCGGCCTACCAGCTTGATGCACGACTTGTGAGGCTTTGCAGCCCCGGTAAGGCCACATTCCATGGCAACGTTCATGCAAGTTGGACGTGCACTCCGGGGTATCGCTAGGTCATGTTGCAGGGGTGGCTACAGTCAGAGTCAGACAAGTACCAAGTACTGTGCACTACATGCAGCAGTTCCCAGAACAGAAGTCCGGAATGTGGCTGACTTGGAAGATGAAGAGCCTCTTACAGACTTGAATTCAGTGGCGACGCAGGCTTCAATCAAGAGGCAAGACAGCTCAGAGCCTTTGGCAGAGCACTCCACGCATCGGGCTTGCCTTTCTTGACAACTTGGAGCCATTCATTCGTCATGCGGGCGCTTTTGCAAGGATCGCGGACTGCACTGAAGGCTTGCTTTCGACACTTGCAACCAAGCTCGCGGGTCGTCCCAAAACATGGAGTCAACCCGGGCTGGTTCAACTCCTGAAGAAGAGGAACATCTCTAACCAGCAAGTTCGATCAAGTTTGATCTCACCTCAAACTTGAAAGTGAGCCATCAGATCCCGACGCAGCTTCCAGAACCCTGCATGCTGGCCAGTTTTGTGCGAAGATTGGGCCGTAGAGGCTCCACTTCCTTGCTCAGCTCCAGCCGTCCAGTTGAGATTTCTAAAGTTGGCCTCTGCTGCCCCAAACTGGGTCACATTGGCCTCGGTCCCAGATGTGATTTCAATCCTGCTGACCGTCCTCTCGCAGCAACGCCATGCGCTGTAAAGGCTTCCGTGCGCATGGATGCTTCTGCTCAGGGGGGCGCAGTCAGCTTTTCAATCCGCAGGGGCATTGCCCCGACAAGTTCAGAATGCTCTCTGGACTGCCATCCGAGCCCCTGCCACAAAAAGCAGTAAGGCCTGGCTGATGCAATTAGTGTCGTTGTTGCTTCGAATCTTAGAACCCGGTTCGCCCTCCTTGCCATCTCCGAAAGCTATTGAATTGCGGGAGAATGGCTTGCATCGCAGCTCAGCAAGCACCCGAAGAACCTGCGTGATAAGTTGGGCGCATGGAGGAAGACGCTTGCACCGTGCAGAATTTCCTCGCAGTCTGCAGAGCTGAGCTGCACCTGGGGGGGTCCTCGCTTTTAGGTTCAGGCAGTCCGGCCACAGGCTTGAAAAAGTTGATTCGTGTGTCGTCGGCGTGCCACGTTGGGATTGGTTGAAGCAGTTCCTACAGCCGACACATGCTGGTTGATTGAGTTTTACTGCGCGGTGTATTCGTGCAGCATGTGGCTCAGAGGTGCAGATCTTCAAGCGCGAAGAAGTTTTTACGCGTGGATTCAAGGATTCGGGCAGAAATGTTTTGCAGATCACGCCATTTCAACAGATGAGTTTGCTACGGTCGTTCTGCAGACTTGCGCGTTCACGATGTCAGCAGATCGCTAGCTCATTTGAGGGGGAGTTCGATGTTTTCAGTTGCATCCGACCGCCTGAAACATGGATGACCTAGATGCGTCAGACATCGCAGAATTGAGGCGAGTCGCACCGGGCAAAGCTTGCACTTCTGAGCAGAACTCATCGGTTCGGGTAGTCTCGATCAAGCCAGTGGTTTGATGGTTTCTGCTTTCGTCCAGCTGGCACTTGAAGGGCTCCAGTTGTGAAATTTTGGTTCTTGCGCCGAAGAGGCGGGCTTTGGACGAGGAGCGGGCGCTGCGCCAGGCCCTGGAGGTGACTCCGATGAAGTGCCATGCAAAGTTGAAGTAATGCCATGCAAGGCAACGCAATGCAGGAGGTTGGCATAATATGTTGACCGTAGTCAAAGCCCTGGTTTTTCGTGGATGTGGCCGAAACGCAAGTTCTGGGAGCAGTTCGTAATGGTTGCTTTCATCTGGCCTAGGGGGATGCCTAGGGCCCTGCGCTTCTTGTCAGGTAGACCTCCAAAGGTCAGCGCAGATTGGACAGGAGTCTATCGGCTGCAGTCATACTACGGGGCAAAGTCGCATGGGAGGAAAGCATCTATCCAAAGATTGCAGGAATGTCTCTGAGGGGTGCGCTGGCAACTGTACGAAGGGTGTTGTTACGATGATACAGGTGAAAGTATTGTGTCGGCTTGTGTGCTGAGGTTGCTTCTCAAGAACGAGGCACACGGTCGTCAGACCGAGATCTGAAACACATGCCGCCACTTTGGCTGAATTGTCTGGGTGCTACCTCTGCGATGCAGGAGTTGGAGCAGGTTGCCTCCTGGCAGCACAGCCTGTGACAGTGGCAGTCAGGACAGAAATTTCTCTGCTTTCATCCCATGCTGGGCCTGAGTATTGATGAGTTCAGCCAGTGTCCAACCTCACAGTTTAGGGGCTGAGAGGCGTTGTTGTACGGTGGGCCGGGGCTCGTTCCACAACGTTCCGCATGCTCCACCAAAGCCTCTGGCATTGGGCGAAGCTGGTTTAGGAGAACGCCTCTTGCAAGAGCAGGGCATTTTCGGCAAGCCGACTCGCGGCACAGCTTGCTAACTAGTGAGTTAGTGTTCAATGCGAAGCCGTGTTCAGCTTCAGAAGTGCACATGAGGTACGTGACCACGCCGAGAAGAGCTTGCAAGCAGCCAGGAGGCCCCGCCACAACCCAGTAGAGAAGTGACATGATGCCCTCTTTTCCTTTTGACCGTATCGGCCGTATCGCAATTTGGCACGCAGAGCGAATGCTGCGGACAGCAGCTTTGTGCCAGGGATTCTGCACATTTGGTACCCGTGGTCCGGCGGGCATGCACAGTGCCAGTGAAGGGGAAGGAGGCGCCAAGGGAGGAAGTGCAGTTGTGGGCGCTTGCTGGCAGATCCTGATGAATGGTACTATCACCAGGCATCAGACGAAGACGATAGTGATGGCGAGGGCGACATGCCAAAGCCGAAGCCTAAACCAACGTGGTGGGTGACATGTGGCAGTGGGGCGGCCATGACCTGCCGCCTGTATGAAAACTGCGCAGTTGCATGCAGATTGCGGGTACAGAAATTGCTTTATCAATTGCTTTGCAAATGTTCGCGTCCTTTCCTTGTTGCGCCATGTCACGAAACTTTTGTCACCAGGCAAACGAAAGCGGATGATGCCACTCGAGGCAACCGCCACTGTAAAGTCACGATCGGGAACGTGCAACTTTGATATCCTTCCCTCAAACCAGCGTCTGCGGGAAGGGCGCACACACACACACGGACACACGGACACACGGACACACGGACACACGGACACACGGACACAAGGACACAAGCAGACGCAAGTGCACGCGCACGCACACGCACGCGCACACGCACACGCACGCGCACGCGCACACGCACACACGCACACACCCACAGCCACGCCCGGACTCTCGAGCGCATGCAGGCGGTCAGGGCAGGGAAGGTTTGCTGACTACGGCACTGAGCCAATCGGGTTTGCATTTGTTTGGGGCGATCTCGGCGTTTCTGATTCGAGAGTCGGGCGAACCTGCCAACATCATCCAACATCTGCTTAAACGGTATTTTTCGCAGGCCGAATGGGTGCCACAGGGTCATTTTTCCATCTCCCGGCCTTGCGCAAGCTGCAGCTTGAGGATCTGAAAGATCGCCGCATGGCGGAGCGGTTCATCTCGTTGTGATTGTGGAACATGGCCATGGCGGCCATGGCGACAGCTCTCAGCTGAGGCAAGCACGGCTGATCCGGCGTGGCCGGGCTGGCAAGACCGTCATGGTGGAGGCCGTATGCGCTGCTCGCTGGGGAAAACAACTGTAGAGCACCACTCAGGCTCGCAACTTACGCAAGTTGGATTCGTTTTTGGAAGGAGTTGATGTCTGCCAACCAAAGTCTCCACGATGACCTGATCCGACTGAAAGACGAGTATCCCTGGCTGCATCAGAGCTTTGTCAACAGAGTCTCGTCTTGGGCTCTCCCTGAGCATTGGTCCGGTCCTGTCTAAAATAAGTTCCGCAGAGATGGCAACAGGATTTCGGCATGAGGACTTGAGGTTCCTTGTGCCCAGCCTACCAATCTGAGGCAAAGGCTGAGGGGGTTCCGGGAGACGGAGGGCATGCAGGATGACATGGACGTGGGTACCATGGATCTTCAAAACGATGGGGAAGAAGGCTCTGGAGGTGAGCTGCAGTCACGGGCCTCTCGGCTAAAAGCTCAGATGACGCTAGGCCTTTCCCGGGATGGGGGGAAAAACCGACAAAATCGCTTTCGTAACGAAGCCACTCGCAGCGCTCACCCTAAACCCTAAACCCCAAACCCCAATTGAGCCGCTCTAGGGTTTGATTTTTACCAACTCCGACCCATGTACCCCACATTGCTGTGGCTAGTCGGGTGGCAAAAAAACCCCAAACCCCAAACCCCACACCGTAAACCCTGACGGGTCCACAAGGAACCCACGGAAAAGTATGGCCCCACCAGCAAACGTGAGGTGTAGCACTTAGGTCACAGCCTTTGGTGTTGAGAAATGGCCGTGTGCCAATATTAATTGCTTGTAACAGCGCCGTGGCCCACACACGCGACATACCCCGTTACATAGGGAATGTATCAATGCCCGGGGTTTTGCCACAGACCTGCTTCTTGTTGTCTTGCTTCCCCTTTTGGCTTCCAGTCATGCATGCACGCGACATTTGTCTGTATCAAGACGGGCGTTACATAGGTCTGCAAGAGATGGTTCCGCGCTGTCCGCGACAACCGGGGGTTTTGGCACATGGTCAAATGACGCCTCTCTGCTCCCCCCGAGCCCCCAGTGCGAACATCCAACCATTTCTGCCAAGAAGGTTTAACCTTCTCGGAACGGATCGTCATCATGCTTGGGCCATGGATGCTCTCTTCATCAGAGCAGAGTAAACCATGGACGTCATCATGCTTGGGCCATGGATGCTCTCTTCCCAGAATGGATTAGACCATGGAGGTTATCATGATTAAGCCATGGATGCTCTCTTCTACTATGGTGAAGAAACGTGTTGATTGCACCCAGGGCTGGGACCTTACTTTCGCACACGACGAAGCGTGAAGCTGTGCAGAAAACCCCACAAATACCAGTGTAGTGTACGGATGCCTAAAAAAGTATTGGAAATTTTATCCAAAAACTGCGGGGATAAGGTAATGGCCGGAAGCAAGGAAACCGTGGTATTTGCGGGGGATTTTGAACCAGGTAAAGCAGAACCGTGCAAAAAGTGTGGCTTCCTTATGGCCCCGCCTAGCCCCAAACCCTAAACCCCAAACCCTAAACCCTAAAACCTAAACCCTATAACAAGACGGCCTCGAAACTCAGGTCGCCGCCTTAGAGGCCGAGAGGAGGCAGCTCCAAAAGGAGCTCCGTGCCAGCCAAGACAAGGTTCTCCAGCAGTAGGATGAGGGGTCGGAAAAATTACTAAGTTGCTCATGGTAACTTAATAGTATTCCTTTATGGCACCTTTTTCAATATACTCTAATTACCCCCGCAAACCCTGTTCTAATTGATAAGGTTCTGAGAGGGAGAGATGGGCCTGCAGCACGTCAGGTCATGCAGCGTCACGTTTTTCATGCTCGACTGCTTTGCTGTTTTTCTCAAGAGTGCAGAGGTCGATATGGTTTGCTTGTATCTAGCAAGCGATGGCAACCACTGGTGTCTCGTGTTCCCTGATTGCCGGCGCGTTTTTACTGCGTCTTCTCTTGGTTCCCCTAAACTTGTACAGGAGCACCGATTTCGAAGTACACCGCAACTGGCTGGCCATTACACATAGTCTTCCCGTTTCGGAGTGGTACTTTGACACAACATCCCAGTGGACTCTGGACTACCCCCCTGCTTTTGCCTACTTCGAATGGCTGCTGTCTCAAGTTGCTACGCTCGTTGATCCCGCCATGCTACAAGTAAGCAACTTGGAGTATGCCAGCTGGGCCACGGTCACCTTTCAGCGGCTATCAGTGTCCTGGACTTTCATCAGAACATGCCTTCTTTCTGGCTTGTTTGACCTTTTCCAGAATGTTTAGAAAGCTTCGAAAGCTGAAGAAAAGCTTAAGAAAGCTCAGAAAAAGCTTAGGAAAGCATCTCGGTTCTCCCCCTAAGTTCTACCAGGTAGTCGGAGGTGACCTCATCCTCCTGGCTGGGGGCCTTGCTTTGGGGGGCCCCCGAACCGCGGCGGCTCTTTTGTGGAACTCAGCCCTGATCCTCGTGGACCACATCCACTTCCAATACAACGGGATGATGTTGGGCTTGTTGCTGCTGTCCGTGGCAGCCATCGAGAGGGGCCGGGTCTACTTGGGAGCCTTCCTCTTCTGCACACTCCTGTGCATGAAACACATCTTTCTCTACGTGGCTCCTGTCTATTTTGTTTACCTCCTGCGGGGCCACTGTGGCGCGTGCTGTTGGCCACCTCGGCTGCTGCCTGGCAACTTGGTAAAGCTCGGCTCAACTGTCCTTGCTACTGTCTTGGTGCTCACCAGCCCATTTCTTAGCCTCAAGCAACTTGAGCAAATTGCCCAGCGCTTATTTCCCTTTGGGCGGGGCTTGACTCATGCTTACTGGGCGCCAAACTGCTGGGCTCTTTACAACACACTTGACCGCGCCCCCGAGCAGAATTCATGAGAATGAGTGACGTGTAGTGCGAACGTACCGAAGAAGTTGTTCAGCTTTCTATACAAGAGGCAATCGCTGCTTCAACTTTCTGGTTTATGGCGTTCCTGAAAGCCAAGGTTATTGCCAAAGCCACGGGCGCAACAGGCGGCTCTTCGTCCACGGCAGGCTTTGCCGAGGTATATGAATCAGTTGCGCTATGGACCATTCCGCCACGTGCCACGTGCCTTAGCTTTCAGAGCTAGGCAAAGGATTTGGGGATTTGTCGAGTGGCAGACCCACCCTAACAAAACCCACAGTAGTAAGGTTCATTCTGACGCTCGTGGCATACTGTCCATTGCTCCTGGCCATTTGGCGTCGCACCGGGCCAGCTGGGGCGGGGTCGGGCAACTTCGCTACTTATGTTGCGTTCCTCGGCACATCCTTGGCGACAGCCGCGCAAGTCCTTATATATTGAGAACATACATGAAAATAGAGGCTATACAGGTGACAGGCAGCCTGTCAGACCCGAAAGATGACCTTGGGCCCTTGGATTTGTGTTAGTTTCTCAGGTTGGGGTCTGCCGCGGCCTTCACTTTCGGCTGGCATGTTCATGAGAAGGCAATTCTGATGGTGACAATCCCTCTTCTATCTGCTTGCACCTCTGGCCGCCCATCCCTCAGCGCCACCTATCTGGTCCTGTCCTCTGTGGCGTGCTTCTCGGTGATGCCCTTGCTGCCGAACCAACCTCTGGAGACTGGCATCAAGTGGTTGCTCTTCCTTGCCGGAGGTCTTGTGGAGATGCTGCTGCTTCAAGGACATGGGCTCTTCTCAAGCAAGGCAGGTTCCTTGCCCTGGATGCTGTTGGCGGCCTGCTATGCCGTGCTTGGTGCCTACCGAGATTTTGGTGGGCACTCGCTGTTATTCCGGGGCAGGATGGAGTTCCTGCCCCTGCTCCTGACCTCGGACTTTTGTGCCATTCTGGTGCTTGGGGCCTTCGGCAAAGTCTTCAGCTTGCTGCCATCAGAGAGTAAAGTTGAATAGAGAAAGAAGTGAAGGGCATGGGGCGACAGGCCGGTGACAGGAGCGCTTAAGATCAGAAGTTGAGGTTCACAGAGTTCACAGACCAGTGAACACTTTGTGCTGCATCTAGCTGCATGGACTTCAGAGTTCAGCAGGGGAAAAGGGGGGGGGGTGTGCCTTCTGCGTTCTCCCGACTGGGATAGACGGAACGAGTCTCGCATAGACGGAGGCCATCGACAAGTTCTGAGATTGTTCTGATAGGGCATCCACGGGGAGTTACCGGCTAGGGCAGCTGTGGGCAGCTAGGAATTTCGAGAGTGTGGCTATTCGACGCCTTGCTTTGTGCCAACGTGGCATGGATTGGTCTATCTCACTTGGCCGCCCATGCTCACTGCTAAGCAGCGCGTTCGACACGAGAAAGTTCTTGGCAACTTTGACAGTTAAATCTTCTTCATCGTCAATCTGTAAGCCCCGGGGTCTGCTGCGCTGGACAACGCTAGATGCAGCTTGCCAGGCTGTGCAGGCCCAGCGGCTGGAAGAAGAGCTCGAGGCAGAGTTCATGAGTTTGCTTGCTTTAAGGGCTTTTGCAGACGGGCTTGCGCTGTGGGCTCGGGCTTCAGGAATTACCCTCGCTTTGAGCAAGCAAGTATGTGTTTCACGGCCAATCCACTTGAGCAAAGCAGGAATGTAGAACCTTCGTGTAGACAACACGTAATGCCGCCGCGAGCTGGACATCACGTCGCTTCATCACTTGATTGCACCGCGAGCGGAAGCTGTGCCCAAACTCCGCGACTAGGCAGCCAGGAGTTCGCTCCACCTCGCGCAGGGCCAGCTTGCGGCATTGGAGGCTGCGCAATTTTGGGGCGGATGCATGGTTTGGTTGTCTGGTCTACAGAATGCTTGGCTCCGAATGCTCGTGAATGAGGAGGTAATTAGCCGAGAGCTGAAGTGGTTCACCCTGCTTCTTCGAGACCCTCAGCCTAGCTGTGCGTTCGGTCTTGTGAATGAGGCAGCCAGACCTTAAAAGGTTCTCTCGCGAAACTCTGGCGTTGTGCACAGGAGAAAAACCGCGCACTGCGGATATCCCAGCAGGCGTGGTGAGGGCTTGCCCTTTCAGTGCAACCATGACTCAAGGGCTCTATTGCGGCTACGATCGCCACCGCACCCTCATTTTCATCCAGGCCGCACCCCGCATGAGCCTATAGCACGTGCCCGATGTGCCCGACATCCCCCTCAGCAAATTACGTGGCTCGATGTTCAATAAGTAGGTGCAATCTTAACGCTGCGCATGCTTGGCTCCAAGAGCATCGTCCGGTCCTGAAGACCCTCGAATGCCCCCCGCCGTTCTGAGCCCCGGAATGTTCGATGCCCGGTTCTGAGGGTGTGTGTGTGGTTTTCCTGTGCTAGAACCCCTTTTCTTTTGGGTGTTGGTAGAATTTGTAAACTTGGAAGCGACGAATCTCGCAGGCTCTTGACGCAGAGCGAACGAAGCTGGCAAGCCTGCTGGAGGCTATTCGGGTCAGGGGCAGCATGGGGAAGCATTGCTCCGGGCATGTGCCACTGTGCAAGTTGTCGCATGCGCTCGCAGAGCCGTGGGGCAGTGGGGTCCAGAAGCTATAATATCCCCCTTGGGAATTATCTCTTTTTCTGTTCATATAAATCCCAAGAGGATATTAAACATATTATGTTTATTGAGGTTCTAAGGGGAGTATAGGAAGGGGGGGGGCATTTGAGCAGGCTGTTGCTTTGCCTTGGGGGAGGCTGCCGAGAGCCGCTGTGTGCATTTGGAGCAGGTGGGCTTGTGCGAGCTTATGTGGTGCCGGCACTTTCACCATGCATGAACACATCTGAGCACCCACAAGAAACCCGTATAGTTGCTGAGAGAGATCGGCTCAGGAGTTAGAGCAGACGACGCTGGCACGAGCGCGGAGAAGCAGAAAATCAACCGGCTCGACACTTGCCAGCCAAATGGTTTTTTTGAGGTTCCGTGACTTTGACATGCCGGTCCTCTGGGCATTACAGTTACAGGAGTTCGACCAGCAGTGTTCAGGAATACTTTGCGTTAATGACATGACCCCTACACCTCCGAGCGACCCCGGTCGTCGGTTCTTGGTTATGCTACGTCGGATGGATGCACGATCTTGGAGGGGTATGCCGGTATTCCTAGCATAAATAGGGGAGTGGGCAAGGGGTTGGGACTGGGCAGTCAAAGGCCATGGCTTGAATGCAGGGAGTGCAACGGGAAAAGGGGTCCGAGAAAGACCACATCCGAGGGTCGATATGAGACAACAGCGCAACCTTGCAAAGGGCCAGGGTGCTGGGTGGAAGGGCTAACAAAACAACTGTGGACATACATAAGCTTTCGAAGCCATCTCAAAATCTCAGAATCTAAGTTCGGAACCATGGGCCCTTAGTATGGTCCGTTAACCTTGTTTAAAGGAATCCGAAGTATGGGGCCTGATTATGGTATATACAAGGGTTATGTAACAGGGACCCAAATCGAGGGCCCATACTTGGAACCCTAGACAAGAATGTCCAACAGAATGTCCGATAATGCGGCTCGAGCCTGAAAGACACGCAGCCTTGGCCAAGAAAACGACGATAAAACTCTTTTCAACCTATCGCTGACGGGTGAATAGGAAGATTGAGCAACAACAACCGACTGAGGATCTCGACAATTGGTGAGGAGGCAGGTGGCGAAGTGGAGTATCAACTTCCGAGCACACATGCCAGAGCTTGGCGATGGCCATGGTGATGGCCATGGTGCAGTCATCCATTCTTCCCCCAAAAATTGCATAACGCAGAGTTTTCTTGCGAGCTCGTTGCAAAAAGTCTTGCAGCTTGAGACTGTTAGGCACAAGCCGACAAGCCGTCTTTCGTCAGGCTGTCCCAGAGGCGACGAGCGCCTCTCTTGCCGCCGAGCTCGCGCAGGCGTGGGTTTAGGGTTTAGGGTTTAAGGCTTAGAGAACGTAGTCTCAAAAGCTTACTTTCAGCTGATGATCCTTGCATCCATGCAGACATTGAAAACGTGACAGTTCGACTGAAGAGTGCGCTGGACGTCAGGAGTAGCGGCATGTACATGCAAAAAGCTGTGTGGAAAGGGGTGATCCAGCTCATACTTGTGGGCGTGCACTGGAATGAAGCGCTCTTCTTAGCCGATGTCGTCATGTCACGGCTTTTGATTGCCAATCGGCAGGAAAGCCATGAAGAGGACTGGTATGCAAAAGCGTGCACTCATGACAGCATGATGATGTGGCACGAGGGTTGGATGCATAGCATGTGTGCAGCCCCTGACGTCGCGTCCGAGCACTTCATGCTACAGCTGCCATACCCTGCTACTGTACCGCTTGTCGCATCTTTTGCCGACGATGTCAGGCGATGCGCCTGGATTGCATAAAGGTTGCATCTGAGCTGCGTCGATGGCTTAGCTACCCTTGCGCTGCTCTTCTTTATGACTGCCCAGGAGAGCTAAGATGAGCTAAGATGCGCGAAGATGCGCGAAGATCTCCGAAATCCCAGGTGCTGAAGTGGGGGCTCTCAGCCGTACCACCGCGAGCTGCAAAGCCTGGCTCGTGGCTGCGAGGCCTTGCTTTGTTGGGGTCAGACTGGACTGTGATGAGTTGTGGCAGTTGAGGGTGCCGAGGGCAACAAAAAAAACTAAACCCGTACGCTTCACATGAGACTCAGTCGACACCTGTGATGGCGCAGGAAGCTGTGTGACGAGAAACTTCCGTCTACGCTGACGCTGTCCGCAGACCGGTCGGATGATGAGACATCGCCGTAGCAATCCCATCCTGGCCACATAATGATTTAAGATAAATTTTAATCACCATCTAGAACTGTATTGCTGCAATGGCGTGAAAGCTCCGATTTACTGTCTTTCGGATGCTTGTAGGTTCAGCTGTTGTCTAGCTAGAGGCCAGATGCGAGTCTTGCTGTTGTTTTGGGTGGGACGCGCTGTTTCTGCCGCAGAACTGCGTGCAAGAGCTGGGAGGCGGCGCGAATGGCTGTTGCTAAATTGCACTTGTTCTTGTTGCGATGATCTCAAGTGCAACCTCAAAGCTTGCATTGTCAGGGCAGCAATGGAAAGCATTGCCAAAGCACATTGGGAGCCGAACAATTTTCACGGTCGAAGCAGGGCCCGTGCTCGCGGTCCGTCTTGAGCATGCTTTTTAAGACTGCGCACTGGATGTAGCCACCTGGCGCTATCACTCATGCATGTTATGCAAGACACAGGCCTAGGGCAGGTCCTTGACATCCTTGCACTTACCGCAGACCATTTGGCCCAACAGACGGCAGGCTTGAAAGCATTCGGCTAGCCTCCGCTGACATATGCTATAAGTGTGGCGGTGCCATGTGCCTGGACAGCAGATGGGGATTTCCAAACGCGATGTAGCCGATTCCACCCCCCTGACGCTGAGGCCTCCACCATTCGAGCTGGGGCCACTCATTGGTGGCGATAAAGAGAGGTACGTTCTGCAGTAGCGGTGGAGTTTGTTTGGTCCACGGTATGTCTCAAGTTTCCAGGGCTGTCGCGACTATGGTTCAAGCTTTCTCTGTCTCTCCAGGTAGGCTGGCTCCGGCCCATGTCAGACCCAAGGGAAGACACTGTTCTTCTTGCGGATGAGGAGTCGGTTTCCAGCACCGATGGTCGCAGAGCGAGTCTCTCGCCGCGATTGCTGGTCGTCCTCAGCCTAGGAGCAGCGGTGGCACTTGGTGTACTTGGGGCGACGCGCGGCCCAGCGAATGCTGACGACCATGACCCAACGCCTTGCGCGGCACGCTGCTACCCGGCCTCGGAAGGGCGATTGGCCTTCGCGCAGCTGTTGGAGTCGGACATCCCAAAAGGGTCCTGCCCCAGACCTGCCGGCTTCTGCAGCAAAGATGATGACCACCTTGAGTATCATGACTGTGATGGAGATGGAATCTTAGACCCCTTCTGCTCAAGCGGCGAAAAGCTCAAGTTTGGTTTTTTGAGCTCCGGTGATGGTTGCCGAAGCAACTGGCCGAACGGCTTCTGCCAGAAGCAGGATGAGCCCAGCTACATTGCAAGTTTGCAGACGGTCCCCAGCCCATCGAATGAAATTACCATCATCCATTTTAACGACGTGTATCAGGTGGCTGGCGTGTTTGAGCACGGCGTCCGCAAGGGAGGCATGTCCCGAGCCGCCTATGTCATCGAGCAGGCACGGAAGCGAAATCCTCACCGGACATTTGTGGTCTTCGCGGGCGACCTCTTATCCCCCTCGGTCCTGAGTGATCTGTTTGAGGGAGAGCAGATGGTGGACATCCTGAACTACTTAAACCTGACGGCCGCTTCCTTGGGGAACCACGAGTTCGATTTCGGGGTGGACACGCTGCAAAAAAGGATCCGAGAGTCCTCATTCCCGTGGTTGAACACCAATCTTCTGGATGAGACAGGTGCCTTGTTCCCAGGCCACCGGCGTCCCCCCTCATAAAAAGTCCCCGCCTGAATGTCCTGGTGGCAGCTTGCAAAGCAGCTCGGAGCCTGCATTTGTTAGGGACACTGGCATTCTGCATGCCATTCTCAGTCTTCTGATGTTGTCATGTTTCTCTGCAGGGACCCGGCACCACAAAATCATGGACATCCCGTATGCACCGCGATGGTCTGAGGGTGGAGAGGTGAAGTCCACTCGTGTTTGCTTGTTCGGTGTGGCCTATGATGTGCGCGAGACAATGTTCAAGGACAGACACAGAGTAGGGTACGTTTCTTGAATGCAAAAAGGCTGCAGGAGGCTGCAGAATGCTGGGGGAGCCAAGGGCCAAGCCACACTTGCACAGTCAAGGTGGACTCATTGGCTGCCGCTCGGAAGGAGGCCAAGAGCCTTCGAGACGACCATAACTGCAACTTGGCCCTGGGTCACCATGAGAAGCATCTTGAACATGAGATCATGAGACTTTGTGCTGGTGCTTTGCAGTTCCAGTGCTCCCAAAGGCAAGGTGGTCCTTGCCTTGACTCACCAGTTCGCCTCTGCAGATTGCGAGCTCTCGGAGGCAACCTGCCGCACCTGCCTTCTACGCGAATTCCATTTCAGACGCAGTCGCTTTCTCCCCCGTACGGTGTGCGCTCCGGGGTCTTTCCTTACCTGTACTTCTTTACATGTGTACATACATACACATATACGCGTCCGTGTACATATATATATATATACATATATTTACATATATGTATGCGTCTATGTGTCCCAGGAATTTCGGAGTCTGTTTAGACTTCGAACCCCTAAGCTCTGGCTTTAGATGGTCGAAGGAGGGTAGGGCCAACGTCGAGCTTTGGACAGTCCCAACCGTTGCATATTGACAAGGGGGACCTAATCGAAAAGCAACGGCAAATTGGAGAAGCCGAAGCACCGGGAGAATTATGTTTCGAAACTGCCCTGTTTTCCAGTTTGCCGACGGGTATGGGCGCTGTTCAAATTCAAGAATGCAGGCGAAGTCCATGAAGTTCCACTCGAAAGATTGGAAAAGAGGGGTGGCTAAAGGGAGGAGCGGGGAGTAAGGCTGTTCGGGGTTTAGGATAACCATGCTCAGGTAGTTTCTCAGAGCCGGGCGATACCCAACGGCCCGTTGCGAAGAAAACCGGCCCCCCCTTAGTCTGGCAGAATTTGCTTTGAGAACTTCCCACATCCCAAGGGTCCATGTCCAAGGAGGTGCTGCAAGGTGCTGCGCTTGAGGTTTCGGGTTCAGGGTTTGGGTGGACGCGTACCATCTGTCGAATTTGTTTTGGAGCTCCCGCTTTTTCCGCTAAGCTCCAATAGGCCTTGGGGAGAAGCGTGGACTTGCGACTGAGCGGCAAAAGCTTGTTGCACGTTGCTTTCAAGCCTTGGTTGCAAGGGCTTGGGATATATCCATAGGCCGCTACATCCCAGATCTAAGGATCTTGGGTGGGCATGACCATAGCACAGAGCTCAAGACTGTCTGTGGGCATGCGCCATACGTCAAGGACGGGCTGGCGGATGAGGGGGTTGGAGGATATGTGCCTACCAAGGTTTGTGACCGACTTTTCTGTTGTGCGATATCAGCAGCACATATAACGTGCATTGTGCTACACCAGTAAGCTGTCGGGCAGGCAGATTCAGATTTGAAGACGCAGTGGAAGATGAAGCTGCTGCTGACAGACGACGGTATGGTGGACTCTGTTGAAGGTGAGCTGATAACGCTGACAGACTTCGACCCATTCTCCGTCGGCGTGCCCCCGAGCCTCCAAATTACATCACACATTCATGTCATTCTTTGGGCTGTTTATATGCAATTCTTAGTGGCAAGCTTTGCTTTTTCCTTGGCTTGCAAGACCCCTACACAGGCACAACAAAGTGGTGCTGTGGGAGGAAAGGGGTAGCGCCGAGCTGGCCAAAAAGATGGGCTGTTCAAGTGTGCCTCTTGACGCAGTTGCGCGACATGTCCGTGAGCATGAGACGAACGCTGGAAACTTTGTGTGTGATGCCGTGAAGAGCATGCACAGGACTCCTGAACTATCCTGAACTAAACAGAGTCCAATAGCATGCAGCAGCTGGAGCATGTTGAACGCTTGTTGTTTCAGAGGACGGAGGTGGCTTTAATCAACGGAGGCACCATCCGGGGAGACAAGGCCCGCTTTGGATCCTGAAACGAAGCTTCGTGCACGCGCATTTGCAAAGCCCCGTCAGCAGCCTCGTGCCAAGCTGAACCTTTTGAAGCCCTCAACCCTTAACATCCCTTAACCCTTAACCCTAAACCCTAAAGAGGCGAGAACAGGGGACTGCCCCTGCTGACAAGGTGTTTGCAGCTGGCGACTTGTCGAAAGAGACCATCACGGAGTTGCATCCGTTCGGGAGTCCTGGCAAAAGTGAAGACAAAGCTACCTTGAGTTAGACTCACTCAGTTGTGGCCAAGTGACGATTGGACAGCGCCCATGTCAGGAACAGCATTGTGAAGATCTATGCCACGGGGGCCGAGATCAGGAAATACATTGATGATTCACTGAGCTGCTACGATAAGATGTGCGGCAACTTCGTGAACTGCGCCGGCGTGCGGTATACGTTTGACCCAACAGCTCAGAGTGGACAAAGGGTCCGGACCCTGACCTTCGACGATGGCCAGCCAGTAGGCGACGACAGCAGGCTGACAGTGGCGCTCACTGACTACATGCTGTCAAACTCCGATCTGGCAAAGAATCGTCTCTACAACATGGTCACTGTCAACGATGCAATTCCCCTCGTGCAGGCGCTCTTTGCTGCCGTTGCTGATGCGGGGTCTTCCTGTATCAGCCCCAAACTGGATGGGCGCATAACTGTGGCGAAGTCGAGCAACGGCAGGTGAGACTTTCTGTCCGGCTATCTTTAAATCTCCCACGAACGTGGGAAGTATGGCTCTTGAACAGGTAGCAGATTTTTCCGAAATCGGCGAGGATGGTAAAGTAGCGTCATGCAATGAGCTGGGTCGCGAACGGTCTGGACTCGGTAGATGTTTGACGATCCACCAGCGCAGAAGAACACAAGGATTCCTCACAGGCTGCATTCGTGCAGTTTGGCAGTTTCACTCGACTCCAGCGTTGTTGTATCGACGGCAACTGGAAGCGGGCAACAAGTCAACATCCATTCAGGGCAGAGAACTGGACCCGTGATGCACCACCCCCCGCAAGGTTCTGGCCAAGGAGCTTCATTCAGCCCGTTTCCCCACAGAACCATAGAATGGCTAATTTGGGGGAGATGAAAGGTTACAGGGAGGCCCTTTGAGGATCTTCGGGGGCTGGAAGGCTTACAGGGCTGTGTACAGGGCCCGAACCTGACCATTCGGGGGGGGCTGGGGGGGGGGGGGTTTGTGGGTACGCGGAATCACAACGATGAACAGAAGTGGACAATTGGCCAATGGCCTGCATGGAAGCAGCTATAGCTAAACCGCGGGATGCTTTCAAAATCATGTTGACGTTGCTTTTTGGGAACTGGTGCGAGGCATGGCATCGTCTATGATAAGTGGCCCTTCCGTCTTGACATCGACGCAGAGTATCAGGACAAGAAGTGGTATGCGATGGCGGAGATTTCCGTGGGGTTGCAATTTCTTGCTAGCGCGGAATCGACTGTTTCTCGGGAGATGCCGGCATGTTAACAGTAAGTTGTCGCAGAGTCAGCGGCCTGTGGACGCGAGCGTTGATGGAATGAGTGCTTTGAGATGATGAATGTTCATAACGCGTGCAGCCGCAGGACTGGATCCTCGTAGCGGCTACTCGACCTTCCATGGCGCTGGGTGTCCTTGAATCTGTCTACATCTAAAAAACGGACTAGATAAGTATATATATATATATGCACACATATTCCTGTACTTGTATTTACTTCAGTATTTACAGGAACCATGCTTTTCCCCTTGCTCCACGTGCAGCTGGAGCCGGTGGTACATCCACCCGGCTTTCTCCACCCGGCTTTCTCTGCATGCGGATACTTCAGCTTTGCTTAGACATCCCATCGCCACTCGCTGCCCGAGCTTCGGTTTTTGGCAGAGTTCACGATGAGATCCGGATCTAGGAATGAAGCCAGCCAAGGTTTGCTTTCTGGTTTCTTGCAACTTGGTTGCGTTGCGGGGGGGTTTTAGGGCCGCCCACCCTAAGGGCCTCAGAGTTCTTGGAGACCACTGTTACAGCCCAGAGGCAGAGCACTCTTACAAAAAACGCGGGCCTAGAGCGTTGAATCGTAGACATCCTTGTTTGTCCTTGGCTTGATGACATGCAGATACAGCTTGGGGCCTAGCATCCTCAGCGCTGCTGACCCGAGCTTCTGATGCCAGGACTTCCACATGGTCATGTCATGTCGATGGCCAAGGCATATGGTGCTTACCCTGCATCTGCGGACGCCTGAACAATCGGACAAGCCGGGGCTTCTCCAGCTTCGTTTACACGCGCCTCCATGTGTACTTCTGCGTGGCACCTCGGCATGGTTCTGGAACCTCTGCAATTTGGCCAGGTCTGGCACAGGTGCGTAGAGTTACCGTGTTCGGCAAGGCAGGATAATTCTGCCAGCTAAGGCGACCTATCTGAACGTATTTATCCTGGTTTTCACCATAGGTGTGTTGCCAGATTGGACAGCCGCTTGGCCAGATTGCAGTCCACGTGCAAGGGTAGCTCGATGTCGCAGGTCGCAGGGTTCGCAGGACTAAGCCCTCAACCCTAAGTATCAAATCAGAGTCGCTTTCGCCCCAGCTGTGCAGGAGGGAAAAGAATCAGAGTCGTTCGTTAGTTTGGCAGCAGGGGAGGCTAGAGGGTGCTAGCATGGGGGGACAACTCATTTTGATTGCCCAGCCCCCTGACGTTGTAGCCTGACGTCAGAACGTTGACGTTGAAGCGCTTCCTGATCACAGGTGAACGAGTTTTGCGTATACTTTGTGGGGTTTGTTGACTGGGTGCTGATCCACACAGCGAAGCTGATCACTTCGTTCTCGATTCTGCGGCTCGGCTGCAAACCACAGGCAGCTTGTGACGCCTCCACGTGCCTCCGGGATGGAGTCGCACTCGCAATGCTTTGAGGCGGTTGCTTTTTTGTTTTGCCTTCTATAATTTGCCTAAGCCTGCCGAATGTTTCCCAGAGCACGCCAAGGTTTGCATTCTACGTGGTGTTCCGCTTTCGACATCGGATAGCCATAGCTACAGGTCTGGAACACATCACTCTTATTCGCTTCAACTGGAGGGCGACTTGGCAGGAACTTGCGGTCGGATTCAAGTATCAGACCCTTTTTGGCATTGCTGAGTGAGGCTTACTACTTGCAGTAATGCTTGCAGTTACTGTTTGCAGCTGCTGCTTGCAGACTTATGTCAGTCACGCCTGGTCCCACCCGTCAACCAACAAAGCCACAACGCTTCCGAGCTCGAAGGATTTATTTGGCCTTCGCTCGCGGCAGAGGCCTATCGAGGTATTCATCTGGAAGGCTGCGGCGGGATTCCTCGATGTTCTGGGACTGCTGCACTAAACGTTGCTCTGCGGTTGAGGACGAGAAGATCCGGGGCAGTTTGAGCGTTACCTGTGTTGTCAGCCCAAAGCCACTTGCGCGACTTGCATGTTGAGCTTTGTATGGCAGAGTCTGTTTGGGCCCCGGTGAGTGCCAGCGCCAGAAGACAGCACAACCTTGCACTTGCACCCTTTTGTGCCTATGTTGCTGTGATAGTAACAGTCCTCAATAGGGACTACACTTTCAATAGGGGGTGCTATAATCCGCATTGAGGACTGTTAGAACATCCCACTTTGTTACGCCTGTTGGGCACGTTTTGAGAAGGGTTCGATCTTTTGGTCCTTGGGCATCTGCTTACTGTTGGTTAGTAGGGAATGAGGGAATGAGGGCACCCTCTATCCCCCTATATACACCCTTTAAGATGAGGTACCCTACATCCCCCCTATGGCCCTATGTATACCCTTTAAGGGATTAGATAGGGTACCTCATTCCCTCATTCCCTACTAGCCAGCAGTAAGTCTGGCGCAGGTCGAGGGGTTGCAGAGCGCCTCCTCCAAGTTCACGAAGCCGAACGACCTCTTTGTGGAATGCCACATGGGCTGCTTGACGACCATGAGTTGGGATGTCCCCCCCTTTTACTACCAGTCCTGAGAAAGGGATTATAGTCCCCCCCCTATTGCAATAGGGGGGACTCTAAGGGGGAACATTTTAAACAATGAGGTTCTTAATGGATCTCGAGATCGAGAGCTGTATAGACATCTGACATCGGGATGTGATGAAAACCTCTGACCCATGAACGCTTCTCCTAGATGGGAGTATCGGTCGGCTGGTAGCTTGCGATGACCCGCATGTCCCTGCAAGGATACAACGAGCCCATGCGGACGCGAGTCCACAACAACGCGGGCAGTGAGGCTGTGATTAGGGAGTCTTTCCAGTTGAATATAGACGCTGCTTGGACTGGCATTGGTATGCATTGGTCAGAAAGGAACGTAGAGCTATGAACCATGCCCATCCTCATCAGTGCTAGGGTTCAGCCTGGAAGGGGACCAGCGCGCACAATAAGGAGAACTCGCCAGATACTTTGATGACGCTTCTGGCAAAGGATCAGTCGCTGCTCACCAATTCTGAAATTGTGCCACTGACGCAAGGGTGTACTGATGTGTACTTCGTGCAAGCTCTCCAGTTTCCTTAACATGTGACAGAGTCTGCAAAACAAATGGACGTTGAGTCATGAAGGTGTGTGCAGGCTTTCCATCTCTAGAGCAGAACAGACTGAGGCACGATTAACTCTCTCTACCAGAGAGCTTTGCGGAATCGAGGTGCGCTTGTATGCTGTGGTGCCGTAATCTCAGAATCTCAATCGTCTTGCTTGACTTGGGAAACCTTGCTTCCCTGCCGCAGAGCTTTTTTCACATTCTGCGGGCGGCCTTGACCTGGCAGGATCAGACCGGCAAACGTCGAAGTACGTTTTCCTATGATGAGGCATGGCGGTCAGATTGCCGTGCCGACCATGCTGCGACTACCGGTTGCAAATCTGTAGTCTGTGGATTTGGCAGGATTCTTTTCTGGAGCTCAGCCTGTCTCCATCCGGGAAGATTTGGAGCCTTGGGCAAGAAGGTCTTCTCCGGGTGAAGCCTTGGCATGGGTAGGGCAGGGGTCACATGTTCAGGTGCATCTCAGACCCGAAAGTTCTGAAGTTTGCTGTTGCAAGGATTGCTGTTGCTCCTGTGGACGAGGCAGCGGAGGAGGAACGGTCGCTTTTGTTACAGGAAGACTCGTTATTGCCCTGCTGAACGGGGCCAGGGATAAAGAGGCCAGGCTCCTGCAGCCTGTGCACTGTCCCATGCCACCATAGGTTCAGCCGGGTGGCCAGCGAAGTAGTTTGGGGTCACTGCAGGCCCCCGGGTAGTAGTTCGCAGGTCTGGCTTCCAGTGGAGCCCAGTGGCACGGACTATTAAAGTACGGCAACACAAACAGAACGTCTCTCAGCACTCTCTTAGCCTCGCGTTCCACGAATGCACGAAATTCGAGCCTTGCGGGCTGCATGGCTGTGAACAGCACAAACGGCCCGGCGAGTGCTGTCAGGACACAGGCCTCATCGAAGTTGATTTCCCAGAAGCACCCTTTGGTGAATAATGTGTTGGCCACGTGGTTCGAGCGAGAATACCAGCATAACAAGTGGTTCGTGTGGAAGCACAACGCCGGGTCACCCCCAGCGTCCCCCAACAGGCTGCAGACAGGAGTAGACAGTACCACAGTGGCTAGCAGCTAAAGACTGTGTAATTTTATAAGAGGCTGTTATCCAAGTTTCAGGAAGGAGTGCGTTTAAAGAAGGGCCTGGGGGATGTTTTGACAAGAGGATCTTTTTTAAATGCAGATGATAAGATGTACCAAAGTGTTAAGCTTGCCCGAGAGAGGTTCGCGTACCGTAAGTGTTTGTGAGGGGATTGAATGGGTTGGAAAAGAGTTTTCCTCAAGGCTGCAAGAAGCTATGAACAGGATGCTGAGAAGGTGTTAGTTCAGCAGGCTTTGGGCTTCAAGATTGTTTCAGAAGTTTTAGGAGAGGGCGCTCAGGAAGGGTTTTACTTCAAAGGATGTTAATGGGAGGCCTTGTGTCCCAAGCAGCGGTTTCACTGAGCTATGCCTCAAGCACCATAGCCGTACGCTGTGGAAAGGAAGCTTCTCGGCTTGGTTAATGCAGCTGTGAATGGTCTCGGGGCAAGGGCCACCTCTTTAGAGGTAAGCCAATGCAGTTGTGGTGACCACTGGACTTTCAACTCCCCTATGCCGGTCTTTGACGGTTGGGGTTGCGAAAGGCGCCCTTTGCTACTTCGTGTAGCCTTAACCTTTCCGCCCGCTTCGTACATACATCGTTGGCAGCCAACCAATGGCTCAAGGTGTCCATGATTGTCCATGTACATGACATGAACGGTCGCTATACCGTCGCCTGCACACCCAAAAGCAGCGCTAGTTGGCTTTAGAGCCAGAGCTGTCCAGTTGTTGCCCCGGTTAGCATGATGCTGTGCTGGTACCTTCGGCATCACGGCTGCGTAGCAAAGTGGTCGCGACCACCCTTACATAACTCACCCTGACCTATCTGACCTGCAGCATGAGCAGCAACTTTTTGAACAGCATTTGCGCCGGCAACATTTGCAAATGCCCAGCGATCCCCCAGCCACGAAAGTCCTTGGATCGTACTGCTTCAAGATGGCACAAAAAGGGGGGCCTCCGGGCCTTGCCAGCCGACCCTGGCCGTCCGGCGGAGGCAAGGTTGAGTCAGAGGTCGCAGCCGCAACACGCCGAGACACCGAGACACCTCTAGTAACTCTGCATCATGAACCTGGTACAGTATCATCAGAGCTCATGTCTCAATTCCGCGGCCATGTGCACAGGCTTGCTTCTTATCAGCCAGCATTTGCCGACAAGAGGGGCTGATTTTTTTGTGTCATGTTCACAGCCAAGACGCATGTCCAAAAGCATGGGGCTTCAATGATACCTGGGATCGTGACAGATAGTGTACTTCCTCGAGCTTTCGGATTTCTTGCCTGTGGTGGGTTCTCCGGTGCCTTGACCTAGGGATTGTTAAGGAACCTTGTGCCTGAGAGGAAGCCGTGCTTTTGCTTTTGAACCTCGAAGAATGTTTTCTGATGCTCTCATCATGGTAGGGGCAAGGACACAATGTGCTGCTCCTCGGAGCCGCCACTGCTCCCACAGGGGTCTTCAATGTACCTTCAAGGAAAATAGGGGCTTTACCCATCTTTACCCGAGCACCTTACAGAATGTGTGTGTTATGAGTCGTTCGTAGGGTCGTAGGGCCGTAGGGCTCAGGGAGCAGGACGTTCGATTTGTAACAGCAGCAACGATCGGAAAACATGCAAATGTTTGCAACAGTGCTCTACTATTGGGAAGACCCCGATGTCTCATGCTTCAATGAATCAATGAATGCATCGGACTTGAATGACCTGTGAGACAACTCCATAAGTGCCTTGTATTTGGGAAGGGCGAAATACGTGCTTTCCTTACCTTCTCCCCCCCAAAAAAAACACGAGAAAACAAAACGCCCATAAACCAAAAAACGAAAAACAGGGAAACGTAACACAACACAAAACGTTGGAGACTATTATCCAGGCCCAGGAGGGGCTAGTGCTTGAATTTGCTTTGTTGGTCTTCATGGTTTTGCTGGGTCTGCGGGACATGTGTGCTGGTGTTTGTGCTTTGTCACATGTGCTTCTCTGTGCCTTGGACAAGGAAGACCGAGAACGGCGAAACAGACACCAAACTACAACAAATACCGAAGGGGTTGCGAGAGCTGGCTCGCAACTTGAGAAAAAAGGCGTTCGAAAACCCCCGTAGAAAAGGTTGTGAGAGCTACTCCTTTATAAAGGGTTGCGAGAGCTGCTCTCGCAACCTTTTTAGACGGGTGTTCGAAAACCCCTTTTCGAAAGGTTGCGAGAGCAACCCCAGATGACATTCTTCAATCTTTTTTTGTTTGTTTTCGTTGTTTTTTTGTTTGGCATGATCCGATCCGAGCCCTCGAGGATTGGTGCTAAGACTTTTGGGTTTCTTTTGTTCTTGGTGTTTCGTTTTTTTGGTACTTGCCGGGTCTTCTGAGGGACACACTTCTGAGCAGTAGCCTCCGGGACCCGAATCTCTACCTCTCGCTCTCTCTCTCTCTCTCTCTCTGTCTCTTCTGGGGCCTCGTCCTGTCGATGTTGTATGATGGAAGAGGACGCCGAAGGAGTGTCAGAATGTTTCTGCAGGTTCCGAAGCTCGCAGCTGTCCCTCCTCGCAAGGCCGAAACTTGAGCGCAGAATGAGCCAGATCCCACTTCTGAGAAGCAAGTGCAGGCTTCGACTCCTGAACTGTGATGGCCGCTGAGATCCTGCAGGCCAGCCCGAACATAAAGCGGGAGGCCCTTGAGAAGTGCAGTGCAGAATGTGCGCTGATGCGGTCTTCTGAGGTGGCCGTCAGCGTCGACGACAATATCCCGAAACTGTCACTCGGCACTCCCAAACATTCTCAGAACAGGATCCAGAAGTTACCATAAGATGCCCTTGGGATGTTCCCCTGAAACTAACAGCCCTTCGTAGGGATGCTCGTAAACCCCACTCTTCTCACCGAACCCCTAAGGGAACTCTTAGTATAAGGGGGGGAACACATCCCAAAGCGATGCGCCTTTTCCAGCCCGAGGCTGGTGAAGATCAGCCCCAGCACCTGCACCGGCTTTGCTGCCAAGAACCTGGGCGAGGTGGTGTGTTTGGGGGCTTTCCCGAGATTGGGGGGGGGGGGGTTCCTCTTTTTGCACCCCCGAAATAGAATAGAAGCCCTTTAAAGTGACCCCCCTAAGAGCTTTTTTTTTTTGGGGGGGGGGGGGGGGACATGTTTGGGGCCCAAGAAGGTACCCCCTACCTAGTATCGTAAACTCCCATTTGGAGATGGTGCGGTGAGCGGTGCAAGGGTGCATCTGTTCATCTCTTGTGGCAGGTCACCCTCCGAAAGCCTGGAGCACAGCGTGGCCATGTGGCAGTTCTTCACCTCAGTAGGGGCCTGAGGGATCAAGAAGGATCCAATCCTGGGATTTTTGTGCAGGAGCAAGCCTGCAGTCTCTGTAATCTGCTGCCATTTGCTGCCCTAAACACTAAGCCCCAAAACCCTAAATCCTAAACCCTAAACCTCTCTCTTGAAAGGCTCGGCGGTGCCTGTGGGCTCGGTCTTCATTTCCTTGAAGCTTTCCGAGCTCCTCGAAGTGGCCTCCGGTGACCAGGCACGAGCCGAACACATGCCTTTCCGTCCTTACCAGCGCGCCGGCTTGTGCAGGTCCAGATCGTTCACTCAGATCGCATCCGGCGCACAGTGCGACGGGAGACGGGTCAGGACTGTGGCTGCCTCCACTTTCACCTCCTCTTCTGGCCTTCTCTCCCACCTTGTGATTGCATGCGCATGCGTGATGGTTCGACTTCCGCTCCTCTGTCTCTTCTAGTGGCTGTGGGGGCACGAAGTCCTCCGCTTCTGGACTTCTCCTGTGCAAGCCTGAACTCCCAAGCTGGCCCTTCCACTTCCCAGTACTTGTTCTCATGCCTCACGCACTTGAGCTGTCATCGTCTTGCCATGAGGACACCTCTTCGACGAGGCGGAGTTCTTGGGGTGACCTTCTGGGCTCAGGGCAGCACGTGCAAGCAGCTCGGCCACTCGGCTTGCATACTTACAACTGGCATCTCTTGGTCTGCATGAAAAGACCCAGGCCACGCCTCCCTCCTCACGTCTCTCTTTCGAGCGTATACCCTCTGGAGACAACTTTGGCCTTTGTTGTGTTATTGTCAGAATTCTTGTCAGCGCCTCAGAGAGGGCTTGCGACGCCAGCATCTCTCACAGGCAGAGGTTTCAAACACTTCCTAATGTTCAGTGTAGGATTCAGTCGGAGCTCGCTTGGGTTGCCCCCTTGTCATTCAGTGCTTTCAGCCGTCATGAGCTTCACTCACACAGAATCAGACGCATTTGGGGCACCCATGGGATGAGGTTTCTCTGTAGTTGTGGTTTATGTAGTCTCTCAGTCAGAAGCCTCTGAGAGGTCACCCCGATTGTTTCCCTTCCTTCCTTCGCTCTGAGTCACGTTTCCGGGGATTGCGTTTTGTTGAAATCTTTGCCAGGGCACCAACCTCTGTCCCGCGCAATGAGCCTGAGCAGCTTGGCCTTTCTTAGGGCACGGTCTATTGCAAGAGGTCCTATCCATGTAGATACGCAGACTGAAAGGGAACATGGCCAGGACTGTTGCCGATAGCAACGGGCTTTGAGGATGCAACAATGCAAGCAAAGTCCTGCAAAACGCCAGGTCTGCATGGTTGTGATTGTTTCAGGAGGAGTCCTCCAGCAGCAAGTAAGCGGTAACAAGACATACAAGTGAAGTTGAAGCACATTTCCAGGTGCTTCGGACGGCCTTTGCAGGAGTCAGCTTGCTGAAGTTCCGGGGCCAGCGGGGCCAGAGCGCACATCCGCAACAGCAGAAGTCTTACACCAATGTCCGTCCTCGAGTAGTTTGCTGAAAGGGGCATTCAGAGTTGCCCTGGCCGCAGAGTGGGAGACCAGGATTAAGACCATGGGGGTCTGGCATCTTCTGGTGCAATAGAACGTCCTCGCCCGTGGGTTTGAAGCCGTTGTTCCATGCTGTTGGGGTTTGGGTGACTTGCAAGAGACTGCTGACAGCAGGAATCGTCCCAATCGCTTCATGCTCGGCCAGGGCGGCCCCAGGCCCCGCCGAGCTATGGCAGCCGTGGTCCTCTAGCGGGCTAAAAAAAAACTTGTCTTTCTTCCTTTTAATATACGCCCGGGATAGTAATAAATATACTGTCATCCTGCACTCGCGTTTCCTTCACGAATCTCCCAACAAAGGACTCATGGAAATGCATGTGTTACCGCCTTAATCTGGTGTCCAGAGAACGTGATGAGTCTAGGCGTGAAGAGACAGGAATACTATGAGAAGGACGTACGAAGTGAGGACGCATGAATAATATTATTAATGGCGAACGAAACACACGGCGGCTGTAAGGTTAGGAAAGGTCCTAAGGTAGCAAAATTCCTTGACAGGTAAGTTCCGTCCAGCATGAGCGGTGTAATGACTTCCTCACTGTCACTACCCAGGTGTAGAGTGAACCTTCCACGTTTCTGTTCCCACGTTTCAATGTTTACTGCAGTATCGGCTACGTGAGCCTGGCCACCTCAGCTTGCCATACTCGTCATGGGGGTTTACGAAAATCAGGGAACTCCAAATCGTAGGATTCCCTGATATTAGGGACCCCAATAACGTACCCCTAATTTCGGAAACCCCCTCATGTCGCTGCCTGTCAAGCCTGTTGGTTGGTGCAAAGCAGGACTTGACTGCGCAAGCAGCTGATGAGCTTGGCACAGAGACACTTGGCACGGTCAAGACATCGCGAAGCAAATCGCCTAAGCCCCTGTTTCCACTAACCCGCAAGCCCTACCCCTGTGCCGCCTGCAAGTCCACACACTCGCACTTTTTGCTTCCTATGCAGAGGGGGGGGGGGGGCAGCAGTTGGCTTTGCTGCAAGGTTCTCACCGCTTCCGAAGGCAATGCCGAGGAGCGGGCGCTGCTACTCCGGCATTTCGGCCTAGCAACAGCTCGCAGAACATCATTTTTGGCGTCGCTGTCGCCCTTGGCCATGTCATCCTGCTACAAGGGTCGCTTGCGTTGGGTCATGCGTGAGCTGTGTGGCCACTGCCAACAACCCTGCGTTTTTGGTCCAGATGCATCATCAGCCTGAGTCGACTGGCGATGTTGTTGAGTCGGCTGCTGTCAAGTTGAATCCGTTCAGATGTTATGCACATCATGAACGGGCGAATTGCTGCGACTTGGGACATTCTTGTGCAGGAAGAAGCAGCATGTCAGTCCAAAATTCCCTCCATCGAAGGACCCGCATCCAGTCGCCGAATCAGATGTGGAGCCAGAAGGCATCCAACCTGGGCTTCGCTAATCCGCCTCTGCCCGTGCCCCTTGGCCCAAACTCTGCTCGTAGTAAATGTGCAAAAGGCACTTGAGGCTGAAGATTGGCTCGACGGTTGCACACACCCTACTCTGAAGCCTTAAAGTTTCTTGCAGCGTCATCCATAAGTCTTAAATAGGGCTTATGAAGCTGGAAGTGCTACGGAATGTTATGAAATCTTTGGTGGGCCGGAGACCAGGGCAGCGGGGTCTTCTAAATTAAAGAAGCTGGCCTAGTGGTGAACTGTTCCGACATCCCTGCGCGGTTGCGTTGCATCCGGGTGGAGACGGAACTGAGGGAGCCCGCGCTGGGCTCTCCAGCTGCTTCCTCGGCTCGCAAAATGAAGCGACATGTGGGACTACGCGGGGGAGAATGCGCATTTATAGCCTTTCTGTTGCCTCAAGCACATGACTGAAACATCCAGGTGCAGTCTGCCCGATGCGCGCCGCAGCGGTCCTTGACGCAGGCATTTGCTCAGGCAAGGCCGAGGATGGCATCGGATTGCAAGGGTCCGCCATATGCACTAGCTGGTTGAGAACCCCTCAAAAAAGAAAGAAAATCTTCTTCCTAAGGGTAGTATAGAGATTATTATTCTTTATTCTTTTGGGGTTCCTAAGCAAATAGTAGTTATGGAGTGATGGAGCAGAGCGAGGATGCTTTCTTGGCTTCTTTCTTGGCCTCGAGGCTGCTCAAAGCAGGGGCGAGGCAGCAAATAAGACAGGCCGCCGGCCCAGCAACTTCAGACGTTTGCAGTCAGTTGCAGTTGTACCCGCATGGCCTCCAGCAGCATGGTTGAACACGCTCTGCAACTTCTGCCGCCAAGGATATTCACAAACTCCCCAGCCACAACCGGTCCAGTCACCGCCGCAAGTTGCACAGCCACAGCCCTTCACTCCAGCATCCCGCACAGCATCTTGACACAACTTAGCAGCAACGGAGAAGTTATGAGCCATCTGAGGTTCGAGGCATGAAGAGTTGTGATTTTACCAATAGTTGTCCTTTCGGTTTCTCAAATTGAGTGTATTCCCAGATTATCAGTGACCATTTCGCGCAAAGCCCAAGGTTTTCAAGCCGACGCCAGGCTTTGCGCAACCTGGATCCCCAGGAATTGCCAACAGGATGAGCAATCGTGTCGATGACTTGTGTCCATCTGAGTCCTTCTCTGCGATTCTATGCCTTACACATGGGGGTTTTCGAAATTAGGGGTATTCTATTGGGGTCCTTATTATAAGGGGATCCTACTATTTGGGGGTCCCCTGTTCTCGTAAACCTCCACATCCATGCTACTCTACTTGAGGAGGCCAAGGCTCTGCACAGATTTTGCTGGAAGGACCCTGAATGCAAACCCTGCGTTCGGAGCATCCAGGCCGGGCCACATAAGTCGTGCGTCCTGCAAATCTTTAGCTTGTGCATGAACTGGCGATCTTGCAAAACAGCCCACAGTGTTTGAAGATCGATCACCAAAAAGCACCAAAAAGGCTGCGGGTTGTCTGGAATCTGGGGAAAACTGCCGTATACTTTCAAGCACCGGCAAGAAGTTTCCTGGACAGGCCCGTCGCGACCGCGGCCCCGGCAACAGGCGTGCAAAGTACGAGTCCGCCTCTTGAGTGTGCGTGTGCGCAGCTGTACCAGATTGCATCACTATCGGATCTTAGTCAGCGCAGTGTCTTAGCTGTACTTATCATCTTTCCCGCCTTGGAGGTCGGCAGGCAGAGGTGGCAGACTGGCTTCCTGCCGCCATGGGCTCGCCAGTGTGGCAGGCTGCACAGCAGCCGCCTCCCGCGTCACCACCGGCCCTGATACCGAAGACACCACCAATGTACCGCACAGAGCACAGCCCAAGCCCCAGCCCTCCGAAAATGCGGCCGGAAGGAGTTCAACCAAAGGTGTTAAGCCCAACCTTCCGGCCCCAACATCCACAAGTCCCACAACCTACCCCACAAGGAGCTTTGCCGCACAGAGTGCGCCAAAGTGTTCCCCACTTGCCATCTCGCCGTGCGCAGTCCCATTCGGACCTTCCTCCAGCCGGGAGGCGCACATCAGAGATGCAGCCCCGGGGCAGCCAGTGGAGCAGCCCGCTCACCAGCCCGCTCACCAGCCCGATCGCAGCTCAGCCCCAGTCCCTCAGCCCGCCTCCACTGCGCATGCCGCAGCCGGCCCAAAATGGGCCGAACGGGTCCTCCGCGAGGGCAGCTCGGAGCCCTGAGCACGAACGTATTCAGTCACCCAAGGACTGCGAGGCCGACAGAGGCTCCAGTCCACCCGCAGCACAGCGCCCGTCCTTTGAGTCCTTTGGGCTTTTCTTTGGGCCTTTTCACGCGCCTCCAGGCCATCCACTGAAACATGGCCCAAGACAGGATGAGGCCTCTCAGCAGAGGGCAACAATGGCGCCCGCTGAGTGCTTGAACGGCTCCTTGCTCGCATCCTGTTTGCGCACGCCTCACCAGATTGCCCACATGTGGAGAGTCTTGACAGCTGCTCAACAAGCCCTACCAAGGAAGCGCGGGCCAGGAAAGGGAGCATACCACGGAGGACGGCCGGATGTGCTTGTTTAATATGTGCATCGCTGCATTCGTGTTTGTGGCTGACTGTGGGAGAGTCGTGTGTGCTACTGCAGCTCTCTGAGTTGCAGAGCTGATCGATCTGATGCTTCGAAGCCACCTCCACGCTTTTTCTTCGCCAAGGATGCCGGGGATGCCGAGGATGTTGAGGATGCCGTGCAGACCAAGGAGACCTCGGCAGACCGCAGCCTATCACCAGCACAGCCCTCTCCTTAATATTCTAAGACATGTCATGGAAGGTCTCGAGCACCTTCTCAAAGCAGCAGCCTCTGGGCATTGTTGCTGTGCTCAGGCACAGGACGCAGCCTGCAGAAGAGCACACGGAAGAGGCCGAAGTGACCGAGGCGCACCTTGCATTTGCATTGCAGATTCCAAGGAAGTTTCGAGATGAAAGAAATCAGTAAAGGTGGCTCGGGAGCTCTGCATTAACGGTCTTCGCGATGGAGCGACACCCATCAGCACCCTCACTAATCCTTCCCTCGCAATGTTTTGCGCTAGTTTGCCGTGCCTTGCCTTGCTGTGCGTCAGGTTGACCACAGCCTGCGGGAGCCGCCCCCGTTGGCTGCCAAGCTGCATCGAGCTTTGAGGAAGTGAGCCTTAGCAAACTAATTGTCGGAATCAGGCCTCGCTCAGGGTAAGAATTACGGGAACCTGGGTTTGGGCACCCTTTCTAATGATCCGCGAAGGGAATATACTGGCCATATTTGCAGTACATTAAGGGAAACCTTTAGCGGCACAATATAGAGGTACGAGTCTTAACTTAACCCTTTGAAAGAAGACAAGATGTGAGAAGAATCGTGTGACCAGCGTTGCGGGTCACCAGTCGTACTACGTGCGCCTTTAACCAATCTAAATTCTGGTGGCACAGAGAAGCACAGAGATACGCAGCATTGGAGTTCACACTCACAGCAGTGACACCGCAGGTCCAACGCCGCTCCGACAAAGTGCGGCCTACAGCCTTGGTTCACCTGCCAGGACTGGACCTTTTCCGTCCTTTCCTGGCAGTCAGCTGCAGAGCCCGCAGCAAAGCGTGTGTGCTGTCAATTTCCTGACGTCTTCTGTTCGGATCTGCAGGAGGTGCCCGCAGCGTCAGTGCCAAGCCTGGGCGACTGGGCACCTTGCGGCGGCCGACCTCCCAGGGCCTGGGCAGGGGGCCCGGCAGAGAATTACTGCGATTAGCACGTAACAGTCGGTTTTGATGCTAAGAGTTTACTCAGTTTACTCCTCCGGGGTCGAGCCAGGGTCCCTGTGGCACGTTCTGGTGGCCCCCCGAGGTCATTTGCAATGTGAGCCCTGTTCAGAATGCAATCCGCCCAAAGTTCCGCTCCTTGGCTACATGATGGTGCCTGGTCTCAGTTTGAAACCTTTACAACTTTACAAGGCCGCGTGCCAAAAACACAGCTGTACAGGGGGCTTGTAACAGGCCCGGTCTTTTCAACAAGACACGCCTATTTGAGCCGGGGCTTATGAAAATAAGGGACCCCTAATATTGACCCCAAATCGTAGGATTCCCTTATAGCAAGGACCGCAATAAGATTGTAGAACAGCCGATGCACAGGGCGGCGGTGAGCTGCGACTGGCGTCGGCCGCAGAGCACGGGAGGAGGCCGCGGATCCGACTCGGATGGCACAGATGTGTTTGGTGTCACCGGAACCACGAAGACACGAAGAGATCCCACGCAACTAATTGCAAGAGCTGGAAGGCTCTTAACAGAACTGAAACACTGCATGCGGTAAAACAAGCAGCTGTGCTCCAATGTTGTATATATATATATATATTTACTTATTTATATATCATGATATTCTACTTTCTTATATATATATATATAATCATGTAATACATAGAATATACTTTAATATATTATATCATCTAGTATAATACACATTGATAGAACATTCTAGAGTATAATCTATGCAATATAATACAATATAATATTCAATAATGATGTGCATATATATATATATATATACGTAAATACTGTGCGGGGCAAAAGGCCTGGAGCGTTCCGAGCTTGGCCCAGAGATCACCAGCGAAGTGCGGCGGTGGCTGCTGGGTCTCACGGAGGGCCTGCAGTGCTCCCACGTGCCTTGGAGAACAGGTTTAGGGTTTAGGGTTTAGGGTTTAGGGTTTAGGGTTTAGGGTTTAGGAACTGAGAAAGCCCCCACAGACCCTCCTCTCCTCAGGGTTCGCCTGTGGATGTCTCGTGCGACTCTCGTAAACTTGCGTCTAAGTATTAAGCTTCTGTATTCATGGGCCGGAATGAACAAGAACGCCATGTACTCGTTTGTACTCGTTTAGGGAATTCTGTGTGTTCTTTGGCTGTTTCCTCTCCATAGCGAAACGAAACCAGTAGCAAGCAAGAAGTGCAGTACGTAAGTTCCTTGCCGTCATTTGCCCGTGTACTCCAGCTTTGGGCACACCATCCCTGCATGGTCAGCGCAAGCCTGGACATCTTTCCAGGTGGTCATGGACAAGGCTTTGACGGTTCTTTCGAACTTCAAGCTCTCCAGCGGCTGCGAGCTTGAGGTGCTGTGTGTGGTGTTTTAGGGTTTAGGGTTTAGGGTTTAGGGTTTAGGGTCTAGGGTTTAGGGTTTAGGGTTTAGGGTTGAATATTCATGGTGTTGAAGTATCCATGCGCGCACACAGATCGTGATTCGTGATAGTTGCATCGTTGTCCAGGTGCTCGGAGGACCACTTGGTGCGATAGTTGGCTCTTGGGTGGCATTGATTTTTGACTTTTGTTGCCTCCTGACGGGCAACTTGGTGCAGAGTTGTCAAGCATCTTCAGGCGGATACAACGAAGCCGACTGGCTCCATCAGGAGATCTTCTCCAAGACTCCAGCTGATGCCGTGAAGGCCGGGCTTGCGCCTGCTGGCACCACAATGCGAAACATATCCGCCAATCCACCAAAAAAGGAGTCCTTCGAGATCCTCGGCTTCAGTGAGGCCAAGGCCAAGGAAGGTGATTGGTCTGGAGTCATGGTGGAGGCCGGATGCTAGGTACTGCTTGTCGTGCGGGCGGTTCCGAGCTCCAGGGCCTGCAGGCACACGAAGATGCATGAAGGTTTCAGAAGGTATCTTGGCGTTTTTGATGGCGGATATCCGGAATCTCGTTGGCCACAACTGCAGCGGTTCTTGCAGGAGGTGTCCTTGGCATACCGCCGGCAGTGCCTCCGGGGCCACCCCAGCAGGGGTGGACCTGCTCGCGGCTACTTGAAGCTGCAGGCTCCGCGTCGTTCTGTCGTTCTGCTTCCACTATACATGGGTGTTTACGATATTGAGGGTACCTTCTTGGGATTCTTTAAGGAGAACCTACTACTTGGGGTCTGTTTTAAGGGGTCTCCTATTTTCGGAAACCGCCGCATGAGGATTGCAAGCAGTAGGCCGCCATGCGGTAGACGCTTCAAATCCCAGAGGTGGCCATGGAGGTCATCCGTGCTTTCTGTGGAGAAGCTGGGCCCCTCACCCCAGAACCAGCAGAGGAGGTGGGCAAGGGCAGACGAAACCAAATCCCCTAACAGTCGGACGTGGCCTTGATCGGCATGTTCGGTACTCGCTGTCGCATTCTCGAGGCACAGGTAGAACGCCAAAATGCGTGCAAGAAAATGCGAAGTGATGGCAGAAGGAATTTGGCAGAGTTGTCGCTCTGACTGCCCTTTCAGCTCAAGCTCGCACCGAGTGAGGTTTTGACCCGCGCACATGAGCAAATTTTGCGATATCCATATCGTGGGCAGATCATGCATGTCGTCGCCGGCCCAAAGTCTTCGGTGCAGATGTTGTTATTTGGTGATTTTGGTGCAGCAAGCAAGGGATTTCGCACCAACCAATTCTTTAGTGCCCAACTCGCAGCCATGGCTTCCTTGCTATTCGGCACAACGGCATCATACGACAATGTGGCTGGCAACAATATGGAAAGTCCGGAGGCATCTTGGCATCACATGAGGGTGCGGTCCATCACCAAGTAAGCAAAGCATTTTTAGACAAACGATGCAGCGCTGCAAGCCATCATGATCTTGAACATGTTGGGTTCTTCTGACCAGGACAATCTGCTTGGAGTCCGGAACACTTTCTTCGATGTAAGCGACGCGCCTCCTCTGAAGCAGTGGTATAAAGACATCAGAGGGGTGCACTCCTGCCCGGCCAGCGAGTGTGGTGATGATCGCAGCATGTGCGGCGAGAGTGAAGATGCCGAACCCTCCGTGCAGACGCCAGAGCCGTCTCCACGTGTTTTCGAGAAGTCTTCCGAACCCGCCCCAGCAAAGCCACCAGCAAACGCAGAAAAGCCAATGGCAAAGCCAATGGCAGAGTCAGCGGAGGCCAGGACTCCGTTGAAAAGCGGCGCAAGCCCATATCGGCCAGCTCCTGTCACGACGCCGGTTTGCAGCACGACCTACTACGCTGTGCCATCGGCAGTTCCACGAGTTGGGACTCTAGGAACGAGCGATCTCTCAGCCGAGTACCATCGAAGGGTGCAAGCAGCGCAAGCATCCCGGGCGCGTCCACAGGCCCAGGCCCAGTGGACCCAGCAAACACCGATGTCACCGATGTCACCGATGTCACCGATGTCACCGATGTCACCGATGTCACCGAGCCACCAGAGCCACCAGATGTCGGCATTGTCCACACATAACCTCGAGGCCGGCCCCGTCGTGCGGATCTTCAAGCATCTTTTGTGCACTCTGGTGAAGACAAATGATTTTCACTGTCACAGTAGAAACCGCATATCGCTGCAAGGCATTCAAGCCAACAGTACTTCAGTACTATAGCAGTATAGCATGAGCAGGTGGAACAGACTTGCCAAAGCTGTACGAGTTTTTGCATGCGGGATTTTGTGTGATCTGCTTGCTGCCTGGGCAGGTGGCACAGTCAGCAATCCTTGGCTCGGAAGCTCTCCCAAGCAACGCTGGCACAATTCTTTCAGCTTTCTTTTGCGGTGGCCGATGGCCCTTTTCTAGCACGTTGTGTCCAGAAAGCCGCCTCGTGCAGGGAACCACAGCTTGCAGGGTTTAAGCATTCGCCGAGGTATTGGGTCTGGTGCTCATGCCACAGATGAATGTCGACCTTGCGCCTTCTTCCATAAGAACCGCTGCGTGTCAGGCTTCCCTGTGACCTGTGTCCAGCATAGTGCCAGCATGCAGAATCACACACACCCCAATCACTATCAGTGAGCCGCCAAGCTTGCACCAGCCGGAGGCCGAACTTGCCTCTTCTGCCACATCTGTGATGCGGGCGAGAAGAAGCGCCGACTGAGGATGCAGAAAGTCAGCTCCAAGCGATCGCAGACTTGAGAGCTTGGCCTCCTTTGTTGTTCGGGGAGATCTAGCATGATCTAGCTTTTAAGCAGCAGACTTGACGTGTGTGGAGCATGTCTGGTACAAGCAACGGCCAAAGAGCAGCTAAGACAGCTAAGAGTGTTGAGCCGTTCTGCGAGCAGAACTAGAACAACGTCTGCTGCATTCTGATGGCCAGCTGATGGCTGATGGCCTGATGGCTGATTGCCGACAAGTTAACAAGTTGTTGCACCTGCTTGACTGCGTCACTTAGGGTGTTTCCAGCAAGTAGAGGCACGCAGCTCATTCATTTTAATCCTGCTTCCAAGCCCAGTTTTGCTGTTCCGCCAATTCCGATGCTGTGGGCTATGGGTTTCGTTGGGTCACTTTGTCACTACTTGGCCAGCTCAGCTCAGTGGATTGTGTGTTCTGCGGCTGTGTGCTGCGGGATTGGTGGACTTAGCCACATAGCTGACTTAGCTGACCTACTTAGCTATAAGTCCCAGACTTTTAATCTTATTCAGACCAACTGCGGGACCGCACGAGCCTTCGTCCAAAGGACTCCGCCTGACTCCAAGCCGGCAAGCTACGTAGCCTCAGTCTCGATGGTTCTGGGTTTAGGGTTTAGGGTTTAGGGTTTAGGGTTTAGGGTTTAGGGTTTCCCCCTTATACTAACAGCTCCTTTGTCGGGATTCCAATAGGGGGTACTATAACCCCCCATTAAGAGCTGTTAGTATCAGGGGGAACATCCAAGGTTGTAAGTTACCAAAGCGGGCTCAGCAACCTCTCAGCATGGCTGTGATGGTCGGGCCATCGCTGAAGGGCACAGAGTTAAGGCTCTCATATATGTAACGAAAGCGTTCTTAGTCTCTCAGAAGTTGCGAACTAAGACAGAGTAGCTGATCAAGTGCATGATGGCCAGTTGACTACCATCCAGGTTCCTCCTCAAACCTTCCAAGTAGCCAAGCCTCCAAACGAGCAGACCAAAACTGCCGGCCGCAGATTTCCTCGACATGCTTTGTGCTGGACGACCTGGCGTTGGCACGGGAGCCGCTCAGGTGCAAACTGGCCTTACAGGAGCGCAGCAGTTGTTGAGCACGTGGCCGAAGGTGGCTTAGGGTTTAGGGTTTAGGGTTTAGGGTTTAGGGTTTAATTAGGGTTTAGGGTTTAGGGTTTAGGGTTTAGGGTTTAGGGGAGTTGGCAGGCCGTCTTTCGGCTATGTGCATGGTGCTTTCGCTAAGGCTAGAATTGACGCCGTCGGAAGCTGCGCTCGAGGCTTGTCAGATCTCTCAAAAAGTGCGCCACCGTTTCTTGCAGAGGCATGGCGCATCACCGCTCACTGGAACAGCTAAAGAGCCAGTTTTTGATTCCCTTCCTGCCGTACTTATTGGCAGTGCAGGCCGACAGCTTGCCCACGCAAAGGCTCGAGGAGCTAAATAGGGCATTGGACGAGTACATCCTAAGATGCTCGGCGCAGTTTAGCACAACTTTCCTGGGGATTTTTTTGGGAAGCTTTGTTATTAAACTGCTATGAGTCCTACGTCATCCGATGGCTAGTCAGTGCTCCACCCACGAGCCAGGACAGATGTGCTTCAAGAGCGAGATCGTGGCCGAAATCGCGCGGCTGCACGAGAACTCTGCCTACTCCATCCTAGGGGTGTCGCCCGATGCCTCGGACGCAGTGTCTTGGGCAGCATCTTCAGTTCGCTCGCATGAAGACGCACTCGCTCGCGATTGTCTGGGGCAAATCTAGGCGAATCTATAGGGGTATTTCCAAGTCCTCAAGTGCACCGAAAGGAAATCAAGAAGGCGTACCGCGTCGTTGCGATGCAGTGCCATCCAGACAAAGGCGCACGAGCGAGGGTTCACCACAGCTGCACGTCACACAGAGGGGGGGAAAAGTTCGGAGGAAAAGGGAGAGGATTGAGACACTGGAAGTGGACCAATCGGAGAGAAGGGGGAGGAATGAGAACATGAGAGAACGGGAGTACTGAGAGACCCTAAACCCTAAACCCTAAACCCTAAACCCTAAACCCTAAACCCTAAACCCTAAAGTCTTGTTCAATGCAGGTAATAAAGGAATGTCCCTCGCATGATTGGTTTCACAGTGTGAAGTCATACCGATGTGGTCGTCATATATTTTTCTTTTCTTCTACGAGCCATTTCTTGGGGCCTGACTGATCACTTGGTCTGAGCTTGACATGATATAGAGGGGGTAGTACAGTTTGACGAATGGACCCACGGACCTTGCCTGCCTTGTGCGAGAGTGAGCGACTAAACCCTAAAACCCTAAACCCTAAGCCCTAAACCCTAAAGTCGGCGAGGTGGCGACAAGGCCGAGTTCCAGGAGCTTCATGAGGCTTACGAGAAGATCATGGAGCAGCGCAGGAGTTCCTCGGAGGGCATTCGGGGCTTCAGCAGGTGGGTTTAGGGTTTAGGGTTTCGGGTTTCGGGTTTAGGGTTTAGGGTTTAGGACTCATTGGGGTCTTTATGATAAGGGGATCCTACTATGCTGCTATTTTCAGCGTCCATTTCAGGAGTCCCCTGTTATTGTAAACCCCCATATGACTGCGCCGAATCGCCGAATCGGCCACACTTGCGACCTTTACCCAAGACCCGTCGAAGTTTCAGAAAGCATGGCTAGATCTTCGCATCACATGGTGCAGCTTCGAGCAAGGCTCGGCAAATCTCGATGGCAAGTCTCGCACCTTTGCTGCAGAAGGTGTCTGCAAATGTCTGCAATATGGCAGCAGCTCTTTGGAGGGCAACGCTCCCTGCCCCAGGCAAGAAAAGCGAGACTGACAGCGACGACGATGCGCAGGCCAGGCAGGAAGAGAAGGAAGAGAAGGAGGCTGAAGAGTCCCACCAGTCCCACCAGGCAGGGCGGCGCGAAACGATTTGGTGGAAGCGACGTGATGAGTTACCCAAAATAGGGGTAACCCTTACCCCCAAATACTCCTATCTTTGGAAACCCCCATGTGATGAGTTCTCCATAGCTGTTGCAAGAGGACCAGCAGGCTGAGGAGAAGGACTCAGAGGCTGGAGCTGAGCCGGAGGAGTCGGAGGCGAGGCAACAAAGAGGGGGAAGATAGATGGAGATGCTCAGGGAATGGTTTGAAATATTTGGACATACTAAAGCTGACAAAGTTTTCATGCCCTGAAGTACGGAGTACGGAGCTGTTTGTGGTTTATGGTTCCGGCTGGTCCCTACCTCTACACCCTAAACCCGAAACCCCAAACCCTAAGCCCTAAACCCTAAACCCTAGCCTAAAGCCTAAATCCTAAACCCTAAGGCCTAAACCCTAAACCCTAAACCCTACGGATTCGCCCCAGCTGTGCAGGAGGGAAAAAACCCTAAACCCTAAACCCTAAACGGTCCAGGACGGCTCCGACGCGCAGCTCCTCGCCAAGGCCGCCAAGGCGGCAGATGAGGCTTCTCACTACGAGCCTTGGTGGCGAGGAGTTGGGACCCTAAGCCCTAAACCCTAACCCTAAACCCTAACCCTAAACCCTAACCCTAAACCCTAAACCCTAAACCCTAAACCCTATGTCTTCTTGTGCTGACACTCTCCTCTCGAGTCTAGAGAACTGCTCGGTCTCTGTCCATTGCAGACAGCAGTCACCAAAGGCCAAGACGGCTGCCGAGTTTGCTCATCAGGCTCATCTTGTTGGGGGTTTGGGAGCCTCAGCGAAAACGCTCAGAGGTGTGGTTCGACTTTAGCCCCTGCCGGCTGCTGTTGATTCTGTGAGGCTGCGGAAGCGGCAGAGACGGCGCGACAAGGCCTCCAGCACCCCTTCCCCGCCCCTCCGCCACGCCTCCCCCCCCCACCACCCACCACCCCCCCCCCCCACCACGAGTGGTCCTGATTGACCAGCCAAAAATATTGCAATTTGGTGGTTGAGAGGAAACTTCGGCATACTTAGATGTCATTAAAATCTTGTCTTGTTTCGCTCGATTAGCATAGTGTCAGTCGTTTAGATATTCGCCGCTGTCGGTTAAAAGCACGAATGCTGAGGGTTGGGGTTCGCAGTTTACTTGTAGTTTCCGAGGTTTTAGGAGACGTTCGAAGCATGAAGCTGCACGGGACAGCTTCGTTGCAGGTCGCGACTCCGGCGGCGCAATCACCTTGACTAAGTCCATTGCGCACTCGGCCATTGTTGGGCACTTTCTGCTCCCCAGCCATCCGCAACAGACAATGTCGGAGACTGCACAAGTTGCAAAAGCTTCAGTTTGAGCTTCAGGTACACATTCTTACAGATGTCACGTGTGCTGAGGTCCTCACCTTGACGGTGGTGAAGGCCGTGCGAGTCGTGGGCTACGCGACTATGGACGTAGCCGCGCAGTGCCGCCTGGCATCCAGGCGCCTCCAAGTGCCCCAAAACGGGGAAGAAGGCCTCCAGTTTGGGCTAGTGATGTGGGCCCCAAATACTAAGATCCCCTTCTAATAAGGACCCCCTAAACCCTAAACCATGTGTGAAAAGCCTCTCTGTTGCAGGAAGTTCACGGAGGCCTCCTGTGCGGAAAGCTCCACAGAGGCAGCTTCTCCGCTTTTTTTCAAGAGCCAGTCAGATAATATAATATAATTTAATATAACATAGTGTAATATAATGTAATGGATACTACAACATAATATAATACAATACAAGATAAGAGGCCTCAAGGGCTAAGCCTCATACGTTGCCTGGGTCTACATACATACATACATACATATATATATATATACATATACATATATTACAAGCTGTGAGCTTGTGGCAGCGCTCCGAGGCAATGGGCTTGGGCCTGGAGGCCCTGAATGCGGCCCTGGCATGTGCAGAGGCCGACTCTCTCGCAGCACTCTAGATATGAATATAGGCACTACTTGCAACCGACATGATCATAACAGCTGAGCAGGTGACAGAGACCACGGCAGCAGAGCTCCAAACACCAGAGGGCCTCGAGGTGCAGCTCCAGTGAGGATTTCTGGCGATGTTGGTCTCGGAGTCTGAGCGCATGCAGTTAGACTCAGACTCAGTGTGTTTTTTTGGGCTTGTAGGGCTTGTAAGGTTTAGGGCTTAGGGCTTATTTAGGGTTTAGGTTTGACTCCATCAGACTTTCTAGACAGGGCATCCGATGCAGAAACTGTGACCTTGCAAGCCGGGTCTACGTCTATCACTTGTGACTCCGCTTCCTCCAGGCTGCTGAAGCTGCCGAGCGCTTCGTCAATGCTGCGGTCGCTTTGACGATGGGTCGGGATTTTGGATGGAAGGGGGCGAGCTTAGGCGGCGCTCGAAATGGGCTTGGATACTGTGAGCCTTGCAATGCTGCGGGGCGTCATATCATGAAATGCAAATGTCCTCCGATGTCCCTGATCGTCACTGACATTTCATACTTTTGAGGTCTGCGCAAAACTGAACTATTCATCATCAGAAGGCATGTGCCTTCAAATCGGGGTTTAAGGACCCTAAACCCTAAACCCTAAACAAACCCACACCCTAAAGCCGAAACCCTAAACCCTAAACCCTCCTAGGTGCGAGCCTCGCTGGCAGCCGCCAGCGCTTCCAACGCGGCGATGTCTGCAGCCATTGCTGCCGTGGAAGGGCATCGGCAGTGTATGCAGGCCTCGGTACGCAGGTCCTGGCAACGGTTTAGGGTTTGGGGTTTAGGGTTTAGGGTTAGATCATCCGATTTGAAGTTGTGGTGGGCCGGTGGTCGCGCGTTGACGTGCCAAGACTGTGAGAAGCGAAACACAGCTTTTTTCGCATGAGGCTGTCGAGGCCAAGACCGAAAACAAGGAGTCTGCGGAGGCCAAGACACCTCCGGCATGTGAGCCTCTTTCAATAGCAGCTGCGTCCAGATGCTATTAATAAAACTGTTAGTAGCATTGGATAGCAGATGGTAAGCTGCCAAATCTGCTGTTTGGCAATCTGAACTGGAACGGCAAGACACCTCGGGGCTTCCGCAGATGGCGCCTCAAAAAAGATATCCGAACCCAGTGAGAAGGCGCCTTGGTTGCACGCACATCCGCGAAGATGCTCCGTGCAGGAGGTGCCTGAACCTCCCGATGCTGACAAAGACGATGCATCGGAGGTGAGGGAGGAGAGAAGATGTTGGACGGTTGTTTGAGTAGCTTCAGCAGAACTTGAGCACCTGTGAAAATATGAACCCCTATCGAGGACCAGTCGCAGAAGTCAGACGATTCAGACGATGAGTCCCGTTCCTGAGTCGATTGCGCTTTTGACAACTTCCTGTGCATACGGCAATCTACTGCAAGATGCTGCAATCTCCTGCAATACGCTGCAGTTCGCTGAAATATAGCATAATAGTATGATATAGTAAAATAACGTAATAATATAGTATAATATAGTAAAATAACGTAATAATATAGTATAATATAGTATAATATAGTATAATATAGTATAATATAGTATAATATAGTATAATATAGTATAATATAGTATAATATAGTATAATATAGTATAATATAGTATAGTATAGTATAATATAGTATAATATAGTATAATATAGTATAATATAGTATAATATAGTATAATATAGTGTAATATAGTATAATATAGTATAATATCGTATAATATAGCATAATATAGTATAATATAGTATAATATAATATAATATAATACAATATAGTATAATATAATATAATATATAGTATAATATAGTCATAATATAGTATAGTATAGCAACATGCTGCAGTGCACGATGGCCACCACTCAGGTCAACCAGCCCGCCTGAGCCTCGGCGCCACAGCAAGGAAGACTCGGCGCAGGCCGCTGTCAGGAGGCCCGGATCGGCTTCAAGCGCTTCATGCTATATGATGCTATATTACACCATATTATACTATATTATACTATGCTATATTATGCTGTATTACACCATATTATATACTATATTATGCTATACTAGATTGCATTCTACTAATACTGTATGTAAAGGTACTTCGAAGGTTCCGAAGGTTGAGAATGGAGAGCTGCGCAGGCTGTTGACCAGGTTCTTAGGTGGAAGTTTGGAGGGACAAGGACTTTTTTGAAGATATTTTTTCCGAGATTGTGCCCGAAAAGGCAAATCACTCAGCGGAACAACAACCACAAGGCACTGCGAAGTCCAGTGCAGTCAGAGTCAAAGATCTGCAAAAGCAGCCGAATTGCACGCAGGTGCTTCAGCGTCTCAACGTCCAAACCTCGGGTTGACAAAATAGGTGACAGATAGTTGTGACGTCTTCACAGCGCCCGAGGCGGAAATCTTGACCCACCAGCAGAATGTCAGGGAGTTCTTGCAGGCCCTGTCATGTGCCATCAACTGGTTAACGGAAGCATGCTAGAAGACGAGACCCGGTCAACAGTTGCCCGATTTGAGCTATCCTGCTGCGGGCGACGCGGGTTTCGGGGCAGGCATTATTTGGCCGCAGCTGCGATGTTGTGGTTGGTGCATAGGGTCCAGTGGACGCTAGTGGAAGGCGACACGCCGTCCGTCCCAGGATGGACCTTCCTCACCTGACCTGTGGTAAGCAGAGGTTGGGGATTGGTTGCGGCTGTGGGTCACGTCCCTGACGTGTCGCCGAAACGCCACGAGCTCGAGCTTTGGCCGCTGCCTCACGATGCCGTGACGCCAACAAGCCGAGCTGGGTCTTCAGATATGTGCCAGACGATGATTTTCGGGCACCAAAATGCCACCGGCAGCACGCCGAAGCTTCCCGAAAGGCACGTTCAATTCCGAAATCAGTCGCCAAGATGCTGCAAATCAGTGCAACCCTGAATACGTCAAACAGGCACTTCTTCCAATTTGCCTGTGATGCGCGGCACTTCTCGCTTCGGCATCCTGACACGTGACGGTACGATCCGGCACGTCTGATTTGAGGTTTGGGGTTAAGGGTTCGGGGATCAGGATGAAGGTTTAGGATGTTTAGGCGTTTGCAGAAGGGCAGGCACCGGGGGTGGGGTGGATCTCGAATATGTTGACGCCTCGGCCATGGCAACTCTCCTTACCCCTCACGGGAGCTTTCGCCCCTTTCCTCAAGAAAACTGCGAGGCAAACCGGCAGCTCATCCCGGAGGTATCCAGCGCGGCAAAGAGCAAAGTCCTCACACTGCTGCTAGGCAAGCAAAAGTTAGCTGTGCAAGGACACGCATGATGTAAACGACTTTAAGGCTTTGAGTCCTTTCAAATCTCTTTGCAACCAGAGGCCGTTGCAGTAAGCTCTGCGGTCGACCATGTTACATCGAAAAGTCTGTGAAGGGTCATGAAGGAGCTTACATTCAAATGACCATCGGGTTGATCTGCCAAGGTTCTTGCTTGGAAGACTCACGTGAGTTTCTTTCGCGCAGCGAAAGATGTGCGAGGGATTTGGGGGATGGGCGGTTGGGGCGGCGGTTATCAAGCGCAACCTTCTCAAATTCGCAGATGCTGCATAGGTTTGCATCATTTCAAGCTCCGCATAGGTTTTGCGTAGCTCAACGGCTAACAATGTCCGCAAGGCAAACATCCGTTCACGTCCATCTCGTTTCATAGTGCGCACGTGGCCACATGGCATCCCAACCGTTTAACGACCGTCCAAGCAGGCCAAATTGATAGCTTTGTCGTGTATGGATACAACATACTTCATGTGGTCTTGTGCAAATTTCACTTTTGGAGCTTTTCTTCCTGTACATCGCGCGACTATTTCTCCCCAGCGAAGCTCGTTCTCTGGCTTCGGGAAACCTTCCTCAGCAGGATTTCCTTTCCATCATGCCAAGGGAGCCTGCCGCGTGAGGTACTGCCCCGTGTGAGTAAGTGTTTACGCACAATTTGAACGAAACGTTCTTGCCAAGAACTCGTAGATACTCGCCAGATCAAATCTCTTTCGCACATCTCATCTCACATTGCTTGACTTGAAGAAGGCACGCAAGATAAGAAACTGGACGGATTGTGCTGCGAATCCTCAAGTGCAGCTCAAGGGTCTTAGTTTTCAGAAAGGGGAAGTGGACGGCGCTACGCTACTAAATTTGGGTCCAAGCCGAGGCTCAGCAACTACGCACGGGAAGCATGCTGCTCAGTGTCGGAGTTCCTGTTTGGGGCATTCGTGGCATGTGGTGGTTTACGAAAACTGGGGACCCCCAAAATAGACCCCCAAATATCAGGATCCGCTTGTAATGAGGACCCCGACAAGGTACCCCTAACCCTAAACCCCAAACCCTCAACCCTAAACCGCACTGCTAGCAGAGAGCGCGTGCCAAACCCTAAACCAGTGTCCATGATGTCGATGTCTGAACTTGCAAGCTCCAAAAGCTGCTCGGACCCTCCAACTTCCGAAGCCTGTGCTGCGCAGCTTCTGTTTAGCTGCTGCCAATGCTGACCCTAAACCCTGAACCCTAAACCCTGAACCCTCAACCCTGAACCCTGAACCCTGAACCCTGAACCCTGAACCCTGAACCCTAGCCCTAAACCCTAAACCCTAAACCCAAAAGCCTATAAACCCCAAACCGTAAACCGTAAACCCTAACATACTGTGATTGTGGAGGACCAGTCCGTCGGAAAACTGCCAAGGTTCGCGAGGAGCTACAAGAGCGCGCGCGACACTGCGATGCTGGAGATCTTCCTGAGGCTTGGGAACGGCTCTAAATACCAAGACACCTCATATGTATGTACGTATGTATTTATGGGGCTTCAGACAGCTCTGACGGTAATTCTGAAGATTGTTCAGGCTTGTCCTCTAGTTGAGGCGGGAGGATTTACATACCCACGGCTAAGGCTGACCTCGTTCCCTCCTTGAGGCTTGTGTCTTTGATTGAAGCCAGATGTTCACATTTCGAATGTGCCCCAAACCCTAAACCCTAAACCCTAAACCCTAAACCCTAAACCCTAAACCCTAAACCCTAAACCCTAAACCTAAACCCTAAACCCTAAACCCTAAACCCTAAACCCTAAACCCTAAACCCTAAACCCTAAACCCTAAACCCTAAACCCTAAACCCTATGCGACTGGACCCGAAACTTCCCTAAACTGATGGAACCCAGCATGGCGGAGTCACTGCGGAGCCCAAGCTTACCCAGCTATCCCAGCAGAGCTGGTTTCTGCGTGAACATCGAAGCTTCCCCGGTTCTTTCGCACCTAAGTCAGCACGTACTTCAAGTAAACTGGTTGCACCGTGCGATGCGGGGGTGGGGGGGAGGGGTTTCAACAGTGAGAGGTGGCCAGGGTAACATGTGGCAGACACGTTCAATCACCCAGCACCTGTGCAATTGATGGCGCTTCAGAGGCAAGTATCTGCCCTCAGAAGCTCAAGCTATGTGCGGACAGTCCAGGCGCTCCGGTCAGTGCTCAGATCGACTGGGCTCCTGGCACCGTCCCATGGCCAAAGAAGCGAGGTTTTGAGCATGCAGTTTTTGTTTCTAGCGCGTGACCGGCATAACCACACGCAAATGAAGTATGGCTTCATTGCTGTTCCACTGAAAGCTTACTTGCAGCTTGCGTCATGTCTTTGACCTTGAAGCCTGTTCGCAGCATTCCAGGTTTCTGCAGAAGCAGACCTTGGCCATCCCCATTTGCCCGAAGGCTTCCGCTTGCTGTCTTATTTTGCTTTATGATGCCTGTTGGCCCGTTTGCCCCTTCAAGGACACCTGTTGGTCTCGCAATCCAACACCCGAACGGTAATAAAGGGGTCGGAATAACTACTAATATTATTATTCCCTGCTGGTCCCTTTATACATATACCATAATACCCCTCAAAACCCTATTCATTAAGGCCCCTTTTTTTAAGACCCGGGTCCCACTGTTCCAAAGATGGCAGGCAAGGGTTCTGAAGATGGCTGGGCTGTATGACCTGCGCATGACCATCAAGGCTAGGGCCCATCATGTCACTGGCACTAGCTTTCCGTGCAGGGCTTTGTGACGCTGTCTCTGTGCCTGTGTTAGGGTTTAGGGTTTAGGGTTGAGGGTTTAGGGTTTAGGGTTTAGGTTGTGTGTGTGTGCACGTGTGTATTCGAGAGGTCCTCGACCAGGAGATCTTCGGACCTGCACGGTCTCTGGAGGAACAGGCGCCATGCTCCGCGCTGCAACACCACCATCACCATGCACACCACATGCAATTTCAGGGGTCACTGGGGGTGCGAGAGCCTCTCCTCATTGATGGCCCAGGTTGACGAGAGCCAGGCTCGTGCGTCATGGACTCAGCGATGGGATCATGAGCTCCGAGTCTTGTGATTTTGGCTTTGGAGTGCGGCTGTTGCTGGTAGGCCGTGCGACCCGTGAATACTCAGGACTGTTGCTGAGATTCAGGAGAAGGTGGAAAAGGCTCGGGCCGCTTTGTGTTTTTCTTTCTGGCGAGGTGTTCTCCATGAAAAAGGTGTGAGACGAAAGGGTAGGAGCACCTGTTTGTTCGTGCAAGCCATTCGGCGTCGCTCAGTATCTCCAGGAAGGGTCCACTGGGCCCGGGTTCCGTACGGACAAAGTAGACATCTATTTCTATATCACTACACTGGCTCGAGGTGCTAGGTGTGAACAGGGTGTGAAGAAACCCTAAACCCTAAACCGAAACGCTAAACCGCCTGCAGGAGCTGACACGCTGCGTTGAGGAGCCTGACCGGATGTGACATGATTTGGTGAGCCTGTCTCGGTGAGGCTTGACTCCAAGCCTGTCATTGGAACAATAGTAGTATCGGATTCGCCGCTGAGCTTATTTTGTTAAATGGCCTTAGAGAAATATATGCAACATCTAGCTCCGAGGGTCTGTAGTAGTCCTGAGCACAGAGCCCCACTCAATTAAGTTTCGGCCCAGCTTGCCTGGCATTGAGATGGAAAGAACGACAACGACCAAAACTTCAACAGACGCATGATTCACGCCATCTCCATGCCCCGGTTCCAGGGCAAGATTGTTTACAAGAGATGGTGTCAAGTAGAGGCTACGCCTCCCTTTGCTCAGTTATCGTGCTTGCGGAGCTGAGTGCGGATGTGCTTCGCATAACCACATCGTGACGCGCAGCCCCTACAGCTGACCGCCCGGCATGCGGACCGGTTCTCATACTGGTACGTGACACTTCGCAGTACCGCTGCGGGGCCGAAATCCTGTGTGCCCCACCTCAGAGAAAATACCACAGTTGGTTTCACAAACTCCTTTCGGCAATCTTCCAGCGCCAGTGCAGCAGTGCAGGGTTTCTTTCATCCACCGCAGCTCTCTTGGCCACCTCAAGCTGGCTAGATCCCAATCAAAAACAGCCCACAAGGAAAATTAAACCCTAAACCTTAAACCCTAAACCCTAAACTTAGCACCGAAGTGGGACTCAGCTGAGGAAGGCAAAAGTGAGGGCCTGAAGTCCTGAACCGATCCCAGCGATGGGATTCTCAGAAATACTCGCCTGCCATATGGCAGCGGACAGTGGCCCTTCTGTGGCCCAAGACATGTATGACATGTCAAGCTCAGTCGCCAAAGGCCCCGCAACAGCGTGAAAGATTGCAAAGCCTAGCTGAACCAACTCGCTGCTTGCACGTTCAAGTACCTTAGATGTGCTCGCTGAACCCGAACCACAGGGTCGGACACCATAAAGCATAAAGCAGAAACCCTAAACCCTAAACCCTAAACTCTAAACCCTAAACCCTAAAAAAGTATTTAACCGCCAGTTCCCTGCAGAGTGTCCGAGAGGTCAGCTAAGTGGGTGGCAAAAAAAACCCTTAAAAACAACCTGTTAAAAAAAACCTAAACCCAAACCCTCCCCTAAGCTGGCATCTGCTCTTGTTGTCCGCATGGTTGTTTTCTCCTTCGCCTTGTCCTTCCCGAGCTCCAGTGCTTCCGTAGGTGGCCCCCGCAGCATTCCAAGGATTGAGTCGGATGCCCCACAAGGCGGTTCATGCACCTTATGACTTCTGACGAACAGGATACTGAAAGGCTACCAACACTTGCCTGTATTCTCCTAGGAACTTGCCTAAGCAGGGATGGCTGGCCATGCTGGCCCAGTTCCTTCTGAGCCAAAGGCGATGATCAGCAAGGCGCGGTGGACACCTCCACCTTTGCATCGCGCAGCCCCCAAGCCCTGTAGAGTCTGTAGAGGATGCGCTGGCTGCCTCCTACGGGAAGTCGGCAGGCGGATACGAGCCACCGAGCGGCACGCCTGTGCGCAAGATTCCGTAAGGGTAGCGGGTGGGCCCATGGTTAGGGGGATCCCTTGCGGTTGCATGACACTCTCCGGGACGATCCATTGCTGGTGACCACCCTGCTTTGCCGCGCGACTCAACAGATGTGTTGATGGCTAAAACGCGTGCAAGTACTTGCAGTCACGAGACTGCAAGGCCGGGTTTGCATGAAAGGGTCCTCATCACTGTCGTCGTTCACGCTGTGCCTCTTGCAGATTTTGTTTTTTGAAGACCGGGGCGACCCAGGTCCATGCTGGACCAGGAGGTCAAAGACAAGAAAGTGCATTACGACAAGATCGTGAGCATGCTATTGTCAGGCAGGCCGCGTCCCACTACCCTGGCCTCCTACTGCTAGACTGCTAGATGATACTAGATATCCTACTAGATGCATCGATGAATCTGTCTCCAGAGACTGCACAAAAGATCAGCGACTGCATGAGCATCTTGCCCATGATCCTGCAACGTTGCAGAAGTTGCCGTCCTGGCAGGGATCGGTGAGCTTGAGGGGCCAGTGGCTGATGTGTCCTGCGGCCCCGGGCATGTCCTCGCCATGATACAGGATGGGAGCCGACGTGAATCGCAGACAGGATCTTGTCAACCTTGTCATGATAACAACAATAACAGCAATAATAACAGTGATCATAAAAATATACTGATGGGCTGTTGGTGGGAGGAGGTAAGAATGAAAACAATAATATTGACAAAAAAAAGATGAAAGGTCAGCCAGCGGCTTCTGTGAGCTGCCTGGAGGAGCAACAAAAGCGGCCGCTCATGGGCAGCGATCTTTGCCAGGACCGGTCCTGCCTGGCCAGGGCCACCGCTGTACAGGTTTAGGGTTTAGGGTTTAGGGTTTAGGTGCAGAAACGGGTTCATACTTAGTTGCGGAGCTGTGGAAACATCGATGTGCGCCGGAATCAGATGCTTCCTCTGGTGGGGCAAAAGTGCGAGAACCGAACCTCGTCAAAAAGCTTTGGAGGAGATGGTGGAAAGAGCTGCTAAGCGCCTTCCGGATGCAAAGTTCCAGTGCGCCGACATGACGGACCATGCTGCTTTGACCTTTCATAGCTACCGTGCTGTCCCCACTGCATTCCTCTAAAGGAGGGACCCTTATGAGGGACCTTAGGGTTTTAGGGGCTACTTAGGTATAGGGACTATATAAGGTATATAAGGGGAGGAAGATGAAGGGTCCCTTCTAGGGGTCCCTCATTATACCCCTTGAATTCCTTAGCCGTCCACTCTCCAAGTTCACGTTTCGGGCGCGATCATCGAAGAGCTGTCTGGCATAATCTCTGCTTTGTGGCCTGCATTGAGTGTTGTTACTTTTGAATTGATATCCTGCGAAATCTTCGACGCTTTGTACACCGAGGTCCATTTTCGGGGTGACACTCCCGGATTCGTCCCCTTCCTCTCGTGTCTGCTTCTTTCCACGCGCTCCAATTAATCACAAACAGAGTTCCAACATGAGAGAACTTTTGCTAAAGCATCCCATAGGCCGCTTTGACAACCACGTGTGAAGGCCGTCATCTATCCAAGGTCACAGCACGTCATCGTTGAGGGTGCTTCTTCAGTGGTGGCTATCATGCCTATTTGGATGTACGTTAAAGGGCCAGCTGTTCAGGGGTGTGAGTATTTGAGACGCGACTTACAACAGTGTCTTGAGTGTTTCAAGATTTCGTCAATCATTCTGAAATTGTGACCCCACCCCCCTTGCCGTGTGATGGGTCTGCTTGGCGGCTTTTTAGAATATCGAAGTTTTCGGAACTATGCGGAATGTCATACCCGAAACCTAAACCCGCCCGCGCATGTCAGTGTGAGAGTCGAAACCCCAAACCATGGCCACAGGCCCAGACATGCCGACACAAGCTACCTCAAGCCGACAAGAACTTTCTCCTCAGCAGGTTTACGCTGAATTCTGCGGGCGGAGAATGTTGTACGAACTTTTCGCGTTTCTAGTCGGGCATCGGTTTGCAAGAACGGCTCTTCGATGGTTGGAAAGACTCCGCAACAGACTCATGCCACAAGATAATGGGCAACATTGACCCAACGTCGACTGCAAAATGGTTTCCTGAAGCCTGAAAATGTTGTGGCGTCACGGCTTCTGCGGTGAGACTTGTGCACGATCATTTTGGGTCTTTGCTGAAGGCAGGCATCCTAATGCTGAGAGGAACACCCTAAACCCTAAACCCTAAACGCACGGGCAGGATCTGTCTACGGCTTTCAAGGATGCCGAGCTCGCAGGCCTGGGCTGCGCGTATTGGCAAGAGTTGTCGGTGGTGGCAGTGGTGAGGCATGTTCACTGGCCCAAGACGCCCATGCTAAGTGAAAGGAACGGTCGAAGGGGTCCTAGCCGGACGCGGGGCGCATGTCCGCTTGCCAGGCATGATCAACATGTTCGCGGTGGTCTCAGTCAGCGGTGCAGAAGTCAGGATTGTGCTGCAAGTGCTCTGCTGAGGCCATTCACCATGTGGATGAGGCAGGTGTGAAGGCTGCTTTGCGAGAGGCCGCTCGCGCGCTCAAAGGACCCATGGCGATGTCATAGACGCCATAGCTGGCAAGTACAGTAGTTGTGACAAGATGTACTCGAACAATCCAGAAGTTGAGAAGCTAACCCTGCCGAATGCTCGAGGAGGTGGTTGTTTACTGCTGGCGCAGCTCGGAAGTGTTCTGGTGTTCTGGGCGACGGGATGAACCATGATGCTCCAGACCTCTTTGGGATCAGAGACCCATAGAGACCCTGGACTTGTAAGCAGTAGACCAGGACCTGTTTCAGCCCGGGTCTGCCCCTGCAAGCAACATCTGCGATAGCATATCGGCACTATGCCCCGGTAATTCCTCTTCAGCAGCGTACTCGTAGCTAAGCCCGGTTAAACAGCAGTCGCAGCTTTTGTGGACCATGCAAGTTCCCTTGTCCTGTTCTCGCAGGTCACAACTGCCATTGCGTAGTTTGTCATTGCGGACGGGTATGGGGACCCAAAACCCTAAAACCTAAACCATGGAGTACCCGACATTCCCCTGCAGAGTGTCCGAGAGGTCAGCTAAGCGGGTGGCAAAAAAAACCATGGAGTGGAGAAGTGTGCCAAAACAAGCCCATGGAGTGAGGTTCTGGGAGGGCCCTTCCCATGGTGCGCTGATGCCCAGTGCACCAGAGGACGGACCTCGGCGTTGCTTTAGACCGTGTCATGTGCTGCACAAGCCAAGACCTGGATGCAAACTTAAAAAAACAGCCTGCCAGTAAGAAATGCTTTTCGTTCGGAGAAGACATCCAACACCCATTCAAACGAAAGGGAACTACATCTGTTTGCGGGAGTCTCTACTTGCTTTCCAGTGCTATTCGCCCGGAAGGCAGGTCGAAAACACAAGTTGATGCATATCTCAGGCAGATTTGAAGCAAATCCAAGCTATCAAGGTCAACGTTAGGCCAAGTATGGTTTCCGCAGGTTCGGAAACTGGCTTTGCAGCAGCTGCG